CCCACAAGGAAATCCATAATGGAAGACCATCTTACTCGTCCAACGAGGGATCGCCTAAGTAAGTAAGTAATTCTACAAAATATAATATTACAGTAATATAAAACAAGAGTATGAGTTTGTCCATTTTGTAGAGACTTTTGGAACACGTGCTCACAAAGGCAGTGACTCAGCAAATTCCTCCCCTTCTTCTTTCCCCGACCCCGCAGAGAGAGCATGACTCAGCAAATTCCTCCTTCTCTCTCTCTCAGCCCCTCCCAATTAAGCCCCTCCCCCTTTCGCCGCCTCACTCCTCCCTTGCCAATGTGCGCATGCGCCAGCGAGCCAGGCGAGGCCCTCAGCCTTCTTCCCTCAGGAGCCTCACTCCTCCCTTCCGTCCCCGCTCCCTTCTCCCTCCCGAACCGAACGAGGCCTAGCCTCCCGACTTACCCGAGCTCAGAAGCGGGGGAAACCGAAACTATATGCCAGAGAAGGACATACACGGCGAGGAGCTTCGCCGTTGCCCGCCCGCTTCGCAGCCTCGCGCACTTACTTTGAAAAAAAAAAAAAAACCAAACAGCAACAAGCGCGCGGGTGGCTCCGCCCCCTTTTTTCCGCCAGCCAATCAGCGCGCTCCGGGCTTGTTTTCCGGTCTGGGATGTCACTACTCGCCACAGTCTGACGTCAGAGCAGGGGGAAAGCTAAGCCACGCCCCTTCTCAGCCTCTCCGCCCCGCCCTTACTTTCGTTTCCTTCCAATCACCTCGGAGCTGGCGTGGGTAGCCACGCCCATTTGTGGTGCCTGTTTCATTCATGGGGAAAAGGAAGCGCGGGAGAGTGGGGGAAGTGTTTGCGCATGCGCATGTATGGATAGCACACGTGTTGGAATACAGGCTTGTTAAAGGTGACAATCAAATAGATGACCGTATATTGAATATTGTAATATATCAATATGTAGTGGTATATATTATCAGATACAGGCTACAGTATTTGTGTGATATATCACAGTATATTCATACATAATGTAATGTAATATATTGCGTATCATATGTTATATATATATATGTTATGTATACAATATCTGTGCTATTCTAATAATATAATATATTGTAATATAATATGTTGTATATACATATAATAGTATTATGTAATACAATATAATACTACTAATAAGTGGAGCCCCCGGTGGCGCAGTGGGTTAAAGCACTGAGCTGCTGAGCTTGTGATCGAAAGGTCGCAGGTTCGATTCCGGGGAGCGGCGTGAACTTCCGCTGTCAGCCCTAGCTTCTGCCAACCTAGCAGTTCGAAAACATGCAAATGTGAGTAGATCAATAGGTACCGCTCCGGTGGGAAGGTAACGGCGCTCCATGCAGTCATGCCGGCCACATGACCTTGGAGGAGTCTATGGACAACACTGGCTCTTCGGCTTAGAAATGGAGATGAGCACCAACCCCCAGAGTCAGACATGACTGGACTTAATGTCAGGGGACTACCTTTACCCATTAGGCTTGGGCGATCGTGTTCGTTAGTTTCTAAACTCGTTATGGATTCGTATTTAAATTAGCTTACGATCCAATATCGAGCCATGCAGGAATAGTGTGAGGAGTAATTAAGAATTGAAACAATTTCCCCATTTTATGTAATTATTTTCAGAAGTCTGGTGCAAGTTTTACAATCTTGCAGTTTCTCTTCACAGATACATTATTCACAGATACATCACATAGTCCTAGACACTTGGGAAGTGTTAGACGTATGATCCAATACAACAGCCAGCAGAGTGATCTTGTTTGTTGTGGACTCATCTTGTTGTGCTACAAACAATAATAATAATAATAATAATAATAATAATAATTTATTAATCAAATGTATGATCTAATACAACAGCCAGCAGTGATCTTGTTTGCTGTGGGCTCATCTTGTTGTGCTACAAATAATAATAATAATAATAATTATTATTATTATTATTAATCAGACGTATGATCCAATTCAACAGCCTGTGTGTCTGCTGTGGACTCATCTTGTTGTGTTTCAAATAATAATAATAAATCATCACTAAAAGCATTTTGGACATGAAAAACACAGGGCCAAAAGCTGACATCTAGAGAGGACTGACCCCTCTTGTCATCCCAGGATCAATGAGGAGAGTTTCATGGTCGAGTGGAGAGTTGGGTTCAGTCCCCTGCTCAAGGCAGTGCCTTGAGCCAACACTGGTACCAATGGCTTCAAACTACAAGAAAGGAGATTCCATCTGAACATGAGGAAGAACTTCCTGACTGTGAGAGCCGTTCAGCAGTGGAACTCTCTGCCCCGGAGTGTGGTGGAGGCTCCTTCTTTGGAGGCATTTAAACAGAGGCTGGATGGCCATCAGTCAGGAGTGATTTGAATGCAATATTCCTGCTTCTTGGCAAGCGGTTGGATTGGATGGCCCATGAGGTCTCTTCCAACTCTTTGATTCTATGATTCTTCCCTCCCCGGTCCCTGGCCTCAGCTTAAACCGATGAATTTCCTTTCTCTCTCTCTCTCCCCTCCTGCCGGGCGGCCACCTTTGCTCTGCTGCTTCCCTCCTCTTTCCTCATGCTTCTTCTTGCCTCACTATGGGCTGCACTGGGCTTCCTTCCTTCCTTCCTTTTTCTCCTGGCATCTTTCTTGCCCAAAATTTCTCATTACTTTATTTTTCATACCATCACACTATGCCACAGCAATGCGTTGCCCGGTACAGCTAGTATAATATATAATATAATTAATATATAATTAATATAATATAATATAATATAATATAATATAATATAATATACAATAATAATAAAATATAATATACAATTATAATATAATATAATATATAATAATATAAAATATATATTATATTATATTATTATTATATTATATTATTGTATATTATAGTATGTTATATTAGTATATTATATTATGTTATTATATTATATTATTATATATTATATTATATTATATTATATTGTAACATAATATATTATAATAATATTATTATATTATATTATTATAGTATTATTATATTATATTATATTATATTATATTATATTATATTATATTATATTATATTATATTATGAGGAGCCCCCGGTGGCGCAGTGAGCTGCTGAACTTGTTGATCAAAAGGTCGCAGGTTCGATTCTGGGGAGCGGCGTGAGCTTCTGCTGTCAGCCCTAGCTTCTGCCAACCTAGCAGTTCAAAAACATGCAAATGTGAGTAGATCAATAGGTACCGCTCCAGCGGGAAGGTAACGGCGCTCCATGCAGTCATGCCGGCCACATGACCTTGGAGGTGTCTACGGACAACGCTGGCTCTTCGGCTTAGAAATGGAGATGAGCACCACACCCCAGAGTCAGACATGACTGGACTTAATGTCAGGGGACTACGTTGAGGGCCGCAGTTTGGGGATGCCTGTGCTAGACTGCCAAGGAACATTTTAAAAGTAAAAGCAACACTCCACTGATTTGATCCTGTCCACCATTTCAGAAGCTGTCTTTTTGAACTGGTGTGAAGTACCAAAATAGCCTCCAAAGTCGGCCCTACGCACAATGTCTGTTCATTCTTGTTCCAATTGCATTTCTTTTCCTTTGTCGCCCAGCTCACAGAAAATGAAATCCTATCAGAAGCTGACCACAGATGCCAATCAAGTCCCGGACGCTGGAGAGGAGAACGTGGATGGGAGACCACTGTGCCACCAAAAGCTCTCTGCCTGGTGGCTGGGCGGAGGTCTCCTGATGGTGGCCGCTCTGCTTAGCGGAGTGACCGTTTGGGTCCTGGGCCAGATTTGGTGGAGTCAACACGGGACGCCCCCCCTGGCCAAGTGCGTCTCCGTCCCGGAAGACCTCCGCTTCGACTGCTACCCAGAAAGGAACACCGTGGTGACGCGGGAACTGTGCGAGGCCCGAGGGTGCTGTTTTGTTGATAGTGACCAGTCCTCTGGAAGCACCAACGGGGTGCCCTGGTGCTTCTACCCCCCGGATTTCCCCAGCTACACCTTGGGGAACGTGAACGAGACCGAAATGGGGCTGGTGGGGTTCCTGACCAGGAAAGCAAAGGCCTATTACCCAAAAGATGTTGAGAAACTGCAGCTCAGTGTGGAGTTTGAAACCGATACCCGGTTACACGTCAAGGTGAGCCATGATCTTGTACGATGGGTTGAGGAAAGTACACACAAAACACATACATAGACTGGGCCACAGCAATGCGTGGCAGGGGACAGCTAATAATAATAATAAAAATAATAATAATAATAATATAACAACACTTTATATTCCACCCTATCTCTCCAAGGGAACTCAGGGTGGATCACAGTACACATACACGGCAAACATTAAATGCCGTTTGGACAGACAGGACAGAAACAGACAGAAAGGAGGTATGTTATGTCGAGGTCCAGCTTTTTGGCGCCTTGGAGGTTGTGCTCAAATCCAGCCTCAGGAGGTGGTGTTGATCCATCCTCTATGACGAAGATCCATCAGGCCTTCCTCCTTCCTTTTGGTTGCCAGGCATTTTCTGATCTTTTTCTTTATGGTGTTGTAAAAAAAATCATACTGATATTAAAATGGAGTTTTGAGTCTGAACATGCTCAGTACAGACACAACAAAGAGGTCAGTCAAACTGGCAAATCTATATATACATACAATATAGATTAGCAAATATATACATTAACATTAAGATGGAAGGCCGACCGGACTCTGTACCCGATTGTTTCCATCAGTGCCTCAAGGCTGTTACTGGATGGTTGCGTGCCAGCAGGTTGAGGGTGAATCCAGCAAAGACTGAGATCCAATGGCTGGGTCAACCGGGCAGTGGGGACATCCAGCTGCCTACCCTGGATGGCGAGGCGTTACACCCGTCATCATTGGTAAAGTGTCTGGGAGTCCTTTTGGACCCTCTGCTGACGATGGAAGCCCAGGTCTCCGCCATGAGCAGAACCGCCTTTTTTCATCTGCGGCGGGCTAGACGGCTGGCCCCCTCCCTGTCCAGGGATGACCTAGCTACGGTGATCCAGGCCACGGTCATCTCAAGACTGGACTACTGTAACGCCCTCTACATTGGCCTTCCTCTGTCGGTGATCCGGAAGCTCAAGTTGGTACAAAATGCAGCTGCTCGGCTTCTTGCGGGAATTCCGATGAGATGCCACATAACACCAATCTTACGGCAGCTGCATTGGTTACCAATTGAGCACTGGATCACTTTCAAAGTGATGGTACTCACCTTTCAGGCCTTGTATGGTCTGGGGCCGATGTACCTGAGGGACCGCCTCACCCCCTACCAACCCCAGAGATCCCTCCGTTCTGAGGACCAAGATCTATTGGAAGTCCCCAGTGTCAAGACCTTGCGTCTAACAGCAACCAGACGCAGAGCCTTCACAGCAGTGGCACCATCACTCTGGAATACTCTGCCACCTGAAGTCCGTGCCTTTCGGGACTTATCAGCTTTCTGCAGGGCATGTAAGACATACCTGTTTTGACAGGCCTTTGATCTTTGATATTGCTGTTTTTAAATTCTTTTAAATTGTTTGTAAATTGTGTTAGATTTTAGCTAGTCTTGTAAGCCGCTCCGAGCCCCAGGGGAGTGGCGGCATATAAGTTTAAATAATAAATAAATAAATAAATAAATAAATAAAACAAATAGTGAAGGCTTGGAAGGTTGCTATTTCCAACAATTCTAACCACAAGGATTGCTTACTTGGCTTATTATTTGGCTCAAATGGACTTTCCCGTTGCTACCATCCACAAAACCTTTTAATTGTCAGAAGTCATCACTTTTTTCTTCTCTATTTTACTTGTCCTTGTCTGAATTTTCTAACAAACATTTCTTGTAGATCACCGATGCCACATCTCCTCGGTACGAAGTTCCCTTGGAGGTACCTCCGGTGACAAAGAGAGCAGAGAATCCCATCTATACCGTTGAGTTCTCCAAGGAGCCCTTTGGGTTGATAGTGAAGCGGAAAACGTCAGGGACAGTGCTGTAAGGACCATTCTTCCCCATTTAATACTATAATAAACACCTAACTTGTCCACAACTTTGGGCCCAGTTGTTGCTGTTTCTATTGTCATCTGTGGTTCTTTTTCTCTAGGTTGAACACGACAGTGGCTCCCTTGTTCTTCGCCGATCAGTTCCTCCAGATTTCTACCCTCCTTCCATCTTTGTACCTTTATGGTCTTGGGGAGCATCGAAGTAACTTTGTGCACAGCCTGGAGTGGAACACTTTGACTTTCTGGGCCAGAGATGTTCCTCCGACGGTATTGTACTAAATATCTTAATTGTTTTTGGTCTTGATGTAGTTTATATGGTCAGATTAGTTTTCGCCTGGCATCTAGATGCCCTAGAATCAAATTAGTGATGAGTGGAGTACCATAAGCAGGGTTCTGTCCTGTGCCTGGTCCTGTTCAACATCTTGATTAATGACTTAGATGAAGGGTTTGAAAGCATGATCATCAAGTTTGCAGTTAGGCCCAAAGTGGGAGGGAGAGCCAGAAGACAGGAGCAGAATTCAAAATGATCTTCACAGATTAGAAAGATTATGGGCCCAAACCAACACAATGCAGTTCAACAAGGACAAATGCAAGATACCCTACTTAAGCAGAAAAAAAGGAAATGCAAAGATACAGAATTGAGGACGATGCCTGGCTCGACAGCAGGATGTGTGAAAAAGATCTTGGAGTCCTCATGGGGAGGAAAGTGAACATGAGCCAACAATGTGATGCGGCAGCAAAAAAAGCCAGTGGATTTTGGCTTGCATCAATAGGAGTCGAGTGCTTAGATTCAGGGAAGTCATGCTCCCCATGTTCTATTCTGCCTTGATCAGACCACCTACCTGGAATCACACTTTATCCAATTCTGGGCACCACAATTGAAGGGAGATGTTGACTCTAAGCTGGAATGTGTCCAGAGGAGGACAACTCAGAGGAACAAGGGTATGGAGAACAAGCCCTATGAGGAACGGCTTAAAGAGCTGGCCATATTTAGCCTTCAGAAGAGAAGGCTGAGAGATAATGAGAGCCGTGGATCAAGATGTGAGGGGAAGTCATAGGAAGGAGGGAGCAAGCTTGTTTTCTGATGCTCCTAGACAAGGATGTGGAACAATTTATTTATTTATTTATTTGCTACATTTATATACCGCCCCTCTTAGCCCGCAGGCGACTCAGGGCAGTTTACAGTCAGTATCAAAGACATAAAATACAATTAAAAACAGTCAATTTAAGTATAAAACCAAGTAAAACAATCAATATCAATAAAAACATATATCAACTTGAGTCTCCTAGTTAAAAGCTTTATCCAATAGCGTCGTCGAGTTGTTCTCTTTTTTTCTCCATGTCTATTATATTGTGTCTGCAAATGCTTGCTCAAAGAGCCAAGTCTTGACCTTCTTTCGAAATGTTAAAAGGAAAAGGACCGATCTGATGTCCTAGATCCAGGGAAGTCATGCTCCCCTTCTATTCTGCCTTGGTCAGACCACTTTACCTGGAATCACACTGTGTTCACTTCTGGGCACCGCAATTGAAGGAAGCTGGAATGTGTCCAGAGGAGGATGAGTCAAATGATGAAGGGTCTGGAGAACAAGCCCTATGAGGAGCAGCTTAAAGAGCTGGGCATGTTTAACCTGCAGAAGAGAAGGCTGAGAGGAGACATGATGAGGGCCAGGGATCAAGATGTGAGGAGAAGTCATCAGGAGGAGGGAGCAGGTTTTTTTTCTACTGTCCTGGAGAATAGGACGCAATGGAACAATGGCTTCAACCTACAGGAAAGAAAGGAGATTCCACCTGAACATTAGGGAGAACTTCCTGACTGTGAGAGCTGTTCAGCAGTGGAACTCTCTGCCCCGGGGTGTGGTGGAGGCTTTGAAACAGAGGCTGGATGACAATCTGTCAGGGGTTCCTTGAATGCCATTTTCCTGCTTCTTGGCAGAATAGGGTTCAACTGGATGGCCCACATCGTCTCTTCCAACTCTAAGATTCTATGATTCTGTGAAATTAGGCACTGCTTCTTAAACAAGGCCACCCATGGCTTGAACCAGGCCTTCCAAATGGTTGTTGTTGTTGTTCAGTCGTTTCCAACTCTTTGTGACTTCATGGACCAGCCTACGCCAGAGCTCCCTGTTGGCCGTCACCACTCCCAGCTCCTTCAAGGTCAATCCAATCACTTCAAGGATCCCATCCATCCATCTTGCCCTTGGTTGGCCCCTCTTCCTTTTTCCTTCCATTTTCCCCAGCATCATTCTCTTCTCTAAGCTTTCCTTTCTTCTCATGATGTGGCCAAAGTACTTCATCTTGGCCTCTGCTATCCTTCCCTCCAATGAGCAGTCGGGCTTTATTTCTTGAAGTATGGACTGGTTGGATCTTCCAAATGTACTGGATTTCAATTTTCATGATTTTTCAGGATGTTTGTAATATAAGCCCTTCCCCAAAAATAAGCCCCAGTTAAGATTGTCACGTAAACGCATTTACTGGTAGTAAATCCATTGCAGTTATTGCACTATGAATAATATTAACATGTAATTAAAATAAATAAATAATCTTATTCGAGATCTTTATAATAAAGTATAATATAAATTATAATTGAGTACAGGAGAGTCTCACTTATCCAACCTTCATTCATCCAGCGTTCTGTATGATCCAACACAGTCTGCCTCCCGCCCGGATCTACAGCTGTTTCAATACATTGCAATGTTTTGGTGCTAAATTCATAAATACAGTAATTACTACATAACGTTGCCATGTATTGAACTGCTTTTTCTGTGATTAGTTGTAAAACATGATGTTTTGGTGCTTAATTTGTAAAATCATAATGCAATTTGATGTTTAATAGCCTTTTCCTTAATCCCTCCTTATTATCCAACATTTTCGCTTATCCAACATTGTGCTCATAGAATCCTAGAGTTGGAAGAGACCTCATGGGTCATCCAGTTCAACCCCCTGCCAAGAAGCAGGAAAATTGCATTCAAAGCACTATGAAAGAAGGAGCCTCCACCACACTCCGGGGCAGAGAGTTCCACTGCTGAACAGCTCTCACAGTCAGGAAGTTCTTCCTCATGTTCAGATGGAATCTCCTTTCTTGTAGTTTGAAGCCATTGTTTCGTGTCCTAGTCTCCAGGGAAGCAGAAAACAAGCTTGCTCTCTGTGGCTTGCTCTCACATATTTATACATGGCTATCATATCTCCTCTCAGCCTTCTCTTCTTCAGGCTAAACATGCCCAGCTCCTTAAGCCGCTCCTCATAGGGCTTGTTCTCCAGACCCTTGATCATTTTAGTCGCCCTCCTCTGGACACATTCCAGCTTGTCAATATCTCTCTTGAATTGTGGTGCCCAGAATTGGACACAATATTCTAGGTGTGGTCTAACCAAAGCGGAATAGAGGGGTAGCATGACTTCCCTAGAATGTTTGTGTTGGATAAGCAAGACTCTACTGTATTTGCAAATACCCAAGTGGATGCCTTTGGACAAAAGAGAAACACCTGTGTAAACAGATCAACTTGAGAGTTATTGTCAAATGATCAACTTCAGAATATCTTTTCTTCCATGATTTTGAATAACTTAGATTGCATGAAAAGATAAAGGCATCCCCTGAAAATAATGTGTCTTTGTGACTGGAAATCACTCCCACCCTTTCTCTTTCAGGAGAGCTTCAATCTCTATGGCGTTCATCCGTTTTATCTTATCATGGAGAAGAGTGGAGCTGCCCATGGGGTTTTCCTCTTGAACAGCAATGCAATGGGTGGGTATCTCCTTTTTTGAGCCTTTGGAGTATCTGTATGCTGAATATGTCCCAATCTGTTCAGTGAAACAATTCAGGCTAGCCTTCTCCAGATGTTTTGCAGCAACTGTTTTGCGCATTTATCTTAAAACGCTGCATAACGGATGAAAATTAGCAAATGACATGAGGTTCTGGCTTCAGCCTTACTCAGTAACATGGCAGTTTGGAAATCCAGGTGATGGTTCCTGGAACATTAAAGACGATAAAGAAGGACAATAAATTAATATCTAGACCAGTGCTTCTCAACCATCCTAATGCGGTAATCCCTCAATACAGTTCCTCATGTTTTGGTGACCCACAACCATAAAATTATTTTCGTTGTTACTTCATAACTGTCATTTTGCTACTGTTATCAATCGTCATGTAAATATCTGATATGCAGGATGTATTTTCACTAACAGATGATCTTAGGAACCCAACCCCCAGGTTGAGAAATACCTATCTAGACTTTTCTCATTAAAAAACTAACTCTGTATATAGTGGTTTCTCTATGTCCACATGCCCTGGATACATTAATTCAACCCATTGTGGATCATTGTTGTAGTTTATTCATTCAGTTGCTTCTGACTCTTTGTGACCTCATGGACCAGCCCACGCCAGAACTCCCTGTCGGCCGTGGCCACCCCTAGCTCCCCCAGAGTCAAGCCAGTCACTTGAAGGATACCATCCATCCATCTTGCTCTTGGTTGGCCCCTCTTCCTTTTTCCTTCCATTTTCCCCAGCAACATTCTTTTCTTTAAGTTTTCCTGTCTTCTCATTATGTGGCCAAAGTACTTCATCTTTGCCTCTACTATCGTTCCCTCCAATGAACAGTCGGGCTTTGTTTCCTGAAATATGGCCTGGTTGGATCTTCTTGTGGTCCAATGCACTCTCAGAATTTTCCTCCAACACCACAATTCAAAAGTCTCTTTCTTCCTTCGCTCAGCCTTCCTTATGGTCCAACTCTCACATCCATAGGTTACTACGGGGAATACCATTGCTTTGACTAAAGTAAATGGATCAGTACAACCAGAGATATGTTGGTATGCCATTGGAAGATGGGACTCCCAGGTTGGAAGATGGTCAAAATGCTACTGGGGAGGAGCAGAGGATAAGTTCAACTAGCCCCAGATGTGATGATGCAGTTAGCTCAAAGCCGAAAGGAAGGTTAGCATCCAATGGTGCTGGAGATGAACGACGAATCCGATGCTCTAAAGATCAACACACCATAGGAACTTGGAATGTAAGATCTATGAGCCAGGGCAAACTGGATGTTGTTATTGATGAGATGTCAAGACTGAAGATAGACATTCTGGGGGTCAGCGAATGGAAATGGGCCACTTCACATCAGACGACCACCAGATCTACTACTGTGGACAAGTGGAACACCGAAGAAATGGAGTAGCCTTCATAATTAATAAGAAAGTCACTAAAGCAGTGCTTGGATGTAACCCAAAAAATGACAGAATGATCTCTATTCGAGTGCAAGTCAAGCCATTTAACATCACAGTGATCCAAATATACGGCCCAACCACAGCTGCTGAAGAAGCAGAAGGAGATCAGTTCTATGAGGATCTGCAGCGCCTTCTGTGGATTATTACATCCATATTATTAACTGCCACATTTAATAATATGGAAATGAACATATCTATCTATCTATCTATCTATCTGTATGGGGTCCTGGAACCAAACCCCCACAAATCTGGGGACACACTGTATTTATTTTTACTTCCCATGGCCCATCTTTTCCCTCAGTGAATTCAGGATGGCATAGCAGGAACCTCTACTTTTCTACTTTGGGTGCGTCTGCACTGTAGAATTAATGTAGTTTGACGCCACTAGATCTTCCAGGACCCAATCCAGTACTCTAAAGACTGCAGCGTGCTTCTTCCCAATAGTTTGAGTTCTTTTTATCCTGAGATATTGAGGGAACTCAAAGCCAAAACATGAAAGTGTTCTCTCTCTCTGCCTCCTTTTCTTTCTCAGGGCATTTGCCGATTTCTGCAGTTTGCATGGCATATAAACCCTGTGCTCTCTGATCTGCAACAGTTCTGCCTCAGGAGTCCAAGAGAGTCTTTGTCAAAGCCTGACTTCATTTCTAACATTTTTCCAAGGAGGTCAAAAGCAAGGTCACCTCTCTGGTTTTCGTTTTCTAAACGAACTCCCGTGGGCACGGCTCGCCTTCATTTCCAGATAAATGTACAGAGTTAAACTCTACGCTGACTTGATTGGAGTCAGTACTTCAGGGTCAAGGCATAATGGGGAGAGCGAAGGGTTGAGATGTGGTTGCAGGGGAAACACGGACATCTGTTTCCTGCCTTGCAATGGGCTCTGGAGCAACCTCCGAGCGGTTTAACCGCACACTGCAGCTGTCAGCCCTTTGCCTCCGGAGACCAGCGGCTTTGCACCTCCAGGCCGCCCGCCTTTCCTGATCTTCCCTCTGCGATGCATGGCCTTTTGGCTTTGCAGAGACAGCAGGAGGGTTTGAGAAGGCAAGGGAAGCCAGAGAAAGAGAAACAGGTCGAATCTCTTTCAGACATCCTTTCCATTTGGCCTCATTTTGGCAATATTTCCAACAAGCTGATGGTCTCGGTGTAGACCAGAAGGGGATGTGTGAAGCTTCATTCATTCATTCATTCATTCATTCATTCATTTACCATATTTATATACTGCCTTTCTCAGCCTGAAGGCGACTCAAGGCGGTTTAGAGTTGGCAATCAATGCCCCCAATAACATAAAATAACATCAAGAGCATTAACATATAATACTAGCTGTCCCCTGCCATGCGTTGCTGTGGCCCAGTTTGTTGATCTGAAAAATAAAGGAATGAGAAAGTGTTGGTTTCTAATATATGTAATTTATTTATGCTTGTGGGTAAACAGTATTTCTTGCCATTTCTTTGTCAGTGTTGATGTGAAGAGTGTCTGGTTTGCCCACCCTGGAACATGCAAGATATCATTGTCCTTCTTTAAGGGTCCCTTTCAAATCTATGATACTATATCTCTCTGTGTGTGAATCATATCTATCTATCTATCTATCTATCTATCTATCTATCTATCTATCTATCTAATCTATGGATGGATGGCTCTTTGCCAGGAGGACTTTGATTACGTTTTCTTGCCCTGATGAAGGGAGTTGGATTGGATGGCCTTAAGTATTTTCTGTTGGTCATGGGGATCTGAGTGGGAAGTTTGCCCCAATTCTGTTGTTCATGGGGTTCAGAATGCTCTTTGATTGTAGGTGAACTGTGAATCCCAATGACCACAACTCCCAAATGTCAAGGTCTATTTTCCCCAAACTCCATCTGTGTTCATATTTGGGCGTATTGAGTGCTTGTGCCAAGTTTGGTCCAGATCCATCATTGTTTGAGTCCACAGTGCTATCTGGATGTAGATGAACTACAACTCCCAAACTCAAGGTCAATGCCCACCAAACTCTTCCAGTATTTTCTGTTGGTCATGGGAGTTCTGTGTGCCAAGTTTGGTTCAATTCCATCATTGGTGGAGTTCAGAATGCTCTTTGATTGTAAGTAAACTATAAATCCCAGCAAATACAACTCCCAAATGACAAGATCATAATTTTTTGAGTGATGGTCACTCCTTGTGTTGTGAGACGTTTTGTTGCCAAATTTGGTGCGATTTCGTTCATTGGTTCTTTTGTTATTATGCACAGAGCATTTAGATAGATAGATAGATAGATAGATAGATAGATAGATAGATAGATAGATAGATAGATAGGCCATATAAAAACAGTAGAAACAATAAAAACACAAGTCCTCAGCGTCTCATTACTAAAATCATTATCCAGTTGCATCATCCCATCTGATGTGCTGTCTGAGGGGTTGTCAAGTCATCTCATTTCAGGCTGTATTTCAGAGGAAGGAACTGGCAAAACCACATGTTGAGGTCTCATTCTGTTTGAAAATCTTGAAATTCGTGGGATCGGCACAAGTCAACTGGCAATGGAGAATCATAGAATAATTGAGTTGGAAGAGACCTTGTGGTCCATCCAGTCCAACCCCATTCTGCCAAGAAGCAGGAAAATTGCATTCAAAGCACCCCCAACAGATGGCCATTCAGCCTCTGTTTAAAAGCCTTCAAAGAAGGAGCCTCCACCACACATTGAATCATTGAGTGTATTGCTTTATTAAGTGTGTACATGTCTTTGAGGGAGTTGGCAGGGGGTTGAACTGGATGGCCTTATTTACTTATTTAGTTAGGCAATTCCTCATTGTCTGAGTATGATGGCCTTCCAAGTGTAGTGTCTTGGCAGTGGACACGTCGGGGATTGTAGAGTGCTATTCTTGACCCAAATGTTCTTCCACAGTTAGGGCATCGGTTTCCAGGTAGAAGGTGGTCCTGATCAGGGTTGGCTTGACACACCTCTTGGCATGTTTCTCCCTTTCTCCCTCCATTTGCTCCTCTTAAAATTCCACATCACTCCTAGTCACAGCTGACCTCCAGCTAGAGCGCTCAAGGGCCGGGTCTTCCCAGTATATGGCCTTTCTGGTCTCTTCCAACTCAATGATTCTATGATTCTAAGTTGCCAATTGACTTATGGCAATCCCATGAATTTCATGGTGGTTTTGCCAGTTCCTTTCTCTGAAATATAGCCTGTAGTGCCTGGAATTCCTTCGCAAGCTCCCATCCAGTGACAGATCAGATGGGATGTGGTGCATTTGGAGCAGAGGTGCCCAAACGAAGGCCCATGAGCCAGATATTGCTGTCCAAGGTCCTTGACCCGGCCCTTGCCCTAAACTTTAGACTTAGTGTCGTCCTAAGTCTGAAATGACTTGAAGGCCCACAATAACAACAATCCTAATTAACTTGATTCTCTCATCAATCCACACTTCCCATTGAAATATTATTGGTATGTTTATTTTGGCTAATATTGTTCTTCATTTTCAATATTGTTTTGTTTTTTCATGTTTGTTTGCACTACAAATTTTATTTATTTCACTAGCTGTCCCCTGCCACGCGTTGCTGTGGCCCAGTCTGTATATATGTTTTGTGTGTGTATATATGTGTGTATATGTGTATATATATATATCTATCTCTCTATCTATCTATCTATCTATCTATCTATCTATCTATCTATCTATGCAAACACACATATATACACATATACGCAAATATATACACAAATATATAAATAGATAGATGGGTGTATATGTGTGTGTGCATATGTGTGTATATATGTGTGTATACGTGTGTATATATTTGTGTATTTCTGTGTTTATATGTGTATATGTATATTGTGTATATGTGTGTGCTTGTGTATATATGTGTATGTATGTCTATATATATGTGTGTGTATGTATGCATGTGTATATGTAAATATATGTGTATGTGTACATGTATGTGTGAATGTCTATATGTATGTGTATATTTATTTGTGTATATATGTGTGTATACGTGTGTATATATTTGTGTATTTCTGTGTTTATATGTGTATATGTATATTGTGTATATGCGTGTGCTTGTGTATATATGCGTATGTATGTCTATATGTATATGTGTGTTTGTACGCATGTGTATATGTAAATATATGTGTATGTGTACATGTATGTGTGAATGTCTATATGTATGTGTATATTTGTGTGTGCTTGTGTACATGTGTGTGTGTATGTATGTATGCATGTATGTGTGCATGTGTATATGTATATGAGTGTATGTGTATAGGTATATATAGTTTATTTTGGGGGGTTTTAAGTCCGTTCTGCTCGGTTTTTTGTGTGTTTTTAGGGGTGATGGGACACTCATTAGCCTGATAGGTGTATTGTGTCCAAGTTTTGTCAATTCGTCCAGTGGTTTTTGAGTTATGTTAATCCCACAAACGAACATTACATTTTTATTTATATAGCTATCAAAAACATTGCATAAATTAGTATAAAACTGCACTACAAATAAGATACATGCAGTGTGCATGGGAATTCGTTCATTATTTTGCAAACTATAATCCAGCCCCTAGTCAGAGGGACCATGAACCGGTCCTCTGTTCAAAAAGTTTGAGGACCCTGGATTTAGATCATCAAGTCCACTGCCAAGAATTAGAAACAGGCAGCCAGTTATGTCCCAATGGCTCAAGGCTCTTCTCTTGGAAAACCCTTCAGGTTCTTGACCAACTCATGAATCAGCAAGGCTCTCTTCAGTAGCGGAAGCTGCAACTTCTTTAGTGTGGAAATGAAGGCAGTGGGCATTATGCTTTCCAAGTCACATTCTAAGGGTGGAGTGTGTATGTTTGTGTTTCTAAAAGCAGTTCTCTCCCCTGTTCCTTTTAAGAGCAGCCAGCAACAGAACACACAAAGATCGTTTGCAGCATTTCTGTGTATTTTTCACTATATAAAGTAGTTCAGAAGGCCTCAGAGTCTGCCTGATCTTGGAGGCAAAGCAGGGTCAGCCCTGGTTAGTACTTGGATGGAAGACTGCCCATAAATACCAGGTGCTGTAGGCTCTATTTCAGAGAAAGAAACTGGCAAACCCACTTTTAAGAATTCCTTGCTTGAAGAAAAAAAATGTTAATGGTATTTTAACTTTGTTGTCATCACACAAGTATGTATGTAATTGTTTGTTTTTTTAATATATATATATATATTTGTACCTGCCTGCTTTTATATTGTAGTGGGTTGTGTCATGATATTGCGAGCAGCCTTGAGCCTTGAGTTCCTATCAGATGAAAGGTGGGATTCAAATAAAGATGATGATAGTTGCCTGAGAAAACCCTGTGAAGTTGAAATGATCACCATAAGTCAACAAGGTACCTGAAGGCACATACAACAACAACAACGATGACAACAACATTATCATCAGTCCCTGGCACCATTTAAAAACTTGGCATTATACTAAATGTCCTTTGCCAAGAAGCTGTCCACTTGGAGTGCCTCTGGTGTTGCTATAAGAAGGTCCTCCGTTGTGCATGTGGCAGGGCTCAGGCTGCATTGCAGCAGGTGGTCAGTGGTTTGCTCTTCTCCACACTCGCATGTCATGGACTCCACTTTATGGCCCTATTTCTTAAGGTTGGCTCTGCATCTCATGGTGCCCGAGTGCAGCCTGTTCAGCGTCTTCCAACCCAGTTTTCTGTGTGCCCAGGAGGGAGTCTCTCATCTGGTATCAGCCACTGACTGAGGTGCTGGATTTTATCCTGCCACTTTTGGACTCTTGCTTGCTGAGGTCATCCTGCAATTATCTTTGTTGATCTTAGAAAGCTATTTCTTGATTTAAGGCATTGATGTGCTGGCTGATATCCAAACAGGGAATGGGCCAGAGATGTCACTGCCTTGGTCCTTTCATTACAGGTTGCTACTTCCTGGTGGATGTCAGGTGGTGCAATATTGGTTAAACAGTATAATTTCTCCAGTGTTGTAGGATGAAGACATCCTGTGATAATGCAACATGTCTCATTAAGAGCCACATCCACTGTTTAAACGTGGTGAGATGTGTTCTACACTGGGCCTACATACTCAGCAGCAGAGTAGCAAAGCGCAAGGGCAGATGTCTTCACTGTGTCTGGTTGTGGTCCTCAGGTTGTGCCAGTCAGCTTTCATATTATATTGTTTGAAGCACCAACTTTTTTCTTGATCATCAAGCCATGCTTCTTGTAAGTCAGAGCACGGTCCAGGTATTTTGGTGTGATGATAGTTGCCTGAGAAAACCCTGTGAAATTCACATGATTACCATTAGTCAACAGGTTACCTGAAGGCACATACAACAAAAACAACATTATTATCAGTCCCTAGCACCATTTATTTTCAGCCAGGTTGGCTGGAAATGACAAAAACTATAATCTGAGTTACCTCAAAATGCTCTGGTTGGGGAAGGCTGACATGGAAGTTCAGGTCCTCCTGATACTTTTTGGCTAACCCTCCAGCTACTCAAGTGTTATTGAGCTGAGGAGAAAGAGTTCCATCCTTGTAGGGTAATCTGAAAGACTGTTATGAAAACAACTGCATTTAAGTTTTCTTCCTCCTTGTTGTTCTTTGCCCAGAGGTGGCCCTTCAGCCGGCACCTGCCCTCACCTGGAGGACCATCGGAGGAGTTCTGGATTTCTACATCTTTCTAGGACCAGATCCCAACTTGGTGGTCCAGCAGTACCAGCAGGTGATTGGTGAGCATCCAAGTATCCCAAGCCATGTTGCAAAGGGTTGCTATATTGAACGAACCATTTTTCAGAAAAACTGAGCATGATATGAGAAGGTCAGGCAAGAACCGAGGAATAATAGTAGCAGGAAGTAAATTTTCAGCCTGAGATGCATTCATTTCCAGCTGTGACTGGAGAAGCAGCCCATGCAAAGGATGTTCCTTCCATCACTGCTGAGAAATAATGTATCTCCATGGTGAGGGTTTGCGGGGAACGCTTTGAAGTGAAGCACTGGGCCTGTGGCGCAGCTGGCTGGGAGTCAGCTGCATTAGATCACTACTGACCGAAAGGTCATGAGTTTGAAGCCAGCCTGGGTCGGATTGAGCTTCCAATCAATTTGTGTAGCTTGTTGTTGACCTTTGCATCCCGAAAGACAGTTGCATCTGTCAAGTAGGAAATTTAGGTACTCCTTATGCGGGGAGGCAAATTTAACTAATTTACGAGGCCATAAAAATCTCCAGCAAGCATGCAAAGAATGAGGAAATACTTCATCAGTGTCACAATACTTCATCAGTGTCGGTGAAGCGACAGCTCCCATGGTGGCTAGAATACCCTTGTAGGAACTTAGTTGACTGGGGTTGTTGCAGTGCCCCAAGAAGAGGATTATGGTTATGTTCAATTTTCTTCAGAGCAGAACCCTTCAGAGATTTCCATGTTGGATTTTAATGAAGATTCTCAGGGGATTGTGAATGAGGGCACAGAACACACTGCAGAGCAAAGGGAGTTGGAAGACTCTGGGATTGTTAGTTCTCAAGATAGAATGGTTTCCAGATAGTCTGATGGGAACCAGCTTGAGTTGCTAGATAAGGAAAGTGAAATGAATGTGTTAACGAGCAACCGGGAGGAATCAGCCTTAGATAGAAGGGGTCAAATCTGTCAAGATCGCCACCTGTAAGGGGGAGTCCAAAGGTCTGCCAGGATAAGGGAAAAGAGGAATTTGCAAGAGAGTTTTCAAGGGAATCAAAATGCATTCTGTGTAGGTCTTTTTGAATAAATATAGGGCTTTTACAGCATTGCCTTCAGTGAGCGCAACGTCAGTTTCTGGTCAAGTCTTGTATGTATGTCATGTCAAGATTCATGGAAATCTCTGCTCAAGACTCATGTTCAAGTTGCTGTTGGTGAAAGTTTTCCTGTGTAATTCTTCTGTGGATTTTGGATCTGTGCAACCTTGTTCCTTGGCTTTTCAAGAGACTTTGGATATTTTTCTTTGTGGGTTTTAAGGACTGTGCATTCATGGATTTTACTGTGGATTTAAGAATTGTTTCTGTTTCCTTTTATGGATTATATTTGCTTACCTGCTGGTTTGGATTGTTTTTAGACTTTCTTACTTAAGCCTTTACTTGCCTTTTTCACCTTTTTTTTTTATATTGCTTGCATTTATTCAATAAACTGTTTATTTGGAGTGTCCGTGGGTTCAAAGCCTTGGTGTGTGACAACCCTCAAGAAAAAGCTGGAATGTGTCTGTCTGTCTGTATTTATTTATTTATTTACAGTATTTATATTCCTCCCTTCTCACCCTGCAGGGGACTCAGGGCAGATTACAGTGTACACATATATGGCAAACATTCAATGCCAGGGAGCTGGTGCTTTCATCGTCCATCTGCGATGCTGATGAAGTACTTCCGCATTCCCCGCATGCTTTTGCTGGAATGCTTTGCTGGAGTCTTTTTTTATGGCCTCATAAATTAGTTAATTTAGCCTCCCCACACTTTAAGGTGGTACCTAATTTTCCTACGTGACAGATGCAACTGTCTTTCGGGTTGCAAAGGTCGACAACAGGCTACACAATTGGTTGGAAGCCCACTCCAACCCGGGCTGGCTTCGTGACCTATATGTTGTGTTTCTATGACATTGAATGTTTGCCATGTATATGTACATTGTAATCCTCCCTGAGTCCCTTGCGGGGTGAGAAGGGTGGAATATAAATACTTAAATAAATAAGTAAGCCAAACCTTTTGAAGTGACTTCCAAGCATTTGCAAATCCCACAGCCTATGGGAGATCCCTGTTTTTGGATTTGGGGAGTTGAAGTCCAGCAAAAGCAATTGAGTTGAGTAAAACACCCTCTGTTTTTGTTTCAGGCTTCCCGGCCATGCCTCCTTATTGGGGCCTGGGCTTCCACCTCTGCCGCTGGGGCTACGGGAGCAGCAATGAGACCTGGGAGACCGTAAAAGCCATGAGGAATTTTCAGATCCCCCAGGTAAATTTAAGTGTACTATCAAAAACCATTGTCTGTCATCTGAAGCTTGGTAGAATGGTGAAGGTTTCATAAGGAGTATGGAAAATGCCAAGCCTTTGACTCAGATAAAATTTTAGGCAGTGTTTTTAGAGCTCCAAATACAGCCAATCCCAGGTGTAAGTCCTAATTTGCCCAGTTGTGGGCTGCATCTGCATTGTATGGTTATAGTGCTATCATTCCATGTTACCCTGGGATTTGTAATCTGTTAAGGAACTAGAGCTGCACTCCTTTGAACACTGGAGAGTGAAAGCATTATAGCCTAACCTCTGTTTTCTATCCAGTAAACTTTGACTCCCCAAATAAATCTCATGGCTAAGTCAGGCAAGGTTTTGAACCTGGGCCTCACCTGTCCCTTAACCTGGCACACTAACCCAGTGTTTCCCTTCCTAATGCCGTGACCCCATAATACAGTTCCTCATGTCGCGGTGACCCTCGACCATAAAATTATTTTCGATGCTACTTCATAACTGTAATTTTGCTATGGTTATGAATCGTAATGTAAATCTCTGATATGCAGGATGTATTTTCATTCACTGGACCAAATTTGGCACAAATACCCAATACGCCCAAATTTGAATACTGGTGAGGTGGTGGTGTGGAGATTGATTTTGTCATTTGGGAGTTGTAATTGCTGGGATTTATAGTTCACCTACAATCAAAGAGCATTCTGAACTCCACCAACAATGGAATTGAACCAAACTTACCACACAGGACTCCCATGACCAGGAGAAAATACTGGAAGGGTTTGGTGGGCATTGACCTTGAGTTTTGGAGTTGTAGTTCACCTACATCCAGAGAGCACTGTGGACTCAAACAGTGGTAGATCTGGACCAAACTTGGCACAGATACTTAATATGCCCACATGTGAACACTGGTGGAGTTTGGGGAAAATAGACCTTGACATTTGGGGTTTGTAGTTGCTGGGATTTATAGTTCAAAGAGTATTCTTAACCCCCACCAACAATAGAATTGGGCCAAAATTCACACACAGAATCATAGAATTATAGTTGGAAGAGACCTCATGGGCCATCCAGTCCAACCCCCTGCCAAGAAGCAGGAATATTGCATTCAAATCACCCCTGACAGATGGCCATCCAGCCTCTGTTTAAAAGCTTCCAAAGAAGGAGCCTCCACCACAGAGAGTTCCACTGCTGAACAGCTCTCACAGTCAGGAAGTTCTTCCTCATGTTCAGGTGGAATCTCCTCTCTTGAAGTTTGAAGTCATTGTTCCGCGTCCTAGTCTCCGTGAGCACCACGGAAACCCCATGAGCACCAGAAAATACTGTTTTCTGATAGTCTTTGGCGACCCCTCTGACACTCCCCTCATGACCCCCCCAGAGTTCCCGACCCATAGGTTGAGAAACTCTGTCACACAGTCTTTCTGATTGGATGGGCATCTAGGATGCCCTCTTCACATAATATATCTTCAAACCAAGTGGTGGTGGTTGGAGATCCTTTCCTTTATATCTCTCCACTGCCACCAATTTTGGCCAGTAACATACCAGTTCTCTTCTGAAAACTGCTGGGACTCCTCTGGATTTCTCTTTAAATCTTATTCAGTATTTTGTGAAACAGTCTTCATATACAACTCCACATTAACTGAGCTTATTTATAGACGTCTTGCACGAAAGCTTGTTGGTTACATTTGTATGTTAGCGTCTTAGTTGAATATAGCATTGTTTCATAACAACTCTCTTCCTTATGACTTTTTACACATAGAAATATTCACTTGTGAACCATATAATAGCAAACTCTCAACTGTTCTCCACTCACTATCCTGACTATTTCCTTAAATAATCTTACTTAACTTATTCTCTGACCTATTTTCATGGTCCCCTAACTTATCCTCATCTAACGGCTTTTCTTCCCTCTCACTCTCTACTGACTTCTTTTCTGCAATATAGACCATGTTCTACCCCATAACCAGTAGTTCATTACAGCATCTTTCAGGAGTGCTTTAATTATATATTCCTGCATGACAAGGAATTGGACTAGATGGTCCTTAACAGGCCTACGATCCTTCTTCTTGTGCTTATGTATCCTTCTTCTCCTTGCCTCTCTTTTCTTTTTCGTAGGATGCCCAGTGGAACGACATTGACTACATGGAGGGCTATCGGGACTTCACCGTGGACTCTCAGAAGTTTGGCGCTCTCCCCCAGATGGTGGAAGATCTCCACAAACACGGACAATATTATGTGATGATTCTGGTAGCCTGCTTTTTATTCCCGTTAAGCTAGCCTGGTGTCCTCCCAATACAAATAATATCATTAGTATACCTCCCAGAATCCCCCACACAGGCTAACTGGGGATACTGGGATTTGTTGCCCATAGAAGATGTTTCCAGGCCCCCAATAGGAGAGAACCTCTAATACCGTATATCCTTGAGTATCCACGGTAGTCCACGCTCTTGTCACAGCCCGCCTAGACTACTGCAATGCTCTCTACGTGGGGCTGCCCCTGAAGACGGCCCGGAAGCTGCAATTAGTCCAACGCGCGGCAGCCATGATTCTAACAGGAGCGGAGCGCAGGGAGCACACAACCCCCCTGTTGCGCCAGCTCCACTGACTGCCGATTTGCTACCGGGCTCAATTCAAGGTGTTGGTATTGGCCTATAAAGCCCTAAACGGTTCCGGCCCAAGATACCTATCTGACCGCATCTCGGCCTATGAACCCACCAGGACTTTGAGATCTTCTGGGGAGGCCCTGCTCTCGATCCCGCCGGCCTCCCAAACACGGTTGGCGGGGATGAGAGATAGGGCCTTCTCGGTGGCGGCTCCTCGGCTGTGGAACGCCCTTCCTACAGACGTTAGGTTGGCACCATCTCTCATGGCATTCCGAAGAAAGTTGAAGACCTGGATGTTTGTGCAGGCGTTTGAGTAATTTAGTGCAATTTGGTAACCGAACATAGGAATGGAACAATGGACGACGAACTTGGATCATGCATGGATGATGAGGCGATTGGGTTTGGGTTTTTTGTAATAGTTGTGTATTTGGATTGCTTATTAGTTGTTAATGGAAAATGTGTAAGTTAACTGTCACTGTTGTATGGAACTATTGCTGTTTTTATTGTCTTTACTCTTTGTGAACCGCTGTGCGTCGCCCTCGGGCTTGAGATACAGCGGTATATAAACATAGTAAATAAATAAATAATAAATAAATAAATAAGCCGACCCGAGTAGAAGCCGAGGATGTTTCCAGCCCCCAAAGGAGAGAACCTCTAATACCATATATACTCGTGTATACGCCAACCCGAATAAAAGCCAAGGCATCTAATTTTACCACAAAAAACTGGGGAAACCTATTGACTCAAGTATAAGTTAAGAGTGGGAAATGCTGCAGCTATTGGTAAATTTCAAAATTAAAACTAGGTATCAATAAAATTACATTAATTGAGGTATCATTAGGTTAAATATTTTCAAATCTATATAAATAAAAATGTAGTGTTCGTTTGTGGGATTAACAGAACTCAAAAACCACTGGACGAATTGGCACCAAATTTGGACAGCATACACCTAACAACCCAATATATGCCCTTCACTCAAAAAAAATTGATTTTGTCATTTGGGAGTTGTAGTTGCTGGGATTTATAGTTCACCTACAATCAAAGAGCATTCTGAACTCCACCAACGATGGAATTGAACCAAACTTGGCACACAGTTCTCCCATGACCAACAGAAAATACTGGAAGGGTTTGGTGGACATTAGCCTTGAGATTGGGAGTTGTAGTTCACCTACATCCAGAGATCAATGTGGACTCAAACAATGATGGATCTGGGCCAAACTCTACATGAATACTCAATATGTCCAAATGTGAACACTGGTAGAGTTTGGGGAAAATAGAATCTTGACATTTGGGAGTTGTAGTTGCTGGGATTTATAGTTTACCTACAATCACAGAGCATTCTGAATCCCACCAACAATAGAATTGGGCCAAGCCTCCCACACAGAACCCCCATATGGGCCACAGCAACGCATGGCAGGGGACGGCTAGTATTTACATAAAACTGTAATTTAAGATAAGACTATCCAACTCTGATTAAACCATTATTCTAACCTTCTTCAATGTAAATGTGCTTACATATCCTTCCAATAATAATAAAGAGAGTAAAATAATAAATGTAAAAATAATAATAGAGTAAAATATAAATGTAATAATAATACAATAGAGTAAAATAATAAATATAATATAAATAAAAATGGAATAAATTAATGTAAATATAATAATAATAGGATAAAATAATAAATAGGTAAAATAATAATAAAATAACAATAAATTACTTTAACTCGAATATAAGCTGAGGGGGGATTTTTCAGCCTTAAAAAAGGGCTGAAAAACTCAGCTTATACTCAACTATTTCCGGTAATTGTTTCTTTATGTAGAGTGAAAACTGGAATGGACTTATTTATAAGGCTACATGAAAGAGCTCACCAAATGACAGTGGGATGCAAGGGCTCAGTCCAAATTCACAAAACAGTGGCTTCAAACTACAAGAAAGGAGATTCCATCTGAACATGAGAAAAAACTTCCTGACTGTGAGAGCCGTTCAGCAGTGGAACTCTCTGCCCCGGAGTGTGGTGGAGGCTCCTTCTTTGGAAGCTTTTAAACAGAGGCTGGATGGCCATCTGTCAGGGGTGATTTGAATGCAATATTCCTGCTTCTTGGCAGGGGGTTGGACTGGATGGCCCAGGAGGTCTCTTCCAACTCTTTGATTCTATGATTCTATGATTCTGATGTGCTTTTGAATACAGGTTTCATTTCCCTCCTTCCTTCCCTTCCTCCTTTCTTTCTTTCTTTTTCCAAGGATCCTGGGATCAGCAGTACTCAGCCTCCTGGCTCTTACTGGCCTTACGATGAAGGTTTGAAACGTGGCATATTCATCAATAACACCCAAGGAGAACCTCTGATAGGGAAGGTGAGAGAGCAAAAATAGAAGACATCTTTTTCTTTAAAAAAATTCTTCACACTTATTTATATATATTCACACAAACATACAAAATCGAATCTGAACCATTGATGTAAACAGTTTGAAAATAGAAAAATTGACTTGTTGTATTGCTTCATTTCTAAGATGCACGTTTTTTCCTTATATAAACATCTCTAAAATGGATTGCAGGTACATCTTATGCATTTTTCTTGGTGGTGGTGCTACTGAAATGGGGTGCATCTTACAGTTGAAGAAATACAGTAATACAAAGTCCACTGTTACATTTTTATTTATCGTGTCAGGGCAACCAGTCGATTATATTACATTTCTAACAGAACAAAGCAAACAAACAGACAAAATACAAAATTTGTGAGTTTGGTAGTTGATTAAGTGTCCTTTGACCAGTATCTGGCCACTTGGAGTGCTTCTTGTGTTGCTGCAAGAAAGTCCTCCATTGTGCATGTGGCAGGGCTCAGGGTGCATTGCAGCAAGTGGTCAGTGGTTTGCTCTTCTCCACACTCGCATGTCGTGGATTCCACCCTGTAGCCCCATTTCCTAAGATTGGCTCTGCATCTCGTGGTGCCAGAGCGCAGTCTGTTCAGCGCCTTTCAAGTCGCCCAGTCTTTTGTGTGCCCAGGGGGGAGTCTCTCATTTGGTATCAGCCATTGGTTGAGGTTCTGGGTTTGAGCCTGCCACTTTTGGACTCTCGCTTGCTGGGGTGTTCCAGCGAGTGTCTCTGTAGATCTTAGAAAACTATTTCTTGATTTAAGTCGTTGGCGTGCTGGCTGATACCCAAACAGGGGATGAGCTGGAGATGTCTCTGCCTTGGTCCTTTCACTATTGGCTGCTACTTCCCGGCGGATGTCAGGTGGTGCGATGCTGGCTAAGCAGTGTAATTTCTTTAGTGGTGTAGGGCGCAGACACCACGTGATAATGCGGCACATCCACTGTTTTAGTGTGGTGAGATGTGTTCCACACTGGGCATGCATACTCAGCAGCAGAGTAGCACAGCGCAAGGGCAGATGTATCTTCACTGTATCTGGTTGTGATCCCCAGGTGGTGCAATAAATAATTGTTTGGTGTAGCTAATATTAACTTAGATCAACCAGTCCCCATCCTACTGCCTTCCCAAATGTTTTGTATTCCTTTACTGTCATCCACAACAATGCCCCAGTGGCATAATGGGTTAAACCCTTGTGCCAGCAGAACTGCTGACCAAAAGGTCAGCAGTTCAAATCCAGGGTGCGGGATGAGTACCCATTTGTCAGCTCCAGCTTATCAAGCAGGGACATGAGAGTAGCCTCCCACAGGATGGTGAAACAACTGGGCGTCCCCTGGGCAACCTCCTTGCAGACAGCCAATTCTCTCACACCAGAAGCGACTTGCAGTTTCTCAAGTCACTTCAGACATCAAAAGAAAATCCACAATTGACTCCTTGCCATGGAATTAGCAGCATTAATGTTATTTTGCATTCTAACAAATTTGCAACACTTCCTTAATTTTATCAGACCCATTCTTGTGTGTGTTTCTAATTCCTCTCCTTCTAGGTCTGGCCTGGTCTTACTGCTTATCCTGACTTCTCTAACCCAGATACTCACCAATGGTGGCTGGAGAATCTGAATAGTTTCCACTCAATTGTTCCCTTTGATGGCATTTGGATTGTGAGTCTTTTCTTAGCTTTTACTTAAGTATGAATTGACACAAACACTTTAAAAAGGGGAAATAAAGTATATTACTTTAGGATAGGCCTTTCATACCTGATCCCTTTGAGATATATTAGACTACAATCCACATTATCCATATCCAGCATCTGTTGTAGTAGCCAGGACCCTGGAAAATTCATTATTTCAGTTTGGAAATAATGTGGGGCAACCCTATTTAGTCACTCTAAATGTCATGATTTTATTCTTACACAATTCTGCCAAGAGAAACAAAGTGGTAAGAGATATAATAGTCCATTTTGGAAGAAAAAGAATAAGAAATGAAAAAACTAATGCCACAAATCCACTATACTAAAAAAGCAAAAAGATTGTAGTCTTAAAAGAATTCTCTATGTCAACATTAAATAAAAGAAGGAAATATATGTTCCTAGCAGAAGAATTGAAGAAATATCAAATAAGATCTTGCTGGGAAAGAAGGAATTATGGTAACATACAATGAAATGAAGTACTGGTTGGCAACAGAAGACAAAGCTTAATAAATATTTAAGAAGTTAAAGAAGGACATGACAAAGAAACACAAAATCAAAAACAGGAGGAAGAAGAAGAGTTCAAGGGAAAAAAAGGAACCATGGCGAAACCAGAAAGGGCAAAGGCTAGACTCTCCAAAGGAATACGGCACTTTTCCAGGAATGGCAACAATGAATCTTGATACTGAAAAAGAAGTAGAGGAGGAGGAAGAAGAAGAAGAAGAAGAAGAAGAAGAAGAAGAAGAACAAAATAATGGAAATCAGATGTTTATCAAATAATGTAAATGGAGTAAATTCACCAAACAAAAAGAATAAAATATTTAATCAAATGACAAAAGGGACATATGACATTGTGGCGCACCAGGAAACACATACCTCACAAAAACATGTAGCCCATCTAGTACAAAACAACATAGGGAAAAAAATCTATGCAGCTGCTCATGAAAGAAAGAGGTGTGGTTATATATGTAAACCCCAAAATCCCTGCTGAATTGGCTTTCAGAGATGAAGAGGGCAGAATGAGAGGCACTATTTTTACAGTAAACAACAAAAAGATTTTATTTTGCAACATTTACACCCCAAATGGATCCAAGATTGAATTTGTAAAAAAGTTAAAGTAACAGATTATAGCACAAGAATTTGAAGATCTCATGGGGTCATGAATTGTGAATTGGATAAAAGTAGACCCCTAAAGAAGAATAAAAATAACAGTGTAGGGAAACTACTCCAATCTTTTGTAAATTTAATGCATGAATTCAACTTACAAGAAGTATGGAGAATACATAAGCCAGAGGAAAGGGACGATAATTTGTGGTCAAGAATAGACATGATCTGGACTTCAAACACATTGACAACAAAGATTTGAAAGATTCGGTCTGATATCTTTATTTTAGGACATGAATGAACCATCTGACTTCATGGATGGCTCATCGGAAGGCTGTTCTCAAGGAGAATTGGATAACCCACCATATGTGCCTGGTAAGAAGAAAGTTAATTCTCTCTGGGTTTTGAGCAGAACCAACAGGGTGTAGTGGTTTGGACATTGGGTGATGACTCTGGAAACCAGGGTTTGAATCCATGCTCAACCAGGGAACCCACTGGGAGATCTTGGGCATGTTAGCTTCAGAAGATAAACTTCCCCCGAGTAAATCTTGCCAACGAATTCCTTTGATGGGTCAGAGATAGGAATAGTTAGTTAGCTAGGCGATCCCGCGTAGTCCGAGGATGATGGTCCTCCAAGGGATGGGAAATATACTCCATTTATATCAGTATGCATCCAATATTTTTAGGATTGGATGCATACTGTATTTAGACATTATGTATACTGACACTATCACACACTATTCTAATGTTTTTTAAAATACTGTACTTTGTCTCGTCATACCAAAGAAGGCTGGCTACTCCCAATCCATTTGAATACTTCCCTACATCACTTTAAAAAAGATTTTTCTAATATTCCACAGTAACGTAGCCTGGAAGTCACAAAATACCATTCTTGTGAGATTTTAGCTGAGAGAATGCATACTGATTTTATGATCACATGTAAAAACAATGTCTCAGAAATGTATTAAATCAAAATACACGATTAGAATCCCATGTGCAATTGCTCCGTTCTGCAACAGATTACTGACAGAATGGCACAAATATCATCAGATAGGACCCATTCAGAATCAGGTTCAAAGAGTCTCAGAAATGGAGTACCAATAGGATAAGGTCCAGATTGGGAAGCTGGTGGGCATGGAACCCACCAGCTTCCCTTGCATGCCACTAACCAGGCTTTCCCTCTCTCCTGCCAGCTGTATTGGGAGGTTTCCTTTCTGCCAAGACCATCTGCACCTCTGCCAGGCAAAGCACCTCTGCGCACTACAACCTCCACAACCTGTATGGATTGATGGAAGCCAAAGCAACTGCTAGGTAACTCTGTCCTTGGTGCATGGATGAGATCGGTTGTATGTCAGTCTGTTCAGCTTGTGATTGTGTCTGATGTTCATGTTGATGTTCATGATGGGAATTATGTTCATGTTGATGTTTGTGATCGGAATGGGATGATGCTTTGCTTGGGCATAAGTTAAGTTCAGAAGAGATGCCTTAGTTGTTTCAGGAAGATTCACAAGGCCACAGTCCTGGGAGAGACCTTTCACCACTTTTCTCAGAGCAATTGTCTGAAAATGCTGAGATTGATTTGCCAGATGCAGGAGCTAATGAGGGAGAGGACAGTAAAACCTTGGACAGAAAGTGAAGTTTTAGTAAACAGAGGCAGAGCTTTCAGAGACTGAGCCAATCACTTATACGGCAGAAGAAAGATAACCAACCGTTATCTACTGGGAAAGTCAAGAAGAATGCTTTATTTTCAATTTTGGGTTCTGGAGAAGGTTTATAATGATTCATGAGATTGAATTGCCTCAGTCGGAGCCTCCGGTGTCACAGTGGGTTAAACCCTTGTGCCAGCAAGACTGAAGACTGATAGGTCACAGGTTCAAATCCGGGGAGAGTGCGGATGAGCTCCCTCTGTCAGCTTCGGTTCTCCATGTGTGGACATGAGAGAAGCCTCCCACAAGGATTGTGGCACAGCTGGCTGGGAGTCAGCTGCATTAAGATCACTACTGACCCAAAGGTCATGATTTCGAAGCCAGCCCAGGTCGGAGTGAGCTTCCGACCAATTTGTGTAGCTTACTGTTGACCTTTACAACCCGAAAGACAGTTGCATCTGTCAAGTAGGAAATGTAGGTACCGCTTATGCGGGGAGGATAATTTAACTAATTTACGAGGCCATAAAAATCTCCAGCAAGCATGCAAAGAATGAGGAAGTACTTCATCAATGTCACAAATGGACAGTGAAGTGACAGCTCCCCTGGTGGCCAGAATACCCTCATGAAAAGCTGAAATGTTAAATAGCCTCTGAGTGTCTGTCTATTTATGTTGTGTGTCTATGGCATTGAATGTTTGCCATGTATATGTACATTGTAATCCGTCCTGAGTCCCCTGTGGGGTGAGAAGGGTGAAATATAAATATTATAAATAAATAAATAAATAAATAAATAAATAAATAAATAAATAAAACATCAAAACATCCGGGCATCCCCTGGGCAATGTCCTTGCAGACTGCCAATTCTCTCACACCAGAAGCAACTTGCAGTTTCTCAAGTTGCTCCTGATACAAAAAAAAATTTGCCTCAGTCGAGGCAACGTTGTTATTTTATCACGGTTTGGGTTTCAAGTGCTCTGAGTTTCATTTACCAAGTTTTTGCCAATCTTAAGTTTTGCATATGGGATTTTCCTGCTGTTTTGTTCTACGGTTTCAAGTGCCTTGCTTCATGGATTTCTATATACTCAAAGGATCTGATTCTCCTTTGAAGCTTATGAACTATTCTGGATTTTGTAGTTTTACTGTTTCGCTAATTTTTTTTACTGCTTTGCCTAAATATATTCTACAATAAACTGCTTGCTGATTTTAACAAGCTGGTGTGGTGTTTAAGGTCAGAGGTATTCCTGCTCTGTTGTACGATAAGTTTGTTTATGGCAGGCATGGGCAAACTTGGACCCTCCAAGTGTTTTGGACTTTGACTCCCACAATTCCTAACAGACTCTGGCCCTTTCCTTTCCCCCCTCAGCCGTTTAAGCAGCTGAGGGGGGAAAGGAAGGGGTCTGAGGCTGTTGGGATTGTGGGAGTCAAAGTCCAAAACACTTGGAGGGCCCAAGTTTGCCCATGTCTGGTCTATGGGTTATTCAGCCACAAAGGCAATAGGAAGTGAGCAGAACATAAGTTCTGACCGCAGGGATTGGAAGTGCTTGACCCTCAATGTATGTCCACTCCATCTACATTTTTATACCTAACTGCTTACTTTTTCTCGTTCTTCCAGTGCTCTGATTAAACTCCGGGCAAAACGGCCCTTCATCATCTCCCGCTCAACTTTTCCAAGCCAGGGCAAATATTCTGGACACTGGCTTGGTGACAACAGGAGCACTTGGAAGGACATGGCTTGGTCCATCCCTGGTATGTATGTGCCTCAAACATCCTGCTTGAATGCTATTTGGAAGTCACCTGAGTATGAGCATCTATTTCCAGGTCTCTCTGATCCCTTTCTCTTCCATATAAAACTGCTCCAGGAATGCTGAGTTTCAGCCTCTTTGGAATCCCTTTAGTCGGGGCGGACATCTGCGGCTTCTCTGGTTCTACCTCTGAGGAACTCTGCACTCGCTGGATGCAGCTGGGGGCCTTCTATCCCTTTTCCCGCAACCACAACACTCAAGACGAGAAGGTATATCAGGGTAGAGAGAGCTCTTCTGGGGTCCTTTCTGTGTATGTAAAAAGTGTTTCACCAACATGAGAGCTCACTCCCACCTCTCGCAAGTTAAAAATTTGCAAGAAGATGCCATTTTTTCAATTGAAAGAAACCCTATGCAGTACTGGAGTGTCACTTCTTTTGCATGCAAAATTATGGACAAGATTATGGCTTCTTTTCTCTTTGGAAGTATGTCTATTAAAGTTTGTGACCTGGAAGTGCTTCTGCAGAAATGCAGAGACTTTTTTTTCAATACAGGTGACAAAGCCATCCAGGTTATGTTATTTTATTTATTATTTACACTATTTATTTACAGTATTTATATTCTGCTCTTCTTATCCCAAACGGGACACAGAGTGGATCACAGAACACATATACAGTAAACATTAACTGCCATCATACACTGACAAGACAGACAACTGTACAGAGATAGAGGTATATATAGGCTTTTCCCATCTTTGGCATCTTGGAAACTGTGCTTGGTTCTGGCCATCTTTTTTGCCAAGGAGCTTTGCTCCACCTTCCCTGCCAAAGAGCTCGTAAATTTCCTCCTAGATTGAATTCCTGGCATTTTTCTGGCATCCCCTTTACCTTTACTTACTTACTTCCTTCCTTATGGGTGTCTTAAATACCTCCCCTCTTTAAAGCAGTACCTATTTATCTGCTCAAATACTGTTTTTGAACTGCTGGGTAGGCAGAAGCTGGGCTATTTATCTACCCACATGCCGCTTTTGAACTGCTAGGTAGGCAGAAGCTGGGCTATTTATCTATTCACATGCTGCTTTCGAACTGCTAGGTAGGCAGAAGCTGGGCTATTTATCTACTCACATGCTGCTTTCGTACTGCTAGGTAGGCAGAAGCTGGGCTATATATCTACTCACATGCTGTTTTTGCACTGCTAGGTACGCAGAAGGTGGGCTATTTATCTACTCACATGCTGTTTTTGCAGTGCTAGGTAGGCAGAAGCTAGGCTATATATCTACTCACATGCTGCTTTCGTACTGCTAGGTAGGCAGAAGCTGGGCTATATATCTACTCACATTCTGCTTTTGAACTGCTAGGTAGGCAGAAGCTGGCTTACCCTGACCCAGGCTTTGAACTGCCAACCTTTCGATTAGCAAGATTCCCATATTTTTCCCTGCTCAGCTATAACTGCTGACCTCCAGAGCGACTCTATAGTCAATTTCTGTTGGAATTTAACAATAGAGTTTTGTGGAGGAGTTAAGAGAGGTGTTTTCTCTAGAAGCCTCTACATCTCCAGCATAATCTATGGTCAAGTTGAGTCTCACTAGAGAATGCAGACTTTCCTAAAGAGATCATATTTATTAATGGCTGATTTTGAATGAATTAATGAATAGCCTTCAGGGGGTGTACTTGGGAAAGAGTAGTCTAGGTGCTTTCATTCATTCTAGTCTCTTCCTCTTCCCAGGCTCAGGATCCCCCGGCTTTCAGCCCCGCAGCAAGGACCGCCATGAAGGAAGCCTTGGAAATCCGCTACAGCTTGCTGCCCTATCTCTATTCCCTTTTCCATCGGGCTCACCTGCAAGGGGACACTGTGGCCCGGCCTCTCCTTTTTGAGTAAGTAATGAGGACGCTGGTTTCTGGCAGATACCCTTTTCCTTTCTGAAAGTTTGCAATTCAGGCCTGCACAATCAGGACTAGCTTTGTTCCCTATCTTAATCACAGAAATGGTTTGATTTTCTTATGCCTTGTGCATAGAGCAAGTCCAGATGCTCCATGGCAGTAAATGCTAAGCTATTGCCTTTCTGGATTTTGCACCTTGTAGCAATTGCTCCCACTACTGCATCTAATACCCCAAATCCAATGCAATCTTAGAATTATAGAATCCTAGAGTTGGAAGAGACCTCATGGGCCATATTCTGTCGCCGCTAGGGCTAAAATTAAAAGAGAGGATGCAAGGCTTGCGTCCAGCGGGAAGCCCGGGGGCCCGAGAAGGAGCCTTTAGAGGAACTTTCCCTACTAAGCAGGCTTTAGGAGACTTGAACTTAAATACAACAGTCTTTATTAATGAACAAGCAGGGATTGTAAGATTTCTAAATAGTCTATTGGCTCTTGCAGTCTTGTTTACAAGAAACAGGCACTATCTTCAAGAAACTTTGTTTAACAGAAAAATTCCCCTTTAAAGCTCCTCCCAGGCTGCTGTGAACTTAAACCTGGACTGGTTTGAGTCTGCTACCGGCTGAACTGCGTCTCAGAACCGAACAGACGTACCACCAGGCTTGAAATCACTTAGCTGAAGATGAAGAGCTGTTATTCCCTCCGGAGGTCTTCAGGCCTGTGAAGCTGTTCCCTGGAACCCTTTGGGAATCCGGAGAGGCCTTTAATCTGTTCTTCCCCAGGAACTCTTAAAAGACGAAGCCTTTGCACAGAGGAACATCTGTACGCACCCTCTGCCTTGGCTTCCCTTGTTGTGACTAACTGAAAAATGGCCCCTTCCCTCCAAAAGGCAAAAAGGGGGCGGGACCAGGGATCCTAACTATAATTGGCAGGTGGCTTGCCCTATGAATGCAGCCAAAGGAAGCCACCTATCTGCAAAGTCCCTGCAACTTAGGACTATGAACAAACACTCAGTGCAAAACACAAATTTGGAGCCCCTGGAACACCCGTTCCAGAACAGGCCATCTAGTCCAACCCCATTCTGCCAAGAAGCAGGAAAATCGTATTCAAAGCACCCCCAACAGATGGCCATCCAGCCTCTGTTTAAAAGCCTCCAAAGAAAGAGCCTCCACTACACTCGGAGGCAAAGAGTTCCCCTTCTAAACAGCACTCACTGTTAGGAAGTTCTTCCTCATGTTCAGATGGAATCTCCTTTCCTGTAGTTTGAAGCCATTGTTCCATTGCATCCTAGTCTCCAGGGCAGCAGAAAACAAGCCTGCTCCCTCCTCCCTATGATTTCCCCCCACATCTTGATCTATGGCTGTCATCATGCCGCCTCTCAGCCTTCTCTTCTGCAGGCTAAACATACCCAGCTCTTAACCAATTAGAGAGATGATTGGCCAAAATGAACCAAACAAAGTTCAACAGGGACAAATGGAAGAGAAGGGGCTTATGCAGAAAAGAAGGAAATGCAAAGATAAAGAATGGGGGACGATGCCTGGCTTGACAGCAGGATGTGTGAAAAAGATCTTGAAGTCCTTGTTGGGAGGAAGGAACATGAGCCAAGAATGAGCAAAAAAAGTTAATAGGATTTTGGCCTGCATCAATAGGAGCCTAGTGTCTAGATCTAGGGAAGTCATGTCCTTCTCTATTCTGCCTTGGTCAGACCACTTTACCTGGAATCACACGGTGTCCAGTTCTTGGCACCACAATTGAAGGGAGATGTTGACTCTAAGCTGGAATCTGTCCAGAGGAGGGCGACTCAAATGATTGAAGGTCTGGAGAACAAGCCCTATGAGGAGCGGCTGAAAGAGCTGGGCATGTTTAGCCTCCAGAGGAGAAAGCTGAGAGGAGACATGATGAGGGTCATGTATGAATATGTGAGGGGAATTCATAGGGAGGAAGGAGCAATCTAGGCAGGGCATTGCAGGCAAGCATACAGATGTGGAGTTGTCTGATCTGCTCCACAGTCGCACAAAGTGGAGGATTCTTTTAGGTTGTGCCATTTTGCCAGGTGTCTTTTGATCTCCCCACTCCACTTCTGAGTCTGTTCAGGGACTTCCAAGTGGCCCATTCTTGGTTTGCCCCTGGAGGAAAACCCTCTCTTGTGGGGGACTATCCAGTTGGGATTTCCTGGTTCAGCTGCCCAGAGGGATACCCTTGCTGTTTCTGAGGGGATGCCAAGAGGAGTGGTAGTTCTCATAAAGCTTTCCCTTGATTGGAGTCTATTGGGAGGAGGCTGGTAGCCATGTATTGGATGGCTTTCACAGTGTTCAACCTTATTTTTCTCACAGTTAGCAGCAACTTGCTGTTGCACATCATAGGGGGCAATAGCTTATTTAACACCATGTTTATTTCAGTTTATTTAACACCATATTTACCCCTGACCTGTTTACAGCGTAGTGGTACTGGGTAAGGGCATGTTTCATCAGTCAGCAGGACCTGGAGCTCATGGGATTGTGGTGCTCCTCCTTCCAGGTTTCCAAAGGATGTGGCCACCTACTCCATCGACAAGCAGTTCCTCTGGGGACGGGGTCTGCTGGTGACGCCGGTGCTGGACCCTGGTGTGGACTGGGTGATTGGCTATTTCCCTCGAGGCTTGTGGTACGACTACTACACGGTGAGGCTGCTGTGGTCTGATTTCTTTACTTTGCCCAAACTGTGATCCCTTAGGACAGTTGTCCTCCATTTATGACCCTACCAGACTTTTAGGTGGGTTGCAGATTCGAGGAACCAGGGTTGGAGTCAGAGCTTGGAACAGTTATGTTAGGTGTATTGTCGAAGGCTTTCATGGCTGGAATCACTAGGTTCTTGTGGGTTTTTTCGGGCTACAGGGCCATATTCTAGAGGCATTTCTCCTGACGTTTCACCTGCATCTATGGCAAGCATCCTCAGAGGTAGTGAGGTATAGCATCAGAGGTAGTGAGACCTCTGAGGATGCTTGCCATAGATGCAGGCGAAACGTCAGGAGAAATGCCTCTAGAACATGGCCCTATAGCCCGAAAAAACCCACAAGAACCTAGTTATGTTAGGATTACAACTTCCAGGAACCTCCAGCCGATAAATGGACTATTTGTTGGAGTCACCAATTGCTAGTTGGGTTGTGGATACTCTTAGGGATGTGAAAACATTACCTTGGGACTACAGTCAAAAGAAAGGAACTGGTAGTCCAAAAAGGTAATTGTTGTGAGCACTGTCTATGGTACAGTCAACCACTGTTCTGGTAACTTAAAATTGTTTGGTTTTTCTACCTCTTGTAGGGTTCTCTGGTGAATAGCAGTGGGGAGAACTTGAAAATGGCAGCCCCACTCGACCACATCAATTTGCACATCCGTGAAGGGACCATTCTCCCAACTCAGGTGAGACCCATGTGCTTCATCCCCTTTGCCTATTCAAGTCATTCACAAGCAACTTACTAGAGAAACTTCTGTCACCTTAACAGCGAAGTGGGACAAAACCACAGTGACAGAACCATTGCAACAACAGAAAATTGCAAACAAAACCACCACTGTGTAACTATTGTCAATGAAATATGAGAGATAAGGTAGCATATTATAGCCCTCCAGATGTTGGATTGGTTCTTCCATCATTTGTCATCATTGATTATCATCCCGAGCTCTGAAGATCACCTGGGAAGGAATCCCACTGGAGTATTGCAGCGCACCCAAATACCTGGGAGTCACTCTGGACCGTGCTCTTACCTACAAGAAGCACTGCCTGAATATCAAGCAAAAAGTGGGTGCTAGAAACAATATCATACGAAAGCTGACTGGCACAACCAGGGGATCACAACCAGATACAGTGAAGACATCTGCCCTTGCGTTGTGCTACTCTGCTGCTGATTGTGCATGCCCAGTGTGGAACACATCTCACCACACTAAAACAGTGGATGTGGCTCTTAATGAGACATGCCACATTATCACAGGGTGTCTGCGCCCTACACCACTGGAGAAATTACACTGTTTAGCTGGTATTGCACCACCTGACATCCGCCGGGAAGTAGCAGCCAATAGTGAAAGGACCAAGGCAGAGACATCTCCAGCTCATCCCTTGTTTGGGTATCAGCCATCACTTCAACAACTTAAATCAAGAAATAGTTTTCTAAGATCTACAGAGACACTCGCTGGAACACCTCAGCAAGCGAGAGTCCAAAAGTGGCAGGCTTAAACCTAGAACCTCAACCAATGCCTGAATCCAAATAAGAGACTCTCCCCTGGGCACACAGAGGACTGGGCGACTTGGAAGGTGCTGAACAGACTGCGCTCTGGCACCACGAAATGCAGAGCCAACCTCAAGAAATGGGGCTCAAGTGGATTCCACGACAAGTGGAATCCACGACATGCAAGTGTGGAGAAGAGCCAACCACTGACCACCTGCTGCAATGCAACCTGAGCCCCGCCACATGCACAAGGGAGGACCTTCTTGCGGCAACACCAGAGGCACTCCAAGGGGCCAGATACTGGTCAAAGGACATTTATTCAACTACCAAGCTTGCAAACTTTGTGTTTTGTTTGTTTGTTTGTTCTGTTAAAAAATGCAACGCAACTGTTCGGTCTGCTCCTGACATTATAAATATAAATAAATATATACCTGGTGTGGGCTGATAGGAACTGTAGTCCAACAGCATCTGAAGCTACCTAGTTTTGATGTATTCCAAGTCACTGAATAACTTTCTTATAACTGTAGGAAAACGTTTTCAAGGTGTGTTGTCAAAGGCTTTCATGGCCGGAATCACTGCATTGCTGTGAGTTTTCTTGGCTGCATGGCTGTGTTCCAGAAGCATTCTGGAGGAAACAAAATCTGGCTGCCAGTATTAATCTAAAAAATAAGGACAGTAAATAAAGATCAATACTCAGAAAATAGAGAGATTCCAGACATGAATCAATCAGCTAACACCTCCCAAAAAAGGACTTCCCCAGGCAGGAAGCAGCCAGGCTTTGAAACTGCAAAGCCATTCAATAATACTCAAGGTGACCAATTGCAACATTCACACTTGCCTCAGGGACATTCTACAGATATATAAACCCGACTTGCCTAGTTTCCACCATACTTCACAACCTCTGAGGATGCCTGCTGAAAATGTGGGCGAAACGTCAGGAGAGAATGCTTCTGGAACATGGCCAGACAGCCTGGAAAACTCACAGGAACCCAGTTTTCCAAGTGCTTAGGACACAGTATGTGATTTCCTAATGTTATGGAATATTGTAGGTTAGGTTTTCCCCTGATGTTAAGTCTAGTCGTGTCTGACTCTGGAAGGTGGTTCTCATCTCTATTTCTAAACCGAAGAGCCGGCATTGTCTGGAGACAGCTCCAATGTCTTGTGGCTGGCATGACTGCACGGAGCACTGTTACCATCCCACCAGAGCGGTACCTATTGATCTACTCACATTTGCATGTTTTCAAACTACTAGGTTGGCAGAAGCTGGGCCTAACAGTGGGAGCTCACTCTGCTCCCCAGATTCAAACCGGTGACCTTTTGGTCAGCAAGTTCTGCAGCTCAGCGGTTTAATCCACTGCACCATCAGGGGCTCCTTGAATATTGTATTGTTATTCTTTTTTCTTACAAATCACTTCCCCTCCCAATCCAATCTTGGGCCCCATTACAGTACCATATAATGTAGTTTCAAACTGTATTATCTGGCAATGTAGATGGGGTATGCGACTTAAATAAACTTACATGGTGAGGGAAGATTTGATTTATATCTGTGGTAGCAGATTATTATATTATGCTGTTTTATTACACTGATGCAAATGTTCAACTAAAGTTTGTTACTCTGCTTGCTTTCTCCATTCCTTTGTCACAATGGGGCTACTCTTGTTTGAACTCCAAATTCAGACACTTACTATTTTCCTTTCCAGAATCCAGGTTGCTGCACTTCCGTCAGCCGAGGTAATCCCATGCGCTTGATCGCAGCCTTGTCACAGAACGCCAACGCCTGGGGAGATCTTTACTGGGATGACGGAGAAAGCTTGGATGCCTTTGCGAAGGGCGACTATTCATACCTAGTGTTCAACGTCACCCAGGTAAGAAGAAGAGCAAGGTCTTCTGTCCTCCATTATAGCATGGAATAGTAACACCGTCAGGGGCAATTGGACACATGTTAGCTATGGCATCAGAGGGTAACTGGTAAGAAGGACAGAAATGAGGAGAAGGGGTGTAAATAGCAAGGAAGGAAGGAAGGAAGGAAAGAAGGAAAGAAAGAAGAAAAGTGGGAAGGGGATGGGAAGGGGAAGGAAGGAAGGAAGGAAGGAAGAAGAAGTTGAGAAGGTATATGAAACAAGAAAGGAAGAAAAGAAAGAAGAAAGGGAGAGAAGGAGGATGGGAAAGAAGGGAGAAAGGAAGGAAGGAAGAAGAAAGGAGGGAAGGGAAGGTGTATGAAGGAAGTAAGGAAGGAGAAGTTGAGAAGGTATATGAAGGAAGAAAGGAAGGAAAGAAAGAAGAAAGGGAGAGAAGGAGGATGGGAAAGAACGGAGAAGGGAAGGAAAGAAAGGAAGAAAGGAAGGGAGGGAGGGAGGGAGGGAAGGTGTATGAAGGAAGGAAGGAGAAGTTTAGAAGGTATATGAAAGAAGAAAGGTAGGAAAGAAAGAATACACAGAGAGAAGGACGATGGGAAAGAAGGGAGAAAGGAAGGAAGGAGGAAAGGAAAGAAAGATAGAAAAAAGAATGAAGAGAAGGTGTCAAAAGGAAGGAAGGAAGGAGAAGGAAGGAAGGAAGGAAGGAAGGAAGGAAGGGGAATTTGGGAAGGAAGAGAGGAAAAAGCGAAGGAAGAAAGAAAGGGAGGGAAGAAAAGAAAGAAAGAAAGAAAGTCTGGAAGTCAAGAGCGAAGGAAGGAAGAGGAGAGGAGGGAAAGAGAGAAAGGGAAAGGAAAAAAGGGAGGAGGAAGGAAAGAGGAAGAAGGAAGGAGGAAGAGAAGGAAAGAAAAAGGGAAGGAAGGAAAGAGAGAAGGAAGAAGAGAAAGGAAGAGAGAAAGAGGAGGGAAGGAAAGAAAAAAGAGAAGAGGAGAAAAGTAAGAAGGAAGAAAGGAAGAAGGAAGAAAGGAAAGAAGAAAATGAAGGAAGGAATGAAAGAAGGAGAGAAAGAGGGAGAGAAGATTGGCCACAGCAACGCATGGCGGGTAAAGCTAGTCACTCATAAAAACACTGAGAAAAAAAACAGCAGAAGAGACGTAAAAAGCCAAAAAATAAAAAATACATTACAATGCATGCACAAAACCACATATATATATACACACACACACATATATACACACACAAAACACATATACACAGACCGGGCCACAGCAACACGTGGCAGGGGACGACTAGTCTATATAAATAAAAATGTAATGTTCATTTGTGGGATTAACATAACTCAAAAACCACTGGACGAATTGACACCAAATTTGGACACAATACACCTCTCAGGCCAACGAGTGACCATCACTCATAAAAACACTGAAAAACACAGCAGAAGGAACTTAAAAAGCAAAAAAAAAAACAAAACCCAAAATTAGGTTATAACACATGCACAAAACCACATATATATACACAAACTCACATATACACAAATATACACACACACATATACACACACAAAACTCATATACACAGACTGGGCCACAGCAACGTATGGCAGGGGACAGCTAGTTGTATATAAAATTCAAGTAGATAGCTCTTGTCGTTTTTTTTAATGTTGTTTATGAAAACTTCAAAAATTTACCAAAATTCCATGGATAAGTCAAACATTATGAAATTTGGTGAGCTAACCGTGGTAAATGTATTCTACCAGTGTAGCAAGTTTCATCAGGATAGCTCAAAAAATGAGGGAAAGAGAAGCACTTCAAGTTTCCCCACTGACCGTGATGTTTTCCCTTTGTGTGATCGCAATGGCCATTAACGAAGTACTTACGAAAATTCGTAAGTTTCATTAGAGTTCCAAAATTTTGACCACCAAAACTTCAGAAAGATTTTAGAAATGAAGCACTAGCGTTTCCCATTTCTGGAAGGAGTTTAGAATCATGTTTTAATGGATTGCACATGCCTAGTAACTATTAATATCCCAACGGAGCAAATTCTACCTCCCCTGTTTGTCTGACTTGACCGTCATCTGGCCACCCTTCCTCTCTTTTTCCTAGAATACCTTCACTTCTGCTGTCCTGCATTCCAGTGTGGAAACCACCCATGTCGCCATAGATGTATTGACTGTATATGGAGTGAGAGAAGAGCCAAAGATTGTCACGGTCAATGGGAAGGTGTGGCCATTCAGCTATTTGACAAACCAGGTAATCTGAAGTGTAAAGGCCAAAAGCCTACTGTCTATATTTTACTACATTGCAGCCAAGTCCTATTAGTGAGTTGAGAAGTTGTGCATCTGAACAAGGGTGCTTTGGTGTGCAGCATGCTGTTCTGATGCACACCAGGCACTTGTCTTGTGCTCCAGCACTTCCTAGCTAGTGTCTGGGAGAGCACTGGAGAGAACATAAGGTTGGGAAGGGATGTGATAGCCATTGGAAAGGATGCCACACTTGTTTTCTGCTGCTCTGAAGCCTAGAACACAACATAGGAAGAAATTCAAATTGCAGGAAAAGAGATCCCACCTAAATATTGGAGGAAACTTCCTGATGATAACGGCTGTTCAACAGTAGAATATTCTGTCTGGCAGTGTGGTGGATTCGCCTTCTCTGGAGGTTTTTAAGCAGAGACTGGATGGCCATCTGTCTGGAGTGGTTAGATTGGGTGTGTTCCTTCATGACAGGGGATTGGTTTGCCAGCTGTATAATTCTATGAAGCTTCAGTGCCCATTTTGCTTTTAATTGCATTTTGGGGGGAGTTTTCTTCATGTCGGAGCCCCCGGTGGAGCAGTGGGTTAAAGCACTGAGCTGCTGAGCTTGTTGATCGAAAGGTCGCAGGTTCGATTCCGGGGAGCGGCGTGAGCTTCCGCTGTCAGCCCTAGCTTCTGCCAACCTAGCAGTTCGAAAACATGCAAATGTGAGTAGATCAATAGGTACCGCTCCGGTGGGAAGGTAACGGCGCTCCATGCAGTCATGCCAGCCACATGACCTTGGAGGTGTCTACGGACAACGCTGGCTCTTCGGCTTAGAAATGGAGATGAGCACCACATCCCAGAGTCAGACATGACTGGACTTAATGTCAGGGGACAATTTTTACCTTTACCTTTCTTCATGTCAGGAGCAACTTGAGAAACTGCAAGTTGCTTCTGGTGTGAGAGAATTGGCCGTCTGCAAGGACGTTGCCCAGGGGATGCCCGGATGTTTTACCATCCTGTGGGAGGCTTCTGTAATGTTCCCACATGAGAAGCTGGAGCTGACAGACAGGAGCTCATCCCACTCTCTGAATTCGAACTGCCGACCTCTCAGTCAGCACTCCTGCCGGCACAAGGGTTTAACCCATTGCGTTACTGGGAGCTCCATTGAATTGCAGTGTTTCAGTCACTATGCTGGGTATCATTACACAATAGACTCCCAGATGTTGTAGTGTCAAGCAGCCCTAGGCGAATATGAACATTGTGATACGATTCGATTCAATTTTGTGTACATGGTAAGCCATTCACAAAGATATTAAGGCTTTATGAATGGCTTGCCATGTGCACAAAACTGAATTTAATCGTATCACAATTGTTATATTTGCCTTTTCAAGCAGAAAGCCAGCCAATGAAATTAAATCATATCTGGGTTGCTGCGAGTTTTCCGGGCTGTATGGCCATGTTCCAGAAGCATTCTCTCCTGACGTTTCGCCTGCATCTATGGCAGGCATCCTCAGAGGTTGTGAGGTCCGTTGGAAACTAGGAAAATAGGGTTTAATATATCTGTGGAATGTCCAGAGTAGGACAAAGAACTCTTGTCTGTTGGAACTAGATGTGAATGTTTAAATTGACCACCTTGATTAGCATATAATGACCTGACAGTGCCTAGAGCAAACTTTTGTTGAGAGGTGATTAGATGTCCTTGTTTGTTTCCTCTGTTGTTGTGCTGTTGTAATTTTAGAAAAGAACTCTTGTCTGTTTAAGGCAGGTGTAAATGTTTCAGCTGGCCATCTTGAATGGCATTGCAGCTTCAAAGCCTGGCTGCTTCCTGCCCGAGGAAATTCTTTGTTGGGAGGTGTTAGCTGGTCCTGATTGATTCATGTCTGGAATTCTTCTGTTTTCTAAGCGTTTCTCTTCATTTACTGTCCTGATTTTAGCCAGATTTTGTTCATTTTCATGGTTTCCTCCTTTCTGATGAAATTGTCCACATTCTTCTTGTGGATTTCAGTGGCTTCTCTGTGTAGCCTGACGTGGTGATTGTTAGTGAGGTACAGCACTTCTGGATACTCCAATAATATCCTGTGTTCAGGTTGGTTCATCAGTTGCTCTGCTATGGCTGACTTCTCTGGTTGAAGTAGTCTGCAGTGCCTTTCATGGTCCTTGATTCGTATTTGGGCATTGCTGCATTTGGTGATCCCTATGGTAGTTAAGCTGTAACTGATTCTCCCTACAATATTGTGCCAATGCTTTCAATGCTCTTTTTAGGCCTATTGGTGTTTTTGAAATCAGAGCTGCATCCGTGGGTGGAGATATGTTTCCCCGCAAGTTTTGGAGGGTGAAAGTCCATGTTGTGCAGTTGATCCACCATAGAGTTGATGTATAGGTTGAATAATGATGGGGCTAAGATGCAGCCTTGTTTGACTCTGTGCTAACTGTGTTTGTGAGGTGGCCTTGAGGTTTGCATCTTATTTTGAGAGACATCCCTTCATGGAGTTAACGGATAAGATGGAGAAGCCGTCTGTCAATTGAGGTGCCTTCTAAGTTGAGTTAGGTTTTAATAACGACTTGTATTGGTTTTTAGCTTAGATTTTAAACTTTGTTGAAGTGTATAACCCCTTGGGTTTGATGTGAATGTACGGGACTAGGTCCCCATGTTGTGATCTGGTCTTCGACCGTAATAAACTTTACTTACTTACTGGTGGTCCCTATGTAGACTTGTCCACAGCCAAATCAGTTACTAACTCCTCTTTTTGACTCCCTCTTTTAGGTTCTCACCATGAATGACCTACAGCTCAACCTCAGCCAGGGATTCTCCATACAGTGGAAGTGAGCTGGGCACAGTTTCCTCCAGCCTGGCGGCTGTATGTTCATGCGCAGGTTGGGCTTTCGGCCCACGCGGAACCTCTGGATGGGGTCACCACACTCTGCGAGTTTTTGTGGGTCCGTCTCTTGGCCTCGTTGTCGTCTCCTCTCTGCCTCCGCTTGGGAAGAGGACTCCTGATTCTCCCCCTTGCTGCTTCCACTCTGAACACTTCCCTTCTGAGAACCTCCCGCCTCGCCTCTGTGAGAGTCCTTTGCATGTCGCTAGGCATCCCATGCCCCACCCTGCATGTGTCGGAAGGTGCATTGTGGTTTTGTCAGGAAGGGAGCTGGTGGAAGTGTAAAATAACTTTTTCTGGACGGGAGCCCTGTGTTGCACCACGCCATCGCTGTTTCCTGTGGTAGGGTTGCCTCCATTGCTGCATGAAATAGGAGACCCTCAACTTGCATGCCGACCTCCTCCAGCCTAGCCATTGGCATTTCCACTTTTCAAGAATGAAGGGATGACAAAGGCAGAGGGAGAAAAGACTCTTGGGTCTTGGAATGGACTTTGCCAAATAGAACTTGGAAAAAGAAGTCAGATTAAAGCCTCTTGAGCAAGAGTCATGTGAGATCCATAAGCTGTGTGATTCTGGGACTTGTAGTCCCAAGTTCTGCAGCCAAAAATGGGTGGGAGGTGACACTGTGCACCCCATGACCCTGCCTGGGTTCTAATGTGGAATAAGGAAAGCCAAAGCCAGGAACATACCAGCCTTTTAAACAGAATTGGAACTAGCAGAAAGTATAGCACCTCTGATTGGGCAACTTTGCATCTATACGAAATTGGGGGCGATACCACGGCTGCCAATGAGAAGGGCTGATATTACACAGCATAGTTGCCATCCCGTGCCTTTAAAAATCTGAACTCACACACAGTTCCCAATTACTTACTAGATCTGAGCTCCCACCACCAACTCATAAAACCCAAATTCTTAAAGAGTTCCATGCCATGCATTAGGTGGCACCTTGTGAAGTACATTAAACACTAGATGGCACATGCTTGCCAAACCTGCAAACATAAAAATTGGGGTTTTGCTCTACATGTTACAATTACTGTCAGTATTACTCTTGCTTCAAAACACTGTTCATTGCTAAAAGAGCCAGACAGTTTCGCTCCCAGAGGGATGGACCTTTGGTCTGTGTGGCAACGTGCCACTTGTCTCACTGAATAGCCGAGCGAAAAGGCCACTGCTAGGTGGTTAGAACGCACAAACTCACTCAGGAGGCTGCCTTGCACAATAGATAGTCCTCTATAAGGTCCCTTTTGCCATCTAGGCAATGGGGAAATGTAACTTTTGTAAGGGACCTTGGATCAGATGCCCAACTTGGGTCAATCCAGGGCATTTTGAGCCAGCCCTGAACTCACCCTCAGTCTGAATGTCTCTCGCCTAAACTACAGTAAGAAAGACAAATCAATTGCACTATTTTCCCCCCTGAATCTAGAGTTCTGTCAATACAAATCCTACTGTCTTTCTTTGCTTATCCTCAGCAAGGAGGGTAAGCTTCTAAACCCTTGGAAAAACTATTCTAACATGTTCCAGTTCAGGGGTTAAAAGCTGGAACTATGGAACAGTTTTTAAAACATACCAAGGCCCCTTCCACACAGCCCTTTCAAGGTAGAAAATCCCACATATCTAAGTGTGGACTCAAGTAATAACTCAGTTCAGATAATCCAGTTCAAAGCAGATATTGTGGGATTTTCTGCCTTGATATTCTGGGATATAGGGCTGTGTGGAAGGGCCCTAAGATCTCCTTTGGCCGAGAGAAGCAGGGTATAAATACATATAATATATAAATTAATACATTTTGTTCAGCTCACCATCCTGTCCTGAGTTCTCTGGGTCTAAACACCACTGAACTCAATGGTACTTTATTTTGAGTTGACATCTGTTGAGGTGAATCGCATCCCCATCAGCTTGCAATTCAATAGTAAATGGATAACTGAGTTAGGACATTGGAAGATGATTTAGATCCATCCCATGACTCGAATTAGTCCTGCTTCCTCATGAACTTCAGCAAATGGTATGGATAGGCATCCTGCCTTCCCTGTTGCTGGAGGTAATATATAGCTAATAGCCATTGATAGCCTTGGAGATTGGATGCATGTTGCGTCACCGTTAACGTTGGCCTTCTAGGAGTTGCCTTAGTTGGTTTGGGTTGATGTTTTTGGGAAATTGTTTTGTTTAGGCTGCCAAAGACTTGAAATAACTTGCCTTTATTAAACGAATGCTCACTTGTTCATCCAATCAAGTTGGATGATCTACTGTTGCCAAATGTTATATCATTGATTGATTGTTAGAAATGTATTGTCGAAGGCTTTCATGGCTGGAATCATTGGGTTGTTGTGAGTTTTTCGGGCTGTATGGCCATGTTCCAGAAGCAGTCTCTCCTGATGTTTTACCTGCATCTATGGCAGGCATCCTCAGAGGTTGCGAGGTTTCTGCGGGTGCCTGCCATAGATGCAGGTGAAACATCAGAAGAGAATGCTTCTGGAACATGACCATACAGCCCAAAAAACTCACAACAACCCAGATTGTTGGAAACTAAAGAGCATTATTCACAGCTTCTTTCCATTTATTCCCTTTTAAGCCAAACTTAGATTTAAAACACGAACAAGCATGTCCATAAGAACCAAGACCTACTGATGAAATTTTACCTTCCCTCTACATAATATTGAGATAGTTTTCTTTATCCAGAGATAATGAAGTTGTCTAGCAAATAGAACTAGAATTGGAGATCTGGGCATAAATCTGCAGCCCTAAGGTTATTTACCTATCAGTAAACACCACAAAATTCAGGTCCCACCCATAGTGCCATATAATGCAGTTTGAAACGGCATTATATGGTTAGTGTATATCTATATAATGCAGCTCAATGCAGTTAAACTATATTATATGAGTGTAGATGGGGCCCCAGTGAGACTTAATTCTGATTCAGTAGCCTTCTGCCATGGGATCGTTTGGGAGAAAGTGAAGAAGTGTGGCTCTTTGGGTTATTTTGAAATGTTTGCTTGATTCCTTTCCTTACGTTTATGTGTCAAACAAACAAACAACAACAATAATAAAATACAGATGTTGAAACTGATGTGCTGTGATGGTCTCTCACTAGTGTGGTCCCTTCTTACGTATAAAACACCGAAATCCTGGACAAAGAAGAGAAAGCATAATGTGCCACTTTATAAACAGGACACGGAAAGAAAAAAGTCAGGGAAGAGAAAAATAAGCATATTCAGTTGTGTGGCATAATGTAAAAATAAACCTTGTGTAACTCACATTTGACCAGTCCACACACTGCCTTGCCAGAGAAAGAAAATATGCCATGCAGATAAACAAAAAAAGTAGTCTATTCTTCATAGTTCAGAAGAACATATGTAGAATGTGGTCAGTTGCATCAAATCACATAATGTCGTGTTATGAGAGATTTAAAATGGTCTTTCTTTGTCCATGTGGATAAACTCCTTCAGCAGTTCATGAAGCAAGAGCACACTCCAAACTCTGTCTCTCTCCCCTTCTCTCCAAGCACCTTCACAGCTCGAGCCTGAACAAAAATGTGACAGCAACCAAAAGTCCCAGGCTCAACCAGCTCCCCACACAAAGCTCAACCAATCAGCTTTGTGCATTTTATTTTACAGTTCACACACACACACTGATTTCTTGCATGCTCCAACAAGTTGCTTGTCCCTATGCCCCATATTTAAATGAAAATATGATGATTAGGAACAGCAGCCCATTGTTCTCTCAGCCTTGTTCTATGCCTGTGAAACGTGGACTGTCTACAGACGTCACACTCAACTCCTAGAATGATTCCATTAGCATTGCCTTCAAAAAATCCTGCAAATTTCTTGGGAAGAAAACAGGCGGACAAATGTCAGCGGGCTGGAAGAAGCAAAGACCACCAGCATTGAAGCAATGCTCCTCCGCCATCAATTCCGCTGGACCGCCCAATAATATTTATTTATTTATTTATTTATTTATTTATTTATTTATTTATATACCGCTCTATCTTCCCGAGAGCGACTCAGGACGGTTTCCAAGCACCTCACCAAAACATACAGTCAATAGCATAAAAAATTAACAAAACAAAACAACATAAGCATAAAATTATCATAATTACACATATATATTAAAAATAATCCTGCCTGTTGAGAGCAATTAAAAGGCTGGGCTAAGGTTAGTGCAAACTCAAAATATGGGGGGACTGGGAATTAAGTACAGTGCTATAATAGGCTAGCAGAATTGCAGGTACAGGTCTGTCGCTGCTCATTTCCAGGGCCTATTAGAGGGATGACCAGGGTAATAGGTAGGAAGTGTAAGGCCATATTCAACAATGTTTGGGGCTGGGCTAGAACTGGTCATTCTCAAAGGCTTGTTGAAACCACCAGGTCTTCAAGCTCTTACGAAAGAAGGGGAGGGTTGTGGTCTGTCTTATTTCCCTTGGAAGGGCGTTCCAGAGGTGGGGGGCCACCACTGAGAAATGTATTTATTATTTATTTACAGTATTTATATTCCACCCTTCTCACCCCTCAGGGAACTCAGGACAGATTACAATGTACCTATACATAGCAAACATTCAATGCCATAGACACACAACATATATAGACAGACACTCAGAGGCTATTTAACATTCCAGATTCATGAGGGTATTCTGGCCACCAGGGGAGCTGTCACTTCACCGTCCATTTGTGACACAGGTGAAGTACTGTCACATTCTTTCCATGCTTGCTGGATATTTTTATGGGCTCATAAATTAGTTAAATTAGCCTCCCCACATAAGTGATAGCTAAATTTCCTAACTGACAGATGCAACTGTCATTCGGGCTGCAAAGGTCGACAGCAAGCCACATAAATTGGTTGGAAGCTCACTGGGTTGGCTTCAAACTCATGACCTTTCGGTCAGTAGTGATCTGTTGAGATTAATTTCACAATTCAGCAGCAGATCAGTTGCACAACTTCAGCGCTTTCCAGTAGCTTCTTCCTGCACAGTATTTTCAGTCAACTGCTCCCACAGCCTGCAGTCACTCTGGAACCTTTTACAGACACTTGAGCACATGCCCGACCATTGTCAGTTTTACCATTTTCTTTCCCCCAGTCTAGATGGTATTACAAACTTACCACAGCACACAGTTATATCTTGTCTTAGCAGACAGGTTCTTTTAATTACATATAGCCCTCGATGAACAACATCACAGCACAAGGAGAAATATACACTCTGCATGACTTCCTCATATACAATTCTATACAATTAGACATAGCAATCTCTGATTGGTTCCCAACCCATTAACTTAACTCAGACCCAGGATTACATCATTCACAATCACCTGGACTAGGCCAGAACACATTCCCCAAATGATTCCCTATATACAGTTAATGCATGACTCAGCATTTCCAATAGAAGCCCATTAGCAGTGCATGACTCAGCTATATTACATTACAATACATTGTAAAACCTGACATGATCTTAATGCAGCTGACTCCCAGCCAGCTGCGCCACAACCCGGATGACCATTTCTCCTACCTTGGCAGCCACCTCTCCACAAAGGTCAACGTTGGCATTGAAACACAACACCACCTGAGATGAAGCAGATAGGGTTTGAGGACTACGACATCCGTAGGGAAATCAAGGTGCTTGTTTATAAAGTTATTGTCCTCCCAACCCTGCTATATGCCTGCAAAATGTGGACTGTCTGCAGACATCACATGCAACTCCTGGAACGATTCCACCAGCGCTGCCTCCAAAACATCCTGCAAATGTCTTGGGAAGACAGGCAGACAAATGTCAGTGTGCTGGAAGAAGCAAAGGCCACCAGCATTGAAGCGATGCTCCTCCGCCATCAACTCTGTTGGACTGGTCACATTGTCCAAATGCCTGATCACCGTCTCCCAAAGCAGCTACTATACTCTCAACTCAAGAATGGGAAATGTAATGTTGGTGGACAGGAAAAGGGATTTAAAGATGGGCTCAATGCCAATGTTAAAAATTGTGGCATAGACACTGAGAACTGGAAAGACCTGGCCCTTGAATGTTCTAACTGGAGGTCAGCTGTGACCAGCAGTGCTGCGGAATTAGAAGAGGCACAGATGGAGGGTAAAAGGGAGAAACGTGCCAAGAGGAAGTCGCATCAAGCCAACCCTACCGGGACCACCTTCCACCGGGAAATCAATACCCTTAATGTGGGAGAACATGTGGGTCAAGAATAGGGCTCCACAGCCACTTAATTATAACATAGGCGAGGCTGTGCTCCCAATGCCAACGGATAGGTGGCGCTGTATCTCCATTTTTTTGAGGCTCCAAGGCTGCAGTTCTCCTTACTCGCCGACAGGGCGCGAAAGCAGCAATTGGAGAGCGCACAGTGTTTTGGTTCCGAGTGCGGAGGTCAGAGCGGGGCACTTCCGCTTCCGCTCTGTCCAGCCCGCACCTGAGCGAGGGGGACACTCCCGGCCAGGAACATGAACCGCCCGAAGGCCGCGGCCGCCCGCCGCCCGAGCACGGTCGCCAAGCCCTCCGGTGAGTGAAGGGGAAAGGCCTTGGGAGCTCCAGGATGCAGACACGGGCAGATCTCTAGCCCAAGCCCTGCTCAAGGCAGGCTCTCCCTCTCTCAGAGTCTCCAGCCATTGGCCAAGGCTGCTGAGGCTTCTGGGAGATGAAGTCCCAAGTCTAGAGAAGGCCTGGGCCAATTTGGGCCCTCCAGGTGTTTTGGACTTCAAATCCCACAATTCCCAACAGGTGGAAGGGCCAACTTGGACCCTATTATTATTATTATTATTATTATTATTATTACTTTACCTCTCTGAACGTATTCTCCCCTACGAACCATCAAGATTATTAAGATCATCTGGAGGGGCCCTGCTCTTGGTCCCACCGGCCTCACAAGCGCGGCTGGCGGGGACGAGGGACAGGGCCTTCTCAGTGGTGGCCCCTCGGCTGTGGAACGCCCTTCCCGCAGACATTAGATCGGCCCCCTCCCTGCTGGCATTCAAGAGAAGAGTGAAGACCTGGCTCTTTGAACAGGCATTTAATTAAGCAGTGCAATTCATTGATTGATCATTGGAACATGGAATAATGGACAAGGAGATCGGATTATGACTTTACTGATGAGACGTGATGGATTAGTTATATGGATGTATTGATGTTGTATTGATGTATTGTTATATTGATGTAGTTGCCATGATTACTGTTTTAAATGCTAATGTTGTGCACTTTGTATACTGATTTGGTTGTAAACCGCTCTGAGTCGCCTACGGGCTGAGAGAGAGTGGTATACAAATGAAGTATACAAGATTATTAAGATTATTAAGATCATCTGGAGAGGCCCTGCTCTCGGTCCCACCGGCCTCGCAAGCGCGCCTGGTGGGGACGAGGGACAGGGCCTTCTCGGTGGTGGCCCCGCGACTCTGGAACTCTCTCCCTCTGGAGGCCAGAACCGCCCCATCCATCCTAACATTTAGGAAACGGGTGAAGACGTGGCTGTGGAGTCAGGCCTTCGAGGAATGAGACAACACCATAGGACCCTGGATGGAAGTTGATGTAGATCCATCTTAATAGGACGACTGACCCACTGTAGTTTTATATATAGTGTTTTTAAAGTTGTTTTTGTAATTGTGATATATGATATTTTAATGAGTGTATATGTTTTTTATGGCTGGAAACCGGGCTGAGTCCCTCAATGAGGTTGAGAAGCTCGGTATAGAAAACTGTGAAATAAATAAATAAATAAATAAATTTGTACCCCGCTAGCATCTCCCGAAGGACTCGATGCGGCTTACAAGGCCAAGGCCTCAAAACACAACACAACAATATAACACCTAAAGCAAATTAAAAACAGTTAAGCAGTATAAACAATAAACAATACATCAAGACACTATAAAACTGGGCCGGGCCAGAGTAATGGGTACAAGATTAAAAGTGCTGATGTGACAGGAGGTATGCAGGATTATAAGTAAGTGCAGTGTGCGGTGTGCAGTGATCTTAGTTCTACTAAAGTGCTTCTAGGACATCGGTATTGGAGGTTCCTAATCTGAGAAGGCACATCGGAACAGCCAGGTCTTCAAGTTCTTTCTGAAGACAGCCAGTGTAGGGGCCTGTCTAAGATCTCTTGGGAGGGTGTTCCAGAGTCAGGGGCCACCACAGAAAAGGCCCTGTCTCGAGTCCCCACCAAGCGCGCTTGCGACGTGGGCGGGATCACAAGCAGGGCCTCTCCAGGTGACGAAAGTGAACGTGTGGGTTCGTAGACGGAGATGCGGTCACGCAGGTAGGGTGGTCCCAAACCATTCAGGGCTTTGTAGGTAAGCACCTGAACCTTAAATTGGGCTCGGAAAATAAACGGCAGCCAGTGGAGCTCCGTGAACAGGAGGGTTGACCTCTCTCTGTAAGGAGCCCCGGTTAACATCCTGGCTGCTGCCCGTTGGACCAGTTGGAACTTCCGAGCCGTTTTCAAGGGCAGCCCCGCGTAGAGCGCATTGCAGTAGTCCAATCTAGTCCCTACAAGTGTTCTGGACTTCAACTCCCACAATTCCCAATAGCCAGAAGGGCAAACTTTTGGACTTCAACTCCCACAATTCCCTACAGTTGGAAGGGTGAACTTGGGCCCTCCAGGTGTTTTGGACTTCAACTCCCACAATTCCCTACAGTTGGAAGGGCCAACTTGGGCCCTCCAGGTGTTCTGGACTTCAACTCCCACAATTCCCAATAGCTGGAAGGGCAAACTTTTGGACTTCACTCCCACAATTCCCAACAGTTGGAAGGGCCAACTTGGGCCCTCCAGGTGTTTTGGACTTCAGCTCCCACAATTCCCAACAGTTGGAAGGCCCAACTTGGGCCCACCAGGTGTTTTGGACTTCAAATCCCACAATTCCCTACAGTTGGAAGGGCCAACTTGGGCCCTCCAGATGTTTTTGACTTCAACTCCCACAATTCCCAACAGCTGGAAGGATGAATTTGGACCCTGCAAGTGTTCTGGACTTCAACTCCCACAATTCCCAATGGCTGGAAGGGCAAACTTGGGCCCTCCAGGTATTTTAGACTTTAACACCCACAATTCCCAACGGCTGGAAGAGCAAGGTCTCTACAGTCACTTATGGACCCACTGTCAAGAATCTACCTGTGGAAGACAATCAGGCTCAGCCAAGGGAATACCCATGAATGAAATGAATAAGCCCATCCAATTCATCTTCTGTACCTTTCTTTTATCTGGGAGACATAAAGATTTGTGTGGCTCTTAAAAAAGGAATTTATTTATCCACCCCCACCCACCCCCTTCAAAATAGCAGGAGGGTGCAGGAGAGTTTTCTCATCTCATTTTGATACTCATTGGTTGGTTTCCATTCTGCTTCTCCTCCTAGGCCACCCCCCTCCAGGAGACTTCATCGCCTTGGGTTCGAAAGGCCAGGCCAGCGAATCCAAGGCAACTGTTGCGCTGCTGAAGCCGGCCTCGGCGGGATTGCCTTCGGAGCGGAAGCGGGAGGCATCGGCGACTCTCACAGGGGCCTCTGCGCTCACGGGGCTAGCCAAGCGGCCCAAGCTTGCCTCCACTCCCCCCCTTAGTGCATTGGGACGGCTGGCTGAGGCGGCAGTGGCAGAGAAACGAGCTATTTCCCCGTCCATCAAGGAGCCCTCCGTGATCCCCATTGAAGGTAAGGAGATGAGTGAGGAGTGCTCCTCTTTCTACATGCATACTTCAGGGCTCCCTCTGTTCCTAACTGTTCTGTATACAAGGGTTGGTGCTTCACTACTTACAGCCAACTGGGCTGACTTTGATAGAGAAGTGGATGAAATCACAGAAGGTATTCGTCAGGATTTCTCCTTGTCCCATCCAGGATGAGAGGGATGTGCCTCTATATATTTCTTGTTGGGAGATGTGAGGTGGATGGTGGAGTTGTGGTCTTCGCTATGATTATGTTGTTACTTTATTTTGCATAGGATGCTTTCTTGTGAAGGTATATGGAAAGATCCCTGTCATTCTGTTTTGTTTTTCAAATAAGGAATAGCTAGCCTTTGGCCTTCCAGATATTTTGAACTGCAGATCCCACATTTCCCATTTTGGATGTGGCTGATGGGAGCTGTAGGCCAAAGTGCTGGATTCCTCCCTACCTCACCCATGTGTCACCAAATACATCCCAAACAGCAACAGTCTCCTTGCAGAAATGTCTTCATTTCAAATCAAGGAACCAAATCAAACAACTGCTTTTCATCATGACAATTGATAACTTAAATACAGGTAGCTGAAGTCTCTCTCCATCAGAGGTGGATGGATCACATATATGGGCAGACATCTTAATGATTTGCAGCAATTCTATACCATTTGAAAGCAGAATTACTTGAAGCTCACTCAGCCAGTGAAAAATTCAGGAAGTATTAGCCCCCCAAAGTGGTATTTGCAAGCTGTGTATGAAAGTACAACTGTTGACCTTTTGCTTCTGTTTGTAGTGGCCCCAACCATTCTGGTGGATGAAATTGAGTCTGCGGAAGCCGAAGGCAATGATGACCGCATCGAAGGGGTGTTGTGTGGTGCTGTGAAGCAGCTGAAGATGAATAGGGCCAAGCCTGATGCCACCCTCTACTTGAGCCTGATGTACCTGGCGAAAATGAAGCCGAACATATTTGCCACAGAAGGAGTGATTGAGGTAAGAACACACTTGGAATGCTGGGAACACAAAAGTGTGTTATCTTGGCAAATATTTCCCATACTGAAGTCAAAAGACTTAAAAGAAAATGGACTATTTTCTTTTTACAGTACTAAGTGAGAGGATAGAAATTACCTTACAGGAAATTCATTTTTACATGAGGTTTGGGGTTGGGAAAGGTGTTTTGCTTTTTGGCAACTGTTTCCAAAAGGCCCAGATTTCAGCTGATTTTCAAAGCAACATCTGATGTTGGTTCTGGTACCTGGCCTTTGGCAAACAGAGGCTCTCGTAGCCAGCTTGTCCTCACACTCATGTTTTCTTGTATTCTGCAGGCCTTGTGCAGCCTTCTCCGCCGAGACGCCTCTATCAACTTCAAGGCCAAAGGGAACAGCCTGGTCTCTGTCTTGGCCTGTAACCTTCTCATGGCTGCTTATGAGGAAGACGAGAACTGGCCAGAGATCTTTGTCAAGGTAAGCGGAATTGAGAAGCCACAGAGATGCATGGCAACATGCAAATTGGTGTGCACTCCAAAAGGAAGAAGAGTGAGGAGGGAAGAAAAAATGAAGCTATCCAAGGCCTTGGTTCTTAGAATTCAAGAGTTCTGCAACTTCAATGGAATCAATCCAAAGGGCCATGTTTAAATATTTGAAAATATGTCACACTGAAGAGCAGGCAAGCTTGCTTTCTGCTGCTCTGGAGACTAGAAAACAATGGAGCCATGGATTCAAATGGCAGGAAAAGAGATTCTACTTAAACATTATGAAGAACTTCTTTATGGTAACAGCTGTTCAACAGTGGAATATGCTGTCTTGTGGTGTGGTACAAGTCCCCTTCTTTTGAGATTTATAAACAGAGGCTGGATGTGTTGTTGAAAGCTTTCATGGCCGGAATCACTGGGTTGCCTTGAATTTTCTGGGCTGTATAACCATGTTCCAGAAGCATTCTCTCCTGTTGTTTCACCCAAATCTATGGCAGGCATCCTCAGGTTGAGGGGGGTCTGTTGGAAACCAGGCAAATGGGGTTTATATATCTATGGAATGACCAGGACTGGAGAAAGAACTCTTGTCTGCTTGAGGCAAGTGTGAATGTTGCAATTGGCTACCCTGAAATGCATTGAATGACATTGCAGCTTCAAGCTTGGCTGATTGCTGCCTGGGGGAATCCTTTGTTGGGATGTGTTAGCTGGCCCTGCTTTATTTTTGTCTGGAATTCCCCTTTTTTTTAGTGTTATTTACTGTCCTGATTTTAGAGGTTTTTTTTAATACTGGTAGTCAGATTTTGTTCATTTTCATGGTTTCTTCCTTTCTGTTGACATTTTCACATGGTTGTGGATTTCAATGGTTTCTCTCTGTATGATGCTGGATGGCCATCTGTCAGGGGTGCTTTGATTGTTTGTGTGTTCCTGCATGGCAGAGGGTTTAGGCTAGATGGCCCTTTTGGTCTCTTCCAACTCTAGGAGTTTACTGAGAGATGCCCCATGGAGCTGTTCTCATACTGCTGCTGACATTGTAGGCATGGCTTTCTTGTTTTTCCTTCCGCTGTAACCACATAGAGCAGCAGTTCTCAACCTGGGGGGTCGCCTGGCCATTTCGGAGGGGTGGCGAGGCTGCCTCCGTTGGCCCCACCCCAAGGGCGCGGGCCAAGTGAGAGCTCCTCTGCGCGAGGCCTGGCCTCGCGCAAAGCCTGCCTCGCCTGCCTCACTCTCTCCCCATCTGGCGAGGGCGCAGGGCAGATAAGTGGTCCTCCTCATGAGGCCTGGCCTTGTGCAAAGCCTGCCTCGCATTCTTGCCAACCGGGAGTTCTGTGTGGAGGTCTCAGTGGTCTGTGGAAGTCAGCGCTGAATCGGTTGAAGGTACTGCAAATCCATATTTTTTCTGATTAATCATGATTCTCTAATTATGTTGAATTTGTAACAATTAAAACACATCCTTCATATCAGATATTTACATTATGATTTGTAACAGTAGCAAAATTACAGTTATAAAGAAACAACAAAAATAATTTTATGGTTGGGGGTCACCACAACATGAGGAACCATATTTAGGGGTCCCGGTGTTAGAAAGGTTGTGAACCACTGACATAGAGCAACTGCTCTTAAAGAAAATTGGGACAGGACAAAAGTGAATTTTATCTTATCATTGAATTGCTACTCCTTTTAAGAATTACATGACAGAGGTGTGATTTTGAAATGACTTTGTATTCATTTTATGCTTCAACTTTAGGAATGTTTACCTTTTGTTCCCCGGTAGGTATACATCGAGGACTCTCTTGGGGAACGAATCTGGGTGGATAGCCCACATTGCAAAACCTTTGTGGAGAACATTCAGACAGCATTCAGCACCAAGATGCCCCCCAAAAGCATTCTGTTACATGGGGAGGTGGGGCGCGGCGGAGGAGACCTCAGTGCAGGTAAGAATAGTCCTCTGTGTGTCGATGGAGTGAGTGAGAGTGGCCCTTCCCTTCCCAGCTGCCCATTCCTGGTTTACTGTGCTATCCGAACTCAGCCAGTAGTTTTGTGTCTTCAGTGTTCTGTCTTCTGACTCTGCTTTCAGGGAACAGCCCCCATCCCTCGGTGCCTGACGAGGAGGACAGCCAGAGCGAACTGTTGATTGCCGAGGACAAGATGAGCCCGGAGCAGGAGGGCCAGCTGATGCCCCGCTATGAGGACTTGGCTGAGAGTGTGGAGGAGTACGTGCTGGACATGCTGCGGGATCAGCTCAACCGGCGCCAGCCCATGGACAACGTCTCCCGGAACCTCCTGCGCCTCCTGACCGCCACCTGCGGCTACAAGGAGATCCGCCAAATGGCAGTGCAGAGGCTGGAGATGTGGCTGCAGAACCCCAAGGTGAGGGCAGAATTATTCATCCCACTCCTTGAACTTTAGGGACGAGCTGGATGCTTCTTTCATACTAATCCATCATTGGAACAGATTAAACCAAGATGGGCATCAGAAAAAAAACCTTAACTTCTTGCACTCTGATAGAAGTCTAGCACTTTACCGTATATACTCGAGTATAAGCCGACCCGAATATAAACCGAGGCACCTAATTTTACCATTTTGGGAAAATGTATTGACTCGAGTATAAGCCTAGGGTGGGAAATATAGCAGCTACTGGTTAGTTTCAAAATAAAAACAGATACCAATAAAATTACATTCATTGAGGCATCAGAAGGTTAAATGTTTTTGAATATTTACATAACACTGTAATTTAAGATAAGACTGTCCAACTCTGATTCTAACCTTCTTCAACGTAAATGTGCTTATGTATCCTTCCAATAAGAATAGAGTAACATAATGTAATAATAATAATAATAATAATAATAATAATAGAGTAAAATAATGAAAATGTAGTAATAACAGTAATAATAAGAGTAAAATAATAAATGTAATAATAACAATAATAAATAGTCAAATAATACATCTAATAATAACAATAAAGTAAAATAATAATGTAATAATAATAATTGAGTAAAATAATAAATGCAATAATAATAGAGTAAAATAATACATGTAATAAAAATAATAATAACAGAGTAAAATATTAAATAACGTTGACCCAAGTATAAGCTGAGAGGAACTTTTTCAGCCTATAAAAACGGTTGAAAAACTAGGCTTATATTTGAGTATATACAGTAATTTAGAGGTAGAATCATCACTTTTAGTTCCTGTTTAAAAAGGCTCAGAGCATTCTTAGTATCTATATCCAGAATTATTTCATTACTAGCTGTCCCCTGCCATGCGTTGCTGTGGCTCAGTCTGTGTATATGTGTTTATATGTGTATATATGTCTGTTTGCGTATATTTGTGTGGTTTTGCGCTTGTGGTGTAATGTATTTTTAAATTTTTTTTTTTGCTTTTTAAGTCTCTTACACTGTGTTTTTCAGTGTTTTTATGAGTGATGGTCACTTGTTGGCCTGATACTTGTATTGTGTCCAAATTTTGTGTCAATTCGTCCAGTGGTTTTTGAGTTACGTTAATCCCACAAATGAACATTACATTTTTATTTATATAGATTGCCATCTGGCAGATGGTATAAGGTGACAAAGACAAGGACAGGCAGCCGAGAGATAGCTTTTATCCTAGAGTTGTGGCTATGTTGAACTCCATGGTTTTGCATTGATGTGGCATTGGGGGCTGTGGTAGTGGTTGGGGTGTGGAGGGATGTGTGTGTTGTTTTGTGATGTGTGCTGGGGAAGGCATTTAATTTCGTTGTGCAATAGTAGAATGACAATAAAGCTATTCTAAATTTACGCAGCATATCTAGACTGTTCAGCAGGTATTATATATTTATCGTCTCAGAAGCCAATTGGGTACAATTATAATGTATTTAAAATAACACAAAGTTCAAAACTGGGCATGATGCTAGATTTCCTTTGACCCGAAGCTGCCACTTGGAGTGCCTTTGGTGTCGCTATGAGAAGGTCCTCTATTATGCATGTGGCAGGACTCAAGTTGCGTTGTAGTAGGTGGTCTGTGGTTTGCTCTTCTCCACACTCACATGTTGTGGATTCCACTTTGTAGCTCCATTTCTTAAGGTTGGCTCTGCATCTTGTGGTGACAGAACGCAGTCTGTTCAGCGCCTTCTAGGTCGTCAACTCTTCTATATACCCAGGGAGGATTTTGTGATTCAGTCTCAGCCACTGATTGAGGTGCTGGGTTTTAGCCTGCCACTTTTGGACTCTTGCTTGCTGTGATGTTCCTGCGAGTATCTCTGTATATCTTAGGAAGCTGTTTCTTGATTTAAGGCATTGGCATGCTGGCTGATATCCAAACAGAGGATGGGCCAGAGATGTCAGTGCCTTGGTCCTTCCTGTTCTTGTTTTTTAAATAGTTTTTATTTATTTTAAAGAAAAGAAAAGGGAGGATCTCAGAGTGAAGTTGGGGGGAGGGAAAGAAAAAAGGAGTGGGTTATTTAGGGAATGGATAACAATACGATCTATGGGATAAGGGGAAATAGGGAAGGAAAACCCTATTGTTTGGAAAAAAGGAAAAATTGGGGAACTGGGGTGGGAAGGCAAAAGGATGGAATAGGGGGGAGGGGAGGAAGTGAAAATAATAATAATACGGGAAAAATAGGGAAAAATAAAAATAAAAAGTTCTTGATTGTTGACTTCAGAATTTTTCCTGTCAGGGTTTTTAAACTTTTTGATATTGATTGTAGTTGTTCTCTCCGTCATCTGGTTATTGTGTCTTTACTTTTTGCCTTCAAAAAATTATGTAATAAAGTCCAATCCGTAGGGCATTTGGGTTTGCCTTGGTGTGTTTTCAAAAGATAGGTTAGTTTATCCATGTTTGTTATGTCCAATATCTTTAGTTTCCACTCTTCTTCCATTGGAATTTCTTTGGTCTTCCATTTTCTGGCATACACAATTCTGGCTGCTGTACTAATATAGTTGAATAAAATGTCTTCATTTTTGTTTATTTTCATGTCTAGCATCCCTAATAAATAGTATTCGGGTTTCATTTGAAATTTTATTTTTATTTTTTATTTGTATAATTTCATGATGTTCTTCCTGTTGTTGATCCTCAAATCCATTCTTGGCTTCTGATGGACCTGAGTGCATCCATTTTTTACTAGATCGAAATGTTTTGAAGTTCCAACTTGAGGGGATCACCCATAGCTACATAGTAGAGCAATCCCTTTGCATGCAAGTCTTGGAATCTCTAACTCAGTAGTGATAAGGCCAGGTGATGGGAAATATTTTACTTTAACTAAGATCCCAAAGACATGCAACAGGGACTCTTTGCAGGTTAATATATTTCGTAGTTATACAAGGCCTAAAGCTATTTCTCGTGTTTGTTTAATCAAGGGTGTCATCTGTAATTTTGGCACTCCCACCCTTCAAGCTCTTTGTAAAGTATTGACCACTGACTAAAGTATTGACCACAATGTGTGGACTGAGTTGGACATTGTTTTATTTCGGCGAATGGATTATATGTATTTTTATCTTGTATATGTATTTTAACCTATTGTCCATGTATGATGTTTTAAAGGCTTTTAATGTTAGCATTGAATACTTGCTGTTAGCTGTTCTGAGTCCCTCCACGGAGGTTAGAGAAGAACGGGATATAAAAGTTTTAAATAAATAATAAATATTTGTATTCTCAGCTCACCCGGCCAGCACAAGACCTACTCATGTCAGTCTGCATGAACTGCAACACCCACAGCTCCGAGGACGTAGAGGTGGTCTCCAACCTGATCAAAATCCGCCTGAAACCCAAAGTCCTCCTCAACCACTACATGCTGTGTGTCAGGTAAGGGAGCAGAAGCTGGCCTGTTTCTCACAGAAGCAGAAGAGACAGCAAGAAAAAAGTTTAGGGAAGAGGCTGGGCATAATGTGGCCCACACATTCTCCCTTCTGATCTAGACAGGGAGGAGGAATCTAGCCATCAATGGTGCAGGCTATGATCCCAGATTTCTAACCTCTCCAGGGAGCTGCTGAATGCCCACCGGGACAACTTGGGCACCGTGGTGAAATCAGTGGTCTTCAATGAGCTTTCGAATGCTAGGAATCCCAATAACATGCAGATTCTGTACACAGTTCTCCAGCACAGCCCAGAATTGGCTCCCAAGGTAAGTCCATAGCTGCTAATGGAAAGCTAGAAAGAGAGCAAGGGGCTGTCTCTTGAATTTCTTTAGTGTTGCATCTTCTATGGGAACTAGGGAGACCCACAATGAAACCTGCATCCTCTTCCTCTAGGAGTTTTATGGACTTTGGGTCCAAAAAGGGATGATCCCCAGACAAGAATCTCTTAAAAGCATCACAGCTCTTTTAACAGATATAGTGGAAAGAGTTCCGACGAAGGTAGAATCTGGCAAAGCAGGGGTTGCCCAAAGAACAGGCTTAGTAGTTTTATCTGTAATAATTGTCACTCATATTCTTGGTTTGTATTGCGCTTCCAAGGTTCTTGGACTACAATTCTTAGCAGCTAGAGGTAGACAGCAATTATGAATAGTCATGTGCATTTGGGCCAAAAGACATACCGTTTTCAGGTCCGTTTTTGTCTGGTCCCTCATTTTGTTTACCAGAAAGTTACCCGAAAGGGTAGGGGTGTTTTCCGTTTCATTCGGAGGAGATTAGGCCCATTGGCTACAATAGGAAATTTTAAAAGCTCAATCCTCAGCCATTTCAAGGCCTATCTGCATGAAACCTACATCAGTTGTGGACCCCATTTACAACTGCAGGTCTTCCGAGTTTCAAAACAATCCACCAATCGACTGATTTTTTAGAATTATTTTAAGTTTTAAACATAACATTTTAAAAAATAGGACAACCCACAATAGAGGGTTCTGTAAATTGTATTCGTCAGCTGTGTCCATTCTCAGCCAATCAGAGCATGGACACCACTAGGCTTTTTACTGGCTGAGAGACATAGAGAAAAATTTCAACTCCTACCATACTCCGAGAGGAACTTTCAATGGCCACCCTGTGTTAGGGTGGCCATTGACAGGATTGACAATGTGGAAATGGAATTTGGACTATGAGATAGCGAACGCTGACCATCAATGAGGAGTAATTGGGTTTGTATTGGTTTTATTGGTTTTATTGTTGCAATGCAGGAATTGTTGTTTAACTGTTAATTGATCCTATTTGTTTTATTACTGTTATGTGATGCTGGCATCGAATTGTGCCTTTGTAAGCTGCCCTGAGTCCCCTTCGGGGGTGAGAAGTAATCGAAATAAATAAATAAATAAATTAGTGCCAATGGGAAAGTGAGTTCTACAGCCCTTTCTAGAGGAGAAGGGAACTTTCCAAGAAAAAAAATGGAGGAAGCTTCTTCTACTGGGGAGGGAAAAAGACGCCATGGAACCCCCTGCCTCTGGTATTTTGTAGACTTAACTCTTTTCGAAAATATCGTCTCTCTGAATTCGTTTCACTGGTTTTTTCATCTCTCTCTTCCCCTTTATGTTTTCGAAAATTACACAAAAATTGCTATCCGAAAACTACTAATTTTTTCGTTAACAGTGATTCGGGCCCAACTCTAGTTATGAGTGATGGGAGCTGATGATCAACAGAAGGAGGCCTTTGTTTCTCATCCACCTCTTTGCCTTAACATTGGTTTTTTCTTCCCTGATGTCCAGTTCTTAGCAATGGTGTTCCAGGACCTGCTGACCAACAAGGACGACTACCTCCGGGCCTCGCGGGCCTTGCTGCGGGAGATCATCAAGCAGACCAAGCACGAGATCAACTTCCAGGCCTTCTGCCTTGGCCTCATGCAGGAGCGGAAGGAGTCCCAGTACGCAGAGATGGAGTTCAAGGTGAGGGCCCGACTTGGCTTCCACCAGATGTTGTCTTTTTTAGACTACAAATCCCAGAATTCTGCTGGCAGATACTGGGAACTGCACAGTACAATCAAGGGATATGTTCCTGAACTCACCATGGAAACTCGAAACAAAGGATAAAAATGAACTCTGTTAGAATGAATGAGTTCTGCTGGATTTTATTATAAAGTTGCCAAGAACTTCCAAAATTTAGTAAAATTGTAAAATTCCTCTTTAGGAACACAGAGAGAGGTGTCCAACCATGGTCTAGAACAGTGTTTCTCACCCTTCCTCATGCCACGACCCCTTATAATACCGTTCTTCATGTTGTGGTGACCCCCAACCATAAAATTATTTTGGTTGCTACTTCATAACTGTAATTTTGCTACTGTTACAAATCGTAATTTAAATATCTTATATGCAGGATGTACTTTTATTCACTAGACCAAATTTGACACAAATACCCGATATTTAAATACTGGTGGCATTGAGGGCGATTCATTTCATAATTTGGAAGTTGTAGTTACTGGGATTTATAGTTCACCTACAATCAAAGCGCATTCCTCCAACAATGGAACTGAACCAGACTTGGCACACAGAACTCCCATGACCAACAGAAAACACTGGAAGGGTTTGGTGGGCATTGACTTTGAGTTTTGAAGTTGTAGTTCACCTACATCCAGAGAGCACTGTGGACTCAAACAATGACAGATCTGGACCAAACTTGGCAAAAATGCTCAATATGCTCAAATGTGAACACTGGTGGAGTTTGGGGAGAATAGGCCTTGACATTTGGGAGTTGTAGTTGCTGGGATTTAATGTTCACATACAATCAAAGAGCACTCTGAACCCAGCCCACAATGCATCTGCACCAAACTTGGAATACTACCTACATGGGCAGCACTGAATACTGGAGGGGTTGGGGGGCTGTTATAGAATTCTGAGAGTTGTAGTTCATCAACACCAAAAAGGAAGAGAAGGGCAGGGGGAGAGATCTTCAACCTTCTCTGCCAAAAGGGCTCCTAAGACCATGAAAAATATATGTTTCTGATGGTGTTTGGTGATCCCTTTGACACTCCCCTCGCAAACCCGCCAGGGGTCCCAATCTCAGGGTTGGGAAACACTGATCTAGAAAGACTTTTGTTCTACTTTTCCCTCTACATCTTTCAGACTTTTTTTTGCTGAATTCTGATCTACATCATTCTTAATGGAAAACTAGAAGCCTCTTTTTCCTTCTTTTTAAATCTGTCTCATGTTCACAACACCTTCTCATCAAAGCCCAATTTATAGGCAGATTAGCAAACCACCTACTCTTTCATTCCTGGCTCGTCACCTTCTGGACTCTGCTGGGATGCCAATGACCACATTGTTCTCTTGTTTTTTTAGGACCGGTTTGTCATTCACATCACAGACCTGCTAGCCGTTTCTATGATGCTCAGCATCACTGCTCAGGTGAAGGAGGCTGGGATTGCATGGGACAAAGGGGAGAAAAAGAGTAAGTACCTACGATGTCTTGTTTTCTGCTGAAAATAGGTCAAGAAGAAGAGGGAGTATTACAATAGGCAGAAATCTCCCAACAAAATATCAGTCGATGGCATTATTAATAAAATTATATGTTTGTCATAATAAATTAAATAAATCATGCTTGATTGATTTGCAATGCTGGCAGCTTGTTCTTTTGCTCCCAACTCTTCTTTTGCCTTCTCCTTTTGCCCAGACTTGGAAGTGCTGAGGGCTTTCCAGAACCAGATTGCGGCAATTCAACGGGACGCTGTCTGGTGGCTGCACACCGTGGTTCCCTCCATCACGAAACTGGCTCCTAAGGACTACGTCCACTGGTAGGGAATGGAATTGGTTGACAAAGGCCTTGGGTTCATTCCCTAGTGATTGTCAATAGTGCTGTGAAATTGCCTTTCTTCAAGAACTGCTGCTTGAGAAGATGCAAAACTGTGGAAGTCGAAGGGAGCACATTTGCTCCTTATGAGACCTTCAGGCAGTGGTTCTCATCCTGTGGGTCCCCAGTTGTTTTGGCCTACAACTCCCAAAAATCCCAGCCAGTTTACCAACTGTTATGATTTCTGGGAGTTGAAGACCAAAACATCTGGGGACCTGCAGTTGAGAAACACTGCCTTAGGGGTGCATTTGCTCCAGGTAGGCATCCTCTGAATGGCATTGTCATTATGTTTTGGTCCTTTCTGGGCCATTTTAAGTCCAGAGAGGCCCTTTGAAATAATAGAAATTCAATTCCTACTTCACAAAGGCCTTTACTGGTCCAAAACTGATCCCTAGCACTTCCATAGCCATCATATTCCACATCTCCCACTATAATGAGCCCTCCTCCACAAATAATTTGTTTCTCTTTTATCTCATCCGAGTTTTTAACCAGTTTTAATTAGTTCTTTTAACCATTACATGTAGCCCGCCCATTGTCATTGTGTTTGTGTTTATTTCAATTTTATATTGTTGTATATTCATATGTTTTATGTAATTATGTTGTTGTTTATTGTTTGCGTTTTCGGTTTGCGTTTGGTTGTTCTTTATTGTAATTGTTGTTTGGGCTTGGCCCCATGTAAGCCGCTCCAAGTCCCCATTGGGGAGATCGTGGCGGGGTACAAATAAAGATGATGATGAGGATGATTATTATTATTATTATTATTATCCTGTGCCAAATTCTGCTACTGAAATTGTGGTGCCGGAGTCTTTGAAACCTGGGCTGCTCCTTATTGTGGTTTAGCTTCCCACTTGCCAGATTTCTGAGATTTCCTGCTCTTTGTTGTTGTTTTGCCCACAGCCTCCACAAAGTGCTGTTCACGGAGCAGCCAGAGACTTACTACAAGTGGGACAACTGGCCACCCGAAAGTGACCGCAAGTAAGTCTGAGCCTCAACTTGAACCTGGAGGAAAGCTGTATGGGTGACGTGCCAAAAAGTTCCCAGAGGGATTGCTAACTGGAAGCTGTGTCAGCTTTCACGCCATGCTTGTTGTTGTGACCTTCCTTCTTCGTTCTCCTCTTCCTCCCCAGCTTCTTCCTCCGCCTCTGCTCCGAAGTGCCCATCCTGGAAGACACCCTCATGCGCATCCTGGTGATTGGGCTCTCTCGTGATCTCCCCCTTGGCCCCGCTGATGCCATGGAGCTGGCTGACCACCTGGTGAAACGGGCAGCGGCTGTGCAGGCGGATGGTGAGATCTGGGTTGGAGGAGGACATTGGCAACAGTGGGCCGTTCCTTCAGAAAAGCCCTTCTCCCTTCTAGTCATCCCTTTCCTACCCATATGGATTTATGTCTGGGTTGCTGTGAGTTTTCCAGGCTGCATGGCCAGGTTCCAGAAGCATTCTCTCCTGACGTTTTGCCCACATCTATGGCAGGCATCCTCAGAGGTTGTGAGGTCTGTTGGAAATGAGGAAAGTGGGGTTTATATATCTGTGGAATAATGTCCAGGGTGGGAGAAAGAACTCTTGTCTGGTTGAGGCAAGTTTGATTGTTACAACTGATCACCTTGATTAGCGTGGAATAGCTTTGCAGTTTCAGGACTTGGCTGCTTCCTGCCTGGGGGAATCCTTTGTTGGGAGAAATCCACAAGCATGTAGACAATGTCAACAGAAAGGAGGAAACCATGAAAATGAACAAACTCTGGCTTCCAGTATTTAAAAAGTCTAAAATCAGGACAGTAAATCAAGAGCAACACTAAAAAAAAAACCCAAAACCAAAAAAAAAACCAGGGGAATTCCAGACAAGAAACAATCAGGGCCAGCTAACACCTCTCAACAAAGGATTGCTGCATTGCAATTGATCACCTTGATTAGCATTGAATAGCTTTGCAGCTTCAAGGCTTGGCTGCTTCCTGCCTGGGGGAATCCTTTGTTGGGAGAAATCCACAAGCATGTGGGCAATGTCAACAGAAGGGAGGAAACCATGAAAATGAACACAGTCTGGCTACCAGTATTTAAAAAGTTTAAAATCAGGACAGTAAATAAAGAGCAACACTAAAAAAACAACGGGAATGTTAGACAAGAAACTATCAGGGCCAGCTAACACCTACTAGCAAATGATCACCCAAGGCAGCAACCAGCCAGACTTTGAAGCTGCAAGGCTATTCAGTGCTAATTTTTCTGTTGTTTTGCAAGTGTAAAGATTGCAATTGGCCACCTTGATTAGCGTTGAATAGCCTTGCAGCTTCAAAGCTCCCACCCTGGACATTATTCCACAGATATAGAAACATTACTTGCCTAGTTTCCAACAGACCCCTCAACCTGTGAAGATCCCTCCCATAGATATGGGCAAAATGTCAGGAGAGAATGCTTCTGGAACAGGGCTATACAGCTCGGAAATCTCACAGCAACCCAGTGATTCCGGCCTTGAAAGCCTTTGACCACGGATTTATCTCTTATTTCTGTATTTTGTTTCTTTGATCCGTTTTCTGTCCTGTTTCTCTCATCCATTGAGCCCCTGAGCTTTTTGTCTTCAACAGGGATGCTGCTCTTTGTGCCTCCAGATTGTGCCTTTTGATGTTCTCACCTTTCTAAAAAATAATAATGAATTTTTAGGCTTTTACTTGGAGAGAAAAGGTCCCAGAGTGGGTTGTGGGAGGAAAAGTCAAAGGCAGTCCCTTTCTGCAGGTGTAACCATCTAAAAAGACACCATTTAAGGAAGGAGAGCTGAGAGGGAGGAGGGCAGGAAAGGAAATGGCATTGTAGCAATAATATGCCAAATTTGCAGTTTTCAAATACCATATATACTTGAGTATAAGATGACCCAAATATAAGCCGAGGCACCTAATTTTACCACAAAAAACTCGGAAAATTTATTGACTTGAGTATAAGCCAAGCAGCTACTGGTAAATTTCAAAATAAAAACAGATACCAATAAAATTGCATTAATTGAGGCATCATTGGGTTAAATATTTTTGAGTTGTTACACAAAACTGTAATTTAAGACATGACTGTCCAACTGTGATCAAACCTTTATTCTAAACTTCTTCAATATAAATGTGGTGACATATCCTTCCAATAATAAGAAAGAGAGTAAAATAATAAATGTAATAAAAATAATAATAGAGTAAAATAATACATGCAATAACAATAATAAAGTAGAATAATAAATGTAATTATAAATTGAGTAAAATAATAAATTAAAAAATAATATAGTAAAATAATGTGAATATATAATAAATGTAATAACAATAATAAATATAGTAAAATAATAAATATAATAATAATAGAGTAATAATAATAATAAAGGCCAAGGTCTTTAGGCGTGCCAGTCCCAGTAGTGATCGGCACAATGGGTGCAGTGCCTAAAGACCTTGGCCTGCACTTAAACACAATCAGCGCTGACAAAATTACCATCTGCCAGCTGCAAAAGACCACCTTACTGGGATCTGCACGCATTATTCGCTGATACATCACACAGTCCTAGACACTTGGGAAGTGTCCGACGTGTGATCCAATACAACAGCCAGCAGAGTGTCTGCTGTGGACTCATCTTGTTGTGTTTCAAATAATAATAATAATAACAATAATAATAATAATAATAATAATAGTAAAATAATAAATAACTTTGACTCAAGTATAAGCCAGGAGGTGCTTTTTCAGCTTTAAAAAAGGACTGAAAAACTCAGCTTATACTCGAGTATATATGGTAAGTATCTTTGAAAGGTTGGAGCTAAGAAGCCAAGAGCTACTGTTTCTCTGTCTTCATGTAAATAGATGAGAGCACCCATTCCTAGTCATCCTCCTTTGCTTTCCTTTAGACCTGGAAGTCTTGAAAGTGGAGAGGATCCAGTTGATTGATGCCGTCTTGAATCTGTGCACTTACCACCATCCGGAGAACATTCAGCTCCCTCCTGGGTAAGGTTTCCATGCTGGAGAAAAGAACTATCATTTCATTCTTAATAGAAAATGCCTAGAGGTACACATATTTCCCCTCCCCTTTGCTTTGAAGGTACCACCCCCCAAACCTGGCCATCTCTACCCTTTACTGGAAAGCCTGGCCCCTGTTGCTTGTCGTTGCTGCCTTCAATCCTGAGAATATCGGTGAGTGTCACAACTGGGATGTTGTAATGTTTGTGAGGTAAAGCCACTGGATACTTGTTGCTGGAAACCTCCACTCCCCTTTACAGTTGGCTCTATCCCCAGTTGTGCAAACCTGTGACTCTTGTACTCAATATTTTATCACTTTTTTCTGTTTCCTCTTCCTGCCTACATTGTATCTTAGGTCTTACTGCCTGGGAGGAATACCCCACGCTGAAGATGCTCATGGAAATGGTCATGACCAAGTGAGTATCCCCATTGAGCTCTGTCAAGGTCAGCTGATGGATGGAAATCTTCCTGAAGTAAACAATGTCTTGGACTTCCAGTCAATGCAGTCCAAGAATTTTTATTTTTTTTATTTGTCGTGTCAGAGCAACCAGTCCATTATATTACATTTCTAACAGAACAAAACAAACAAACAGACAAAATACAAAACTTGTGAGTTTGGTAGTTGGTTAAATGTCCTTCGACCAGTATCTGGCCACTTGGAGTGCTTCCGGTGTTGCTGCAAGAAGGTCCTCCCTTGTGCATGTGGCAGGGCTCAGGTTGCATTGCAGCAGGTGGTCAGTGGTTTGCTCTTCTCCACACTCGCATGTTGTGGATTCCACTTTGTAGCCCCATTTCTGAAGGTTGGCTCTGCATCTCGTGGTGCCAGAGTGCAGTCTGTTCAGTGCCTTCCAGGTCGCCCAGTCCTCTGTGTGCCCAGGAGGGAGTCTCTCATTTGGTATCAGCCATTGGTTGAGGTTCTGGGTTTGAGCCTGCCACTTTTGGACTCTCGCTTGCTGAGGTGTTCCAGCAAGTGTCTCTGTAGATCTTAGAAAACTATTTCTAGATTTAAGTTGTTGACGTGCTGGCTGATACCCAAACAGGGATGAGCTGGAGATGTCTCTGCCTTGGTCCTTTCACTATTGGCTGCTACTTCCCGGCGGATGTCAGGTGGTGCAATACCGGCTAAGCAGTGTAATTTCTCCAGTGGTGTAGGGCGCAGACACCCCGTGATAATGCGGCATGTCTCATTAAGAGCGACATCCACTGTTTTAGTGTGGTGAGATGTGTTCCACACTGGGCATGCATACTCAGCAGCAGAGTAGCACAGCGCAAGGGCAGATGTCTTCACTGTGTCTGGTTGTGATCCCCAGGTTGTGCCAGTCAGCTTTCGTATGATATTGTTTCTAGCACCCACTTTTTGCTTGATGTTCAGGCAGTGCTTCTTGTAGATCAGAGCACGGTCCAGAGTGACTCCCAGGTATTTGGGTGCGCTGCAATGCTCCAGTGGGATTCCTTCCCAGGAGATCTTCAGAGCTCGGGATGCTTCTCTGTTCTTGAGATGAAAGGATCTAGTGATGCCTAGGGAAGTGTTCTATCTAGGCCTCTGTGGTCAAGATTAAGTCTGAATCCAAGGCTATTTCCCAAGCAGCTGTTTTGTCTCAGTGTTCAAATAAAGTTTGGAAATGTCAAGCTTTTTTTCTCCTTTCCTTCTCAGCAATTACTCCTACCCTCCCTGCACCCTGACGGATGAAGAAACCCGCACAGAAATGATCAGCCGTGAGCTCCAGATCTCGCAAAGGGAGAAGCAGGAGATCCTCGCATTTGAAGGACACCTTGCAGCTGCGTCCACAAAACAAACCATCACAGAGAGCAGCAGCCTCTTGCTCTCTCAGCTCACCAGCCTGGATCCCCAGTATGCAACTTCCATTTTTCTAGAAGAGGAAACAGCCGGGATTTGGGGAGAGGGAGTTGAGGCCGGGGAACATGAAGTAACCCACTTCTACACCCACTTTCAAAGTGGATGAAATAGATCCTTTAAACTTGGGGCCCTTCCACACAGCCCTATACCCAGAATATTAAGGATGAAAATCCCACATTATCTGAGTGTGGACTCAGATATTGTGGGGTTTTCTACCTTGATATTCTGGGATATAAGGCTGTGTGGAAGGGCATTGGATCTCCCCAGAAGAGGCTCAAGTATGACTTCCACAAGGAATACACTGCAGCTATCCACAGGAGATACACAGAACCACCGATATTAGCAAACCCGATTGAAATGAAATATTGTACTCCTGGCCCAAGAAACTTTGCAGTCATGCCAGAGAACCTAGTAAATGCATAAAACGGATGTATACTGTATATACTTGAGTATAAGCTGACCTGAATAGAAGCTGAGGCACCTAATTTTACCACAAAAACCTGGGAAACCATATTGATGCAAGTATAAGCTGAGCAGCTATGGGTAATTTTCAAAACAAAAATAGATAACAATGAAATTACATTAATTGAGGCATCAGTAGGTTAAATGTTTTTGAGTATTTCCATAAAACTGTAATTTAAGATAAGACTGGCCAACTCTGATTAAAACAGTATTCTAATCTTCAATGTAAATGTGCTTACGTATCCTTCCAATAATAATAATAAAGTAAAATAATAAATGTAATAATATAATAATATAATGGAAATGTAATAATAATAGTAATAGAGTAAAATAATAAGTGTAATATCAATAATAAAGTAAAATAATAAATGTGATAATAATAATAAATGGAGTAAAATAATAAATAATGAAAATAATAATAAATTAAAATAATAAATGTAATGAAAATAATAATAGAGTAAAATAATAAATGTAATGAAAATAATAATAAATTAAAATAATAAATGTGATAATAAATGGAGTAAAATAATAAATGTAATAAAAATAATAATAGAGTAAAATAATAAATGTGATAATAATAAATGGAGTAAAATAATAAATGTAATGAAAATAATAATAGAGTGAAATAATAAATGTAAAATAATAAATACAATGTATTGTCAAAATCTTTCATGGCTGGAATCACTGGGTTGTAGGTTTTTCGGGCTATATGGCCATGTTCTAGAAGCATTCTCTCCTGACATTTCGCCTGCATCTGTGGCAAGCATCCTCATAGATGTCAGGAGAGAATGCCTCTAGAACTCTAGAACATGGCCATAAAGCCCGAAAAAGCCTATAACAACCCAATAAATACAATAATAGTAAAGAGTAAAATAATAAATGTAATAAAAATAATAATAAAGTAATGTAAATATAATAATAATAAAATAAAATAATAATAATAATAATAATAATAATAATAATAATAATAATAATAATAATAAATAGAGTAAAATAATATATGGAATAAAAATAACAATAACCCAGTAAAATAATAAATATCTTTGACTTGAGTATAAGCCGAGCGGGGCTTTTTCAGCCTAAAATAAGGACTGAAAAACTAGGCTTATACTCAAGTATATTCGGTATTTACCAGACATGAATAAATGAAACCATGGATCGCAATCCTGTGGATACAGGGGTCATACTGTCCTTCTCTACCTTAGTTGCTTCATACTATGATTCTGATTTAGAAACAAATGAGGCTTCTCCTCCTCTTCCTTTGCCAGGGGCCCTCCCCGCAGGCCGCCGCAGCCGGTTCTGGATCAAGTGAAGAGCCTCAACCAGTCTCTCCGCTTAGGGCACCTCCTGTGTCGCAGCAGGCACCCTGACTTCCTCCTCAACATCATCCAGAGACAGGTGGGCACCCCTAAGAGCTATGGACATGAGGGTGTAAGAAAGCCTGGTGGTTGAGTTGCATATCATAGTCACTTTGAAAAAAAGGAAAAGATCTGAGCCTCCCAAAAGGGCCCAGAGACCATTTACTCACCAAAAGCCTTTTAAAAATAAAATGTGTAAGATCTGAGAGAAAAATAAAGTGGTTTGAATACCTACAGAGATCAAAAGTGATTGGAGATGGTAAATAGCTTTTTCTAACCCCCCTTCATTGTTTTCTTTGTCTTTCTTAGGCTTCTTCCCAGTCAATGCCATGGCTGGCAGATCTGGTTCAGTCTAGCGAAGGCTCCTTGGACGTCCTTCCAGTACAGTGCCTCTGCGAATTCCTTCTGCACGACGCTGCTGACGAATCGACTTCTTGCGAAGAAGAAGAAGAGGGAGAGAGCAAAGAACAGCGGGCAAAGAAACGACAGGTGGGTGTTCTTGGGTATCTATTTAGGATTTATATAAGGGGTTTGTGTTGGTCAAGTGGGCTTATTAACAAAAGACCCTCCCCATGATTGTATAGCAGAGTAACTTATTATCCGCAGCGTGACCCACCACCAGTAGCCCAAAGTGACAAAAAGAACAAAAACATACAGAACAATGATATCTCTTCGTTGCACTATTTACAAGAACAAGGTTTCCATCTTCTATCTATATAAATAAAAATGTAATGTTCATTTGTGGGATTAACATAACTCAAAAACCACTGGACAAATTGACACCAAATTTGGACACAAGACAGTTAACAACCCAATGTATGTCCTTCACTAAAAAAAAAAATGATTTTGTCATTTGGGAGTTGTAGTTGCTGGGGTTTATAGTTCACCTACAATCAAACAGAATTCTGAACCCCACCAAGAATGGCATTGAACCAAACTTGGCACACAGTTCTCCCATGCCCAACAGAAAATACTGGAAGGGTTTGGTGGGCAGTGTCCTTTGGTTTTGGAGTTGTAGTTCACCTACATCCAGAGATCACTGTGGACTCAAACAATAATGGATTTGGACCAAAGTCTGCACGAATACTCAATATGCCCACTGGTGAACACTGGTGGAGTTTGGGGAAAATAGAATCTTGACATTTGGGAGTTGTAGTTGCTGGGATTTATAGTTCACCTACAATCACAGAGCATTCTGAACCCCACCAATGATAGAATTGAGCCAAACCTCCCACACAGAACCCCCATGTGAGCCACAACAACATGTGGCAGGGGACGGCTAGTAACAGAAATAAAGTTCTTTGTACTTCCTTCTTTGCTTCCACGCTGGGCTTCTTTCTCATGTAGATAAACAACTTTGCTCTCGCAGAGCTCTTCTCACACTGAACTTACACAGGAACTTTGCTCTCACTGAACTTACACAGTAACTTTGCTCTCGCAGAGCTCTTCCTACGCTGAACTTACACAAGAACTTCACACAGCACCCTTCACACACAGGGCCTTCTCAAACAAGGCCTTCAACCTGGGGCTTCTCTCACACAGGGGCCTACCTCACACTGATGCCTTTCTCAGACTGATGACTCTCTCAGACTGAGGCGAACTAACACTGAGACCTACCAAGCTACAGACACAGCTGCTTATATTGAACTACAGCTTTTGCTGAGTCATTGCATCCACTTAATCCTTTCAGTACTCTACAAGCTAGCTGGCATTGCCCCTCCGATGTGCGACGGGAAGTTGCTGCTAAATGTGAGAGAAATAAGGTTGAACACTGTGAAAGCCACCCACTGCATGGCTACCAGCCTCCTCCCAGTAGACTCAAATCAAGGAAAAGCTTTATGAGAACTACCACTCCTCTTGGCGTCCCGCCAACAACAGCAAGGGTATCCCTCTGGGCAGCTAAACCAGGAAATCCCAACTGGATGGCCCCCCACGAGGGAGGGTCTTCCTCCAGGGGCAAACCAAGAATGGGCCACTTGGAAGTCCCTGAACAGACTCAGAAGTGGAATGGGCAGATCAAAAGACACCTGGCAAAATGGCACGACCTAGAAGAATCCCACACCTTGTGTGACTGTGGAGCAGATCAGACAACTCCGCATCTGTATGCTTGTCCACTATGCCCTGCCTCATGTACAGAGGAAGAATTCTTGGAAGCTACAGACAATGCCATTGCTGTTGCCCCTTTTTGGTTTGCCCCAAACCAAAAACAGTTCAGTCAAAAGATATTTAGCCGCCTGCGCTCCTTCTTGACTCACATTTTTGTAATTAAAAATACCTAGTTAATTTTTAAAATATTTCTGACAGTTTGGACATGTGGAGTTGTTGTGGATAAGAAGCAGATCCATTTTGAGGGGGACTGTGTGAGGAAATTGCTGGGCAGGAGGAGGGTTGGCCACCGGCTCCACTGTACTAGAAGGACCCAAAGACTTTCTCTCTTCCACAGAGGCAGCAGAAGCAAAGGCAGTTGCTGGGACGGCTCCAGGACCTGCTCTTGGGACCCAAGGCTGACGAACAGACCACCTGTGAAGTGCTGGACTACTTCCTGCGGCGCCTGAGTTCCTCCCAGGTGGCCTCCCGGGTGCTGGCCATGAAGGTATGAAAGGTGGCCGCAAGCAAGGCCTACTTTTGGGGAAGATAGAGCCCATTTTATTCCATTTTGCTGACCTCCAGAAGATTCATTTGATGGACGATTTGGTTCAATATAGGAACTCAAAATCTGGCAATCGTATGGCAATGCTGGAGGACCTGGAACAAAAGGATGCCATATATTTTGGAAAAATGGCATTCATAACCTTTTTGAAAAGGAAAAAAAATGATAGCCTATCTTTTTGGCAAATGTGAATCTCCCTGAACATCTGGAGACCACCTTTTGAAAACCACTAGTCAAGGAAAGGCATGACCTTGTTAGAAATCAACCCTTTCAAAAAGTAATGTTTGTTTATTTATTTATTTAAAACATTTATATTCCACCCTCCTCACCCCAAAGGGGTCTCAGGGCGGAGCACAGCATATATATAGCCAACATTTAATGCTAGAAGAAAAACAAACTGGAAATATACAGAAACATTAAAATCGGTTGTAGGTAAAGGTAGGTAAAGGTTTTCTCCTGATATTAAGTCCAATCGTGTCTGACTCTGGGAGGTGGTGCTCATCTCCATTTCTAAGCCAAAGAGCCGGCATTATCCATAGACACTTCCAAGGTCATGTGGCCGGCATGACTGCATGGAGCACCGTTACATTTCCGCCAGAGCACTACCTATTGATCTACTCACATTTGCATGTTTTCGAACTGCTAGGTTGGCAGAAGCTGGGGCTGAAAGCAGAAGCTCACGCCGCTCCCTGGATTCAAACCTGTGACCTTTAAATCAACAAGTTTAGCAGCTCTTTGGTTTAACCCACTGCGCCACCAGGGTCGCCGAATCAGTTGTAACAACTTTAAAATCATATTGCTAAAAACCATCTCAGACCAACTCCAAGGGGTTTCCTATTATTGCCTTATTGCACTGTCTCAAAGAGCCAAGTTTTTACCATCTTTCTGAAGGACAGGAAGGAGGGGACTGATTTAATCTCACCAAGGAGGAAGTTCCATAGCCGAGGGGTAATCACTGAGAAGGCCCTGTCTCTCGTCCATGCGAATTAAGCGTGTGACGGTGGCAGGACCAAGAGCAGGGCCTCCCCAAAGGATCTTAGTAGCCACGGTGGTTCATAGAGGGAGATGTGTTCGGACAGATAAGCTGTGCTGGGGCTGTTTAGGGCTTTATAGGCCAAATATAGTAAGTAAGTAAGTAAGTAAGTAAGTAAGTAAATAAAACCAGCACTTTGAATTTGCCCGGTAGCAAAAATGTTCACAAGCATTCATGTAATGGCACACAGGTAACTCAGCTGTTAAACTGATAAACCATGTCTTTGAACTGCCAGGGACAAAGACATGCCACTGCACAAAAAAATATACTTTGCTAGCAAAGCTTTGAAATGTTTCTCTGAAGTTGAAGTTGAAATTACAGTTGCAGTTGCCCAAAACATATACTCTCCATTGAAACCTCTTAGTTTAAAAATATACACTCAAGAGACAAAAAACAAAGTCTTCTTTGAAAAATAATATATCTTGTTTACTCAAAAACATTATATTAAGGCACATTTAAGTTCAATTATAGAGGATGTAGTTTCTCTGTGTTGAGAACACAGGGCATCTTTCTTAATCTGTAGTTCATAGTCCAAAGTCATTTAGTATACATCTTATGAAAGTCCAAACTGTATAACCGTACGCACTACTTCTCAAAGCAAACATAACTGTTCCTACATAAGTCCAGAAGACATCTGCTTCCATTGAAGTCCAAAATGCAAACTGCATCCACCTCCACTGAGGTCTAAAGCAAACTGCTTCCATTGAAGTCCAAAAGCATACTGATAACAAAATGGAGTCCTGAGTCTGAACACGCCCAGTACAATCATATTTATTATTATTATTTGAAACTCAACAAGATGACTCCGCAGTAGATAAGATCACTCTGCCGGCTGATGTATTGGATCACATGTCGGACTCTTCCCAAGTCATAGAATCATAGAATCAAAGAGTTGGAAGAGACCTCATGGGCCATCCAGTCCAACCCCATTCTGCCAAGAAGCAGGAATATTGCATTCAAATCACCCCTGACAGATGGCCATCCAGCCTCTGTTTAAAAGCTTCCAAAGAAGGAGCCTCCACCACACTCTGGGGCAGAGAGTTCCATTGCTGAACGGCTCTCACAATCAGAAAGTTCTTCCTCATGTTCAGATGGAATCTCCTTTCTTGTAGTTTGAAGCCAATGTTTCGCGTCCTAGTCTCCAGCGAAGCAGAAAACAAGCTTGCTCCCTCCTCCCTGTGGCTTCCTCTCACATATTTATACATGGCTATCATGTCTCCTCTCAGCCTTCTCTTCTTCAGGCTAAACATGCCCAGCTCCTTAAGCCGCTCCTCATAGGGCTTGTTCTCCAGACCCTTGATCATTTTAGTCGCCCTGCTCTGGACACATTCCAGCTTGTCAATATCTCTCTTGAATTGTGGTGCCCAGAATTGGACACAATATTCCAAGTGTGGAATATTGTGTCTAGGACTGTGTGATGTATCGGCGAATAATGCATGCTGATCCCAGTAAGGTGGCCTTCTGCAGCTGGGATCTTTAAATCCTCGTATTGTGTCAGCTTTTCCATTTGTTTCTCTTCAATCCTGCTGTCAACATCGACAGTGCATACTTTGTTTTTTAACACGATTGTGAGGTCAGGAGTATTGTGCTCCAAAACTCTGTCTGTCTGAATTCGGAAATCCCAGAGGAGTTTGACGTGTTCATTTTTTGTAACATTTTCAGGCTTGTGATTCCACCAGTTCTTTGTCGCAGGCAGATGGTATTTGTGGCACAAGTTCCAATGAATCATCTGAGCAATGGTGTTGTGCCTCTGCTTGTAGTCTGTCTGTGCAATCTTCTTGTAGCAGCTAAGGATGGGATCGATTGTTTCATCTGCTTCCTTGCAGAGTCTACACTTGGGATCTGTCGTCGACTTTTCAATTCTGGCTTTGATGGCATTTATTCTAATGGCTTGTTATTATTATTATTATCATCATTATCATCATCACATGTCTATATGCCCCTCCCACACCAAAGAAGTCAGTCAAATTGGCAAATCAATATATATACAAACAATACAGGTTAGCAAATATGTACATTAACAAACAAATAGTGAAGGCTTGGAAGGTTGCTATTTCCAACAATTTATCCTTAGCAGAGTTTGCACTCCAGCTAGTGGCCGTGCTGACTGGTGGATTCTGGGAACTGGTGTGCAAAACAGTCACTGTCCAAGCTCTCACATCCTAGCCAAAGTGTGGCTGCATAGGGTGCTAGTCAACCATGCCCTCTCCCAGGTTATTCCATCTTAGCCCCATTGTCAATTTTTCTTTTCCAGTTGACAGTTATTTTGTAGTAAAAGGCTCAATGTCCTCAGTAGTTGTTGTGTTTCTGTATTTCTCTGCAGGGCCTGTCCTTGGTGCTTTCGGAAGGGGGGATCCGCGACAGGGAGGAGAAGGAACCCCTTATGGAGGAGGACTCGGGCGACTCTGAGCTTTTGCAGGGCTACCAATGGCTGCTGCGGGACCTGCCCAAGCTGCCCTTGTTTGATAGCGTCCGGGCTACCACGGCCGTAGCTTTGCAGCAGGTGAGGCAGACCCAGGCTCCATCTCCCTGAATCCCTCATTATAACTCCTGCTGGGAGTTATAGTCCTCAAAGCCACTTTTCCAGGCTCAGGGACAGAACTTGCTCTCTTCTTCCAGGCCATCCACATGGAGACTGACCCACAGACCATCAGCGCTTACCTGGTGTACCTTTCCCAGCATGCGCCAGTGGAGGATCAGGGACAGCACAACGACCTGGCACTGGTGAGAAAGGCGACAAATCGAGGCTTCTCTATGCTTTCCTCTCAAGCTTTCACTGTAATGAAATAAATCCCCGCTTCTTCCCCGGGGGACTGAAATCCAACAGGAAGTCTGTTCAGGTGGCATGTTCTTCTTTTCTCCTAATCTGTGTTTCTTAAATACGAGAGCGTTCTGGCCTGGGATTAAGGAAACCAGACAAAACATTGTAATGCTGCGGTTGTCTGCTCCTAAACTTAGTCCTGAAGCGTAAAGGAACTGAACACACATAACCACCCGTATTTTGAGATCCATTACATCAATTTTGTCTGGCAGTTCTGTTTCTTCCCACAATTTTCCCACCTTTGTGTGAAGTCTTCCAGCAGAGAAAGGGGTTGTGTATGTATTTAATGGGCTGCTGTGAGTTTTCCGGGCTGTATGACCATGTTCCAGAAGCATTCTCTCCTGAAGTTTCGCCACATCTATGGCAGGCATCCTCAGAGGTTGAGGGGTCTGTTGGAAACTAGGTGTATGGGGTTTATATATCTGTGGAAGAATGTCCAGGGTGGGAGAAAGAACTCTTGTCTGCTTGGGGCAAGTGTCAATATTGGAATTGGCCACCTTGATTATTTATTTTATTTTATTTTATTTTATTTTATTTTATTTTATTTTATTTTATTTTATTTTATTTTATTTTATTTTATTTTATTTTATTTTATTTTATTTTATTTTATTTTATTTTATTTTATTTTATTTTATTTTATTTTATTTTATTTATTTATTTATTTATTTATTTGCTGTATTTGTATGCCACCTTTCTCAGCCCGTAGGCAACTCAAGGCAGTTAACAGGGCAAAATTCAATGTTTACAATGTCATAAATACAATTAAAAACATAACATATAATAAAAACTAAACAAATCAATAAAATATAAATTCATAGTGTCTCCTTGTTAAAAACATTGTCCGGACTCATTGTCTAGTTCAGTGGTTTTCAATATTCCTAATGCCGCGATCCCTTAATACAGTTCCTCATGTTGTGGTGACCCCCAGCCATTAAATGATTTTCATTGCTACTTCATAATTGTAATTTTGCTACTGTTATGAATCGTTATTGGGAGTTGTAGTTGCTGGAATTTATAGTTCACCTACGACCAAAGAGCATTCTGAAGCCCACCAACGATAGAATTAGGCCAAACTTCCCACACAGAACTCCCATGACCAACAGAAAATACTGTCTGTGATGGTCTTTGGCGACCCCTCTGACACCCCCTCGCGACCCCTCTAGGGGTCCTGACCCCCAGGTTGAGAACCACTGGTCTAGTTGTTCCATTTTCCAATGTCAGTTACTCTGCATTTGCAAACGCTTGTTCAAAAAGCTACGTCTTGACTTTTTTCCAGAATGTTAAAAGGCAGGTGGCCGATCTAATATCTATAGGAAGGGTGTTCCACAGCCGAGGGGCCACAGCCGAGAAGGCCACGTCTCTTGTCTCCGCCAAACGTACTTGTGACAAAGGCGGTAACATTATTATAATTACTAATGCTAATCTAATTCAATTAGCATTGAATAGCCTTGCAGCTTCAAAGCCTGCCTGGGGAAATCCTTTGTTGAGAGGTGTTAGCTGGTCCTGAATGATTCTTGTTTGGAATTCTCCAGTTTTTTGAGTGTTGCTCTTTATTTACTGTCCTAATATTAGAGGTTTTTTTAAATACTGGTAGCCAGATTTTGTTAATTTTCATAATTTCCTCCTTTCTGTTGAAATTGTCCACCTGCTTCTTGTGGATTTCAGTGGCTTCTCTGTGTAGTCTGACATGGTGGTTGTGAGAGTGGTCCAGCATTTCTGTGTTCTCAAATAATATGCTGTGTCCAGGTTGGTTCATCAGGTGCTCTGCTATGGCTGACTTCTCTGGTTGAAGTAGTCTGCAGTGCCTTCCATGTTCCTTGATGCGTGTTTGGGCAATGCTGCTGCGTTTGGTGGTCCCTATGTAGACTTGTCCACAGCTGCATGGTATACAGTAGACTCCTGCAGAAGTGAGAGAACGCCTCTTGTCCTTTGCTTAATGGAGCATTTGTTGGATTTACTTAGTGGATCTGTAGATCGTTTGCATGTTGTGTTTCTTCATCTGCTTCTCTGTGTTGGAAGCTGATGAAGAATATATTTAATGTTGTCTCCCTGTTCTTACAGGACGTGGCCCGGCTGATCGTGGAGCGCTCGACCATCATGTCCCACCTCTTCTCCAAGCTCTCCTACTGCTCCGAGTCGGACGCCGTGCTGGTGGCGCTGCTCTCCGTCTTCTCACGATACATCCGGCGCATGCGCCAGAGCAAGGAAGGCGAGGAGGTGTACAGCTGGGTGCGTGCCCCCTCTTCCTTTCCTTCCAACCCCCTCTTTCTTTTGTTTCCATCTCCATTCATTTTCTCACCCTGCTTTTGAGAGCAAAGAATGTATTGTTTTGAAAAATTTAAAGCAATATGGTGACTGGATAAAGTCCAGTCGTGTCCGACTCTGGGGGTTGGTGCTCATCTCCATTTCTAAGCTCAGGAGTCGGCATTGTCCATAGACACCTCTAAGGTCATGTGGCCTGCATGGAGCACCGTTAAGCCACCTAACTAATTTAATAAACAAAATGATGAAAAATAAAATAAAAATAATAAATAAAAATAAAATGAAAACATCATAAAATACAGAAACCCTGAACTCTTTGAGTCTGTGTTACAGGTTTTCCCCAGTGACATCGCAGAGGGCCACTACACCTAGCAACACCCTTTGTGGTACAAAGAGAGAGAAACATATATATATATATATATATATATATATATATATATATATATATATATATATATATGCTTGACAAATAATAATATAAATTGCATCATCTATTCAGATGTATGGAAGAAGCCACATGTCTAAACAAAATTTGTTTATTTCTTTTTAACGTTGATTCAGAACCTTTCTGTCCAAGTTTGGGGACCAGCCAGAATTCTTGAAGGAAGAGTAGAAGAGATATGTCTGTTCTTGATCTGTTGCCTGATTCATTTTCCCCTCTTATCCCTAGTCAGAGTCCCAGGATCAGGTGTTCCTCCGCTGGATCAGTGGTGAAACGGCCACCATCCACATTCTAGTAGTCCACGCCATGGTGATTCTACTGACGCTGGGGCCACCTCAGGGTGAGTCGGGGCAAGAGTTTTGCACAGTTTGGAAAGTTTGCCATTTTTGTATGCTCTGAGCCATTAGAGAGCAAAGGTGTTTTCATCTCAGCCATTTGACATTTGGGAGCATTTCCAATTTCCAGATAAGCAATACTCAACTAATAATACTTTTTCAGTGATTGGTCGGTAGGATCTGAATGTCTTGTATGGCTTCCAAGCCTGGTGTGTGTATTATAATTATATAATATCATTTAAGTATGATTGTAAGGTAAAATAATTATAGCTCTCAAGTTTTGACTTCCTTTTTCCCCCTCTTTAATACCAAGTCTGCAGGTGCTAGCAAGGAACGTTCTTTTAATATGCTCTTAACAATAAAATACAGTCACTTAACAATTAAATAGGATGGTTATAATTAAATGGGGAAGATGTGGTTGCTTTTAACTTCTTCCTTCTTATGTTTTGGGCAGCACTTGGTTTTCCACACAGTGTTGTAACTCCCATTGCCCTAACTAGCAGAACTAATGTTGAAGATTGCAGTACTTGCCTTCTGCATGATGTTGAACTACAAATCCCATTATCCCCAGCCAACAGAGCCATTGTAGGGGAACAATCAGTTTTGCAGTTGCGTAACATTATCTGGCAGCCACAGTTGCTAATTTTGGTATTATTATTATTATTATTATTATTATTATTATTATTATTATTTGATGCACAACAAGATAAGTACACAGCAAACAAGATCACTCTGCTGACTGTTGTATTGGATCACATGTCGGACACTTCCCAAGTGTCTAGGACTGTGTGATGTATCGGTGAATAATAAATGCAGATCCGAGTAGGGTGGCCTTTTGCTGCTGACAGATAGCACCTATTGTTTTTAAGTGCTGGCCAAGGTCTTTAAATCCTCATCTCTTGTAAGTTTTTCCAGTTGTTTCTCGCCTGGGATTGCAACATTACCAATCCACACTTTGTTTTTTCCCCACAATTGTGAGGTCAGGATTATTGTGCTCCAAAAGTCCCAGAGTAGTTTGACTTGTTGTTGTTGTTGAAGAATGCACTAAAGAATTCAAGGAAACTACCAGCAAGCCGTTGTTCTCCAGTTTTGTTTGACAGTATTCACCATCATCTAGCAGGCCATGGTGCTGGTTGGGAACAATGGGAGATGTGATCACCAACATCTGGGGAGTAGCAACTTGAAGGCCAGTTTAGAATTGATGCCATGGATATATAAGAAACGTTGACTGAAATTTTCCGAATGTTCCTTGAAAGCTGGAGGTGGTGACTTCCAGGCATTGCTGGACATCTGGTTCCCAGAGAAGAAGCCCCTTCCCACCGCTTTCTTGGTGGACACCTCTGAGGAGGCCCTGCTCCTCCCGGATTGGCTGAAGCTACGCATGATCCGCTCGGAGGTGCCTCGGCTGGTGGATGCAGGTGAGCAGGCCTTGGAGCAGGCAGATCTGTTGGGTCTTCAACTCTTGAAGACATTTTGGAAAGGAATGGCAAAAAAATGTTAAGAAAAAAGCCCAACCAAATCAGGTGGAAGACTTTTCTAACTCAGCATTTTATTCCCATGCTTTTTCTAATTTGAAAAGTCTTGGTTTGCCTTTCCATTAGCCACTTTTGCAGGGACTGGTCTGCACCTAAAATATGTAGCACTATCACTGATGAGTTTAGCATTCCCTTCCTCCCTCCACAGTAGCTAAAGCCTTCATTTCCTGGATCTGCCCAAGAAGTTGGCCATAGAGATATGCTGGAGAAATGAGCAATTCCTCTCTTAAGACTCTCTAGGTCAGCAGTTCTCATCCTGTGGATCCCCAGACGTTTTGGCCTTCAACTCCCAGAAATCCTAACACCTGGTAAACAGTCGGGTTTCTTGGAGTAGTAGGCCAAAACACCTGGGGACCCACAGGTTGAGAACCATTGCTCTAGGTCCTCCAGTACAACTGTATGGTCACCTTCCATTCAACGTTAAACATAGAATTGTACTGGAGGACTTAGAGATTCCTAGAGATGTATTCATTCAGATAAAAAAGAAGCTTTTAAAAAATTCATTGTCCTCTTTTGCAGCATCCTACGCCCCTAACTTGAGGAAATGTTGTCTATATTAATGTAGTTATTGGTTTCATGTATGTGCTGCCATTTTTAAAATAGGGCACACAGTCTCCTAGCTTTCAGGCTTAATCTTCACAACACTCTTGTGAGGTAGAGCAGGCTGGGAGGGTGCAAGTGCCCCAAGATCAAGCAGGACCTTTTATTGGAGACAAGAATTTGGATCTCGCAGGTCCTTGTCCAGTCCCCATATAGACTACATGAAGTTAACAAGGGCTTGTTAATGGGGGCCAGAAGCCAGGTAGGTCGTGACCTCAGGTGTGTTTTGTTCCAGCCCTTCAGGACTTGGAGCCCCAACAGTTGCTCCTCTTTGTCCAGTCCTTCGGCATCCCCGTCTCCAGCATGAGCAAACTCCTGCAGTATCTGGACCAGGCCGTCTCCCACGACCCTCAGACGCTGGAGCAGAACATCATGGACAAGAGTAAGGATGTCCGGCTTCAGAGGGAGGCTTCTGAATTCTGCAGCAGGGCAGTTTTGGCACATTTGAGCTTTTTAATTCCAACAGCATGGGAATGTTGGTTTCATGGACAGCCAATCTAAGAACCCCATTGCAGTGATGGATTCTATGCATAGATACACCTGCTCTCGCTTGCTCACTTTTGTGACATTTGGGAGCGGGCTTGTTTTCTGTTGCCCTTGAGATTGGGGCCCCTTCCAAACAGCTGAATAAAATCCCACATTATCTGCTTTGAACTGGAATATTTGGCAGTGTGGACTCAGATAACCCAGTTCAAAGCAGATATTGTGGGATTTTCTGCTTTGATAGTAAAGATAGAGGTTTCCCTTGGCATTAAGTCTAGTTGTGTCCGACTTTTGGGGGGGGGGGTGTGTTGCTCATCTCCATTACTAAACCGAAGAGCTGGTGTTGTCAATAGATGCCTCCTAGGTCATGTGGCCAGCATGACTGCATGGCGCGCTGTTACCTTCCCACAGAAGTGGTATCTATTGATCTACTCATATTTACATGTTTTATTTATTTATTTACAGTATATACTGTATATACTCGAGTATAAGCCTAGTTTTTCAGCCCCCTTTTTAAGCTGAAAAAGCTCCCCTCAGCTTATGTTTGAGCCAAGGTTACTTATTTTACTCTGTTATTAGTATTATTTTTATTATATTTATGTTATTATTCTATTATTATTTTTATTACATTTATTATTTTACTCTATTATTGATATTATTACATTTACTAACATCTTACTCTATTTTTATTACATTTATTATTTTACTCTATTTATTATTGTTATTAAATTTATTGTTTTGCTCTCTTTATTATTATTGGAAGGATACGTAAGCACATTTACATTGAAGGAGGCTAAAATAATGGTTTCATCAGAGCTGAAAACTACCTCTTACATTACAGTTTTATGTAAATATTCAAAAACATTTAACGTAGTGGTACCTCCATTCATGTAATTTTATTGGTATCTAGTTTAATTTGGAAATTGACCAGTAGCTGCTGCATTTCCCACTCTCGGCTTATATTCGAGTCAATACATTTTCCCAGTTTTTGTGGTAAAATTAGGTGCCCCGGGTTATATTCAGGTTGGCTTATACTTGAGTATATACGGTATATTCTGCCCTTCTCACCGATTACAATGTACATATACATGGCAAACATTCAATGCCATAAACACACAACATATATAGACAAACACAGAGGCAATTTAACATTCCAACTTTTCATGAGGGTATTCTGGCCACCAGGGGAGCTGTTGCTTCACCGTCCATTTGTGACACTGATGAAGTACTTCCTCATTCTTCGCAGGCTTGCTAGAGATTTTTATGGCATCGTAAATTAGTTAAATTAGCCTCCCCACGTAGGCGGTACCTAAATTTCCTATTTCACAGATGCAACTGTTTTTCAGGCTGCAAAGGTCGACAGCAAGCTACACAATTTGGTCAGACACTCACTCCGATCCAGGCTGGCTTCAAACTCATGACTTTTCAGTCAGTAGTGATCTTAATGCAGCTGACTCCCAGCCAGCTGCGCAACAGTCCCGGTGGTGGTAGTTTTCGAACTACTAGCAGGAGCTCACCCTGCTCCCCGGATTTGAACTACCGACCTTTTAGTCAGCTAGTTCAGCAGCTCAGCGGTTTCACTCGCTACGCCACCGGGGACTCCTCTGCCTTTATATTTTGGGTTATATCGCTGTGTGGAAGAATCCTGGGACGAAATGGAGCCATAGATTCAAATGACAGGAAAGAAGATTCCACCTGAACATGAGGAAGATCTTCCTGACTATTCAACAGTGGAACTCTCTGCCTCGGAGTCCAGTGGAGGTTCTTTCTTTGGAGGCTTTTAAGCAGAAACTGGATGGCCACCTGTTGGAGGTTCTTTGATTGTGCTGTTCGTGACTGGAAGAAAGAGGTTGGAACAGATGGCCCATTTATTTATTTATTTATTATTTCAGTTACTTCTACCCCGCCCTTCTCACCCTCGAGGGGGGACTCAGGGCGGCTTACAAACAATGGCACAATTCGATGCCTGAATCAATAAACAGACAATACCTACAACAATTTAGACAGTTAACAAGTTAAAAACATTAGTACATAATAAAATAACAAAACAATCTCATGCTCAGTGTTCAGAGTTCCGTATATCCATTCCATTCCATTCATCCATGTTTGTCATCAGATCTTCCTTTAGCTGCGAGCATGTCCAAAAGCTTGGTCCCATATCCAGGTCTTCAGTTTTTTCCTGAACGTCAGAAGGGAGGTCGCTGATCTAATCTCCCCGGGGAGTGAGTTCCACAGGTGAGGGGCCACCACTGAGAAGGCCCTGCTCCTCGTCCCCGCCAACCTCACTTGTGATAGTGGCGGAGTCGAGAGCAGGGCCTCCCCGGACGATCTTAAATTTCGAGGTGGGATGTAGAGGGAGATCCGTTCGGACAAATACACTGGGCCGGAACCGTATAGGGCTTTGTAGGTTAAAACCAACACTTTGAATTGTGCTCGGAATTGGATCGGCAGCCAGTGGAGCTGATGTAACGGGGGTGGTGTGCTCCCTGTACGTCGCTCCAGTGAGCAATCTGGCTGCTTCTCGCTGGACTAGTTGTAATTTCCGAGCAGTCTTCAAAGGCAACTCCACGTAGAGTGCGTTGCAGTAATCCAACCGGGATGTGACAAGAGCGTGGACCACTGTGGCCAGATCTGACTTCCCATGTGGTCTCTTTCAACGCTAGGATTCTATGATGCTATAGTTTTGTGTTCCTTTTCAGATTATATGGCTCACCTTGTAGAAGTGCAGCATGAAAGAGGAGCTACTGGTGGGCAGACCTTCCATTCCCTTCTCACCGCCTCCCTTCCAGCTCGCAGAGGTAAAGTAAAGGGGGCCTTTATTTCTCATCCAGAACTGGATTTTGGCAACTGTATCTCTTTTGCTCTTTCCATTCCCACACAAATCACAGACAAAATTTTGGAAAAATTGCATTCATCACCTTTTTGAAAATAAACATGATGTCATCCTTTTGGCAAATGTGGATCTCCTTGAACGTCTGGAGACCACCTTTTGAAAACCACTAGTCAAGGAAAGGCATGACCTTGTTAGAAGTCACCTCTTTGAACAAGTGATGTCCACCAGCATTCATTTAATGGCACACAGATAACTCAGCTGTTAAACTGATAAGCCATGTCTTTGAACTGCCAGGGACAAAGACATGCCACTGCACAAAAATTTATACTTAGCTAGCAGAGCTTTAAAAATGTTTCGTTGAAGTTGAAATTGAAGTTGCCCAAAACATATACTCTCCCTTGAAACCTATTATTTTTAATATGCATTCAGAGAGGAAAAAAAAAACCAAAGTCTTCTTTTTAAAAAGTATCATATTATTTACTCGTAAACATCTTGAATTAATTCACTATACAGGCACATTTATAGATAGGATGTAGTTTCTCTGTGTTGAGAACAGAGGGCATCATTCTTAATCAATAGTCCATAGTCCAAAGTCTTTAAATTTATATCTTATCAAAGTCCAAACTGTATACTGTATGTCCTCGAGTATAAGTCGATGCGAATATAAGCTGAGTCACCTAATTTTACCACAAAAAAACCTTGAAAATCTATTGACTCAAGTAAGCCGAGGGTAGGAAATGCAGCAGCTGCTGGTAAATTTCAAAATAAAAATAGATAGCAATAAAATTACATTAATTGAGGCATCTAGGTTAATTTTTTTAATATTTACATAAAACTGTAATTTAAAGGAAGATTGCCCAACTATGATTAATCCGTCTTCAATGTAAATGTGCTTAAATATCCTTCCAATAATAATAAAGAGGGTAAAATAATTAATATAATAAAATGGAAATGTAATAATAACAGTAATAATAGAGTAAAATAATAAATGTAATAACAGCAATAAATAGAGTAAAATAATAAATTACAAATAATAATAATAATAACAAAGTAAAATAATAAATGTAATAACAGCAATAGAGTAAAATAATAAATTACAAATTATAATAAATAATAAATAACCTTGAATATTTACATAAAACTGTGATTTAAGAGAAGACTGCCCAACTCTGATTAAACCTTCTTCAATGTAAATGTGCTTACATAGCCTTCCAATAATAATAAAGAGAGTAAAATAATTAATATAATAATGGAAATATAATAATAACAGTAATAATAGAGTAAAATAATAAATGTTATAATGGAAACATAATAATAACAGTAATAATAGAGTAAATATTAAATCAGAAATAATAGAGTAAATGTAATATATACTTTCTTCAACACTCTGTAGAACATTCACATGCTCTGAGGATGCTTGCCATAGATGCAGGCGAAACATCAGGAGAAATGCCTCTAGAACATGGCCATATAGCCGAAAAAACCTACAACAACCCACATCTGCTTCCATTGAAGTCCAAAAGCATACAGCATCCACCTTCACTGAGGTCTAAAGCAAACTGCTAATATTGAATTCCAAATATATACTGAACAACAAAATGGAGTCTTGTGCCTGAACATGCTCAGTACAATCACATGTCTGTCTCCCTTCCCACACCAAAGAGGTCAGTCAAACTGGCAAATCAATCTATACATACAATACAGGTTAGCAAATATATACATTAACAAAATAAAAGTGAAGGCTTGGAAAGTTGACCCCGTACATAGAAAACTAGCACATCATGAGAGAATACCAGGCTGGAAACCAGTTTGGTTGTTTATGGGGAGAAACAGTTCCACTGACAGGCTGTGATCTCTCAACAGACAGTGATGATGCTCCGCGAGCCAAAAGCGGCCTCGATGCTCCGCAGGGACAGGGCAGGATCCAGGCTTTGGCTCAGATCCGGGTTCTTGGCCCAGAGGATGATTTGCCAGGCATCCTTCTCCAGGTAAAGTGTTTTCATGCTGCTTCTGTTTTGTTTTTATCTCTGGTGGGCCTTGTCCTTTTCCCCCACACTCCTTGCTTCTTTCATTTCCTCACATGTTGGGGCAGCTGACATATGGCACAAAGTGCCTATAACTAACCATTAAATAAACACACAGTACAACACAATAAAGTGAAACTGTAGCATATAAAACAACAATTTAAATTCGGAACAGCGCTCCATGACCTATGGTGGCAACTACTGTTAGACCTGGCCAAACTGTAAACAAGATGGGGGGAATGGGATAGTGCAAATTGTAGCTAAGCAACAGGGCATAGGGTGAAAGGGCAATGCTGAATATTTAATTGCGAACCAATGAATTTTGTGTTTAGATTTGGTTCGCATTTCAAAGTTATCTCCTTATGTATGTGTAAGCATTTCAAAAATCCCAAACACTTCTGCTCCAAAACATTCTAGATAAGGCATGCACAACTTGTACAGAAATTTGGATAGTTTTTTTTTTATGCACCAAACTGACCCCGGCCTTATAGCAAACATGATTATTATTGGGTTGTTGTAGGTTTTTTTCGGGCTATATGGCCATGTTCTAGAGGTATTCTTTCCTGACGTTTCACCTGCATCTATGGCAAGCATCCTCAGAGGTGGTGAGGTCTGTTGGAACTAGGAAAAAGGGTTTATATATCTGTGGAATGATCAGGGTGGGACAAAGAACTCTTGTCTGTTGGAGCTAGGTGTGAATGTTTCAACTGACCACCTTGATTAGCATTTGATGGCCTGGCAGTGCCTGGGCAATCTTTTGTTGAGAGGTGATTAGATGTCCATGCTAATCAAGGTGGTCAGTTGAAACATTCACACCTAGCTCCAACAGACAAGAGTTCTTTGTCCCACCCTGGTCATTCCAAAGATATATAAGCCCATTTTCCTAGTTCCAACAGACCTCACTACCTCTGAGGATGCTTGCCATAGATGCAGGCGAAACTTCAGGAGAGAATGCCTTTAGAACATGGCCATATAGCCCGAAAAAACCTACAACAACCCAGTGATTCCGGCCATGAAAGCCTTCGACAATACAGTGATTATTATTTTTTAATATGTATATATTTATTTAGGGTAAGGGAAGAGGGAGGAAAAAGAATACTATTTTATTTTTACATGTAACAATAATATGAAGAGAAAGTAGGAAATATTAAAAGAGAGAGAATAGTTTTTAAAAAAGAAAATAAAATTGAAAATAATAAGAAAAAAATGTCCAGGTGACTTCCATCTAAATCTTCGCGGTGTAATACATATTCAATGTATTGTCGAAGGCTTTCATGGCCGGAATCACTGGGTAGGCGAAACATCAGGAGAGAATGCCTCTAAAACATGGCCATATAGCCCGAAAAAACCTACAACAACCCAGTAATACATGTGCATTCCATAAAATTTGTGTATTAAAATTGAGAAACAAAACATTGACTTTAACTTATGTTGAAACCTTTTTTTTCTAAAATATACCATCCTGGCAGCTGTCGTTAAGTAAACAAATAGAATATCCTTGATTTGTGATTATTTTTATCTCTGACTCTTTCTGTCCCTTCCTTGGGCAGTTGTTTCAATTGGCTCCGGATCCCCGGTGGCAGAACTCGAACCCGCGGCCCCTGGCTTTGGCGCTGCAGCAGGCGCTGGGGCAGGAGCTAACCCAGATCCGCCAGGGGAACGCTCCTGTGCCAGGGACCGCCCTGAAGCTTCTGCAGGCCCTGGCTGCCCTGATGAGCTCTCCCCACGGAGGGGCCCTGGTGATGGCCATGCATCGGAACCACGTCGTGTCTTGTCCGCTCATGCGCTTGCTGTGCCGCCGCCAGGTGAGGCCATTGCAGTGTATCCTCGGAAGGAATCTGCGACTTTCAGAGATTCAAGAAGGAATTGGAGCAGGATGTTTGGGGTTATCTAGAGCGGGCATGGGCAAACTTTGGCCCTCCAGGTGTTTTGGACTTCAACTCCCACCATTCCTCACAGCCGGTAGGCTGTGAGGAATGGTGGGAGTTGAAGTCCAAAACACCTGGAGGGCCAAAGTTTGCCCATGCCTGATCTGAAATATGGGTCTCAGATAATCAATTAACTCACCCAGATAGTCACTTCACTCATGGAACATATCAAAATCCCATCATTTTCTTTCCCTCCTTGTTTCCTTGCACGTTAGAAGTGTTCCTATTTATTTATTTGTTTACAGTATTTATATTCCACCCTTCTCACCCCCGTACAGGGGCCTCAGGGCGGATTAGAATGCACATATACATGGCAAACATTCAATGCCAGTTAGACATACAACATATATACACAGACACAGAGGCAATTTAATATACCAGCTTTCCAGCTTCATGAGGGTATGCTTGATTCCAGCCACAGGTATCACCATCCATTGTGACGAGTCCTTTTGATAGAGTACTTCATCATTCTTCTGCACACTGCTGGAAAGTTTTATGGTGTCGCAAATTAGTGAAATTAGCCTCCCCGCATAAAGCGGTACCTAAATTTCCTACTTGACAGATGCAGCTGTCTTTAGAGCTGATAGGTCAACAGCAAGCTAGACTAATGGATGGAAGCTCACTCTGATCTGGACTGGCTTCAAACTCATGACCTCTCTGTCAGTAATGATTTAATGCATTTGGCTCCCATATAGCTGTGTTACAGCTATCTTTTGAAATTCATACAAAATACTACTACTACTACTAATAATAATAAATATTAGAATTATATATTTTATATTACATGTAATATTACTAATAATAATACAATACAATGGTATAGTACAATACAGTAATATATAATACTGATATTGTACTATGCTAATAATATAATTTCCCTGTCGTGGTCCCTGTGAATTGTACATGTGGTAATTCCTGCGCCTGCACAGAGCAACTTTGGAACCTTCTAGAAAGACAAATAACATATTTGATGGTAGCCCCCCCACTCCCCCCCTCGATAGTATAAGTAGCCAGTGGGAGGGGCTACAGCCTCCAGTTCTCTTCATCTGCCGCCTGAGCAGCTCATGAGAACCTTCACTCTGACTAGCTTGGTTTGTGTTTGACTCGGACTGCCTCGACGTATGTACTACTACTATTTTCCTTCGACTCGGACTGTTGGTTATCCTGTCTTCTGTATCCTGACTTGGACTGTTGAGTTGCTGTGGCCAGTCTGTGTAGATGTGTGTCGATATTTGTGTATATGTGTGTGTATATGTGTGTGTGTGATATGTGGTTTTGTTCATGCATTGTAATGTATTTTTTATTTTTTGGCCTTTTAAGTCCCTTGTGTTGTGTTTTTCAGTGTTTTTATGAGTGATGGTCACTCGTTGGCCTGATAGGTGTATTGTGTCCAAATTTGGTGTCAATTTGTCCAGTGGTTTTTGAATTATATTAATCCCACAAATGAACATTACATTTTTATTTATATAGATTGTATGTATATATATCTTGTAGCTGCTCTGAGTCCCCTTTGGGGTGAGAAGGACGGCATATAGATGTTGTAAAGAAATAAATACAGGTTTTAGGTATTTCCTTACCTGCATCTAAAAATATGTTCTCTCTAGGTATTTTCTAGGTATCCAGTTCACTTTTGTGGTGTTCTGGAAGTTGATGATAGAGTCATACTTTCTTGTTTGCGGGCCCTTTCTGTGTCCTGTTTGTAACCGTGGTTCCTCCCCTCTGCAGCGCTGCGCCCCCCAAGATGCGGCCTTCTCCACCCTGTTTTTCAAAGTCCTGATGCAGATGCTTCAGTGGTTGGAGAACCCAGCCATAGAAGAGGGGCCTCTCCGGACACAGCTCAAGGCCTTCGCCGTCCAGTATTCTTCCAGGCATCGCATTAATGATGGTAAGGGAGACTCAATGAGTGTCGCTGCAGGCTCTTTCGGGCAGGGCCTTTTCTGTTATTATAGTAGTCGCAATTAAATATTTAAACTATTTCATCCAAGTTCGAGACCTGGTAAGGATATCCCTAGCCCAGAGTCATCTGCTCTGACTTGCAGCCGGTCTCCAACAGAAAGGAGACTTTCCCATCCTTGACTACCAGATCTCTCTAGGCCTGGTCTACCTTATCTGAAAGGCCAAAGGACTTCAAATAAGGGCTTTCCTCCATTACTGCCTATACTCATGGATAGGTTAACTTCACGAATAAGACTAGGGCAGCTTTAGAGGCCAAAATTAAGGATTTTGATTTATCTGTGGGTAAGTCGAGGGTTACTACACAGAGAGAATGGAATGTGTCCAGAGGAGGGCGACTAAAATGATCAAGGGTCTGGAGAACAAGCCCTATGAGGAGCGGCTTAAGGAGCTGGGCATGTTTAGCCTGAAGAAGATAAGGCTGAGAGGAGATATGATAGCCATGTATAAATATGTGAGAGGAAGCCACAGGGAGGAGGGAGCAAGCTTGTTTTCTGCTTCCCTGGAGACTAGGACGCGGAACAATGGCTTCAAACTACAAGAGAGGAGATTCCATCTGAACATGAGGAAGAACTTCCTGACTGTGAGAGCCGTTCAGCAGTGGAACTCTCTGCCCCGGAGTGTGGTGGAGGCTCCTTCTTTGGAAGCTTTTAAAAAGAGGCTGGATGGCCATCTGTCAGGGGTGATTTGAATGCAATATTCCTGCTTCTTGGCAGGGAGTTGGACTGGATGGCCCATGAGGTCTCTTCCAACTCTTTGATTCTATGATTCTATGAGAGAAGAAATGACTAATGCATTCGAAAAGGCCAGAAGCACAGAGGCTTCGCTCACACTGAGGACTTTCTCAGACAGACGCCTTTCATACATTGAGGTGAACTAACACTGAGGCCTTCTCATACTGAGGCCTATTAACACACTGAGGCCCTTCTCCCAGAGACCTCTCATAGACTGAGAGGTCCCTGTGGTTTCATGAGAAGGAGAAGCTGGGCAGGGATCATTGTTTTCGGTTCTCCCAGGATGGACTAAGCTCTGGCCTTTCGCCCCTTCACTCAGAGAAAGGGATGACTCCTTTTTTATGAGTTAAGGTCCAATACTTCCATTGACCTGTGGATTAGTCTGATAGAAATATTAAAAATTAACTAGGTATATTTAATTACAAAAATGTGAGTCAAGCACTGAAAGGGTTAAATGGAAGCACTGACTCAACAAATCTGCAGTTCAATATAAGCAGGTGTTCCTTAGCTTAGCAGCCTCAGTCTGTAAGTGGTTTCTGTGTGAGAAGGGCCTCAGTGTGTTAGTAAGCCTCAGTATGAGAAGGCCTCAGTGTTAATTCACCTCAGTGTATGAGAGGCGTTTGTGAGAGAGGCGTCTGTCTGAGAGATTCCTTCATGTGAGGGAGGCTTCTGTGTTAGTTGACCTTAGTATGAGAAGGCCTAAGTGTTAGTTCACCTCAGTGTAGGAGAGGCATCTGACTGAGAGAGTCCTTCATGTGAGGGAGGCTTCTGTGTTAGTAGGCCTCAGTATGATAAGGCCTCAGTGTTAGTTCACCTCAGTGTATGAGAGGTGTCTGTCCAAGAGAGTCCTCAGTGTGAGGGAGGCCCCTGTGTCAGTAGGGCTCAGTATGAGAAGGCCTCAGTGTTAGTTCACCTCAGTGTATGAGAGGCGTCTGTCCAAGAGAGTCCTCAGTGTGAGGGAGGCCCCTGTGTTAGTAGGGCTCAATATGAGAAGGCCTCAGTGTTAGTAGGCCTCAGTGTGTGAAGCCCTGGTGTGAGAAGCTTCAGTAAGAGAAGCCTCAGGTTGAAGGCCATTGTAGGTGAAGCTCCAATGTGTGAAGGCTGCTGTGTGTAAAAACCTACTGTGTGGAGCTCCTGTGTAAGTTTAGTGTGAGAAGAGGCTCTGTGAGAGTGAAGCTCTTCATCTGCATGAGAAAAGCCCAGCATGGAAGCAAAGATGGAAGTGTAACAAACTTTATTTGTGTTATGGAAACATTGTTCTGGTAAATAACATAAAGGTAAAGGTTTTCCCCTGACATTAAGTCCAGTCATGTCCGACTCTGGGGGTTGGTGCTCATCTTCATTTCTAAGCCGAAGAGCCGGTGTTGTTCATATACACCTCCAAGGTCATGTGGACTACATGGAGCACCATTACCTTCCTCCCGGAGCAGTACCTATTGATCTAGTCACATTTGCATGTTTTCGAACTGTTAGGTTGGCAGAAGCTGGGGCTGATAGCGGAAGCTCATGCCACTCCCCGGATCTTGTAAATAGTTCAACCATATTATTTAATTACAAAGGAAAGCCTCCTATGAAAGCGATAACATTGGTCTTGTGTTTTCTGTTCTTTTTATCACTTGTGCTGCTGTGTCACGTTGCTGCTAATAAGTTACTCTGCCGTACATTTATGATGAGGGTATTTTGTTAATAAGCCCACTCACCCAACAGTACTTACATTGACCTATCAATAAGTCGATCCAGGTTGTTGGTGTTAATATTTTGACCAGTATTTCTAGACTTATACCAAAGCTACTCAGACACAAAGTATAACTCATAGAATCATAGAATGATAAGACTCCTCAGGGATTCCTTTCCCTCCTTCCAACCCTCAGTGCGGAGCGGTTTCCTGCACTTAGCCGAAGCTCTGGCCTTCCGCCGTGATGCCGATATGATTGGCTCCACCGTATGCGCCATCGTTGCCACTTTGAAGACCGGTGAGAAGCATAACGTGGAGCCTGAGTTGGTCAGCAAAGGTAGGCCTTGTTCACCTCTTGATCGCATTCCTTTTTCACAGCTTGATTTGATGTTTTTATTTTTTAAATACATGAGTGAGTAAGATGTCTTTGGGAAGTAAAGAGTAAACAGTAAGAAAGCAGTGTTTCTCAACCCTCCTAATGCCGCGACCCCTTAATACATGTTGTGATGAACCCCAATCATAACATTATTTTTGTTGCTATTTCTTAACTGTCATTTGCTACTGTTATGAATCATAATGTAAATATCTGATATGCAGGATGTATTTACATTCACTTGACCAAATTCAGCACGAATACCTAATATTTGAATACTGGTGGGGTTTTGGGGGGGATTGATTTTGTCTTTTGGGAGTTGTAGTTGCTGGGATTTATAGTTCACCTACAATCAAAGAGCATTCTGAACTCCACCAATTATGGAATTGAACCAGACTTGGCACACAGAACTCCCGTGGCCAACAGAAAATACTGGAAGGGTTTGGTAGGCACTGACCTTGAGTTTAGGAGTTGTAGTTCACCTACATCCATAGAGCACTGTGGACTCAAACAGTGATGGATCTGGACCAAAAGTTGGCATGAATACTCAATATGCCCAAATGTGAACACTGGGATTTACAGTTCAGCAACAATCAAAGAGCATTCTGAACTCCACTAATGATGGAATTGAATCAAACTTGGCATAAAGAACTCCCATGACCAACAGAAAATACTGGAAGGGTTTGGTGGGCATTGACCTTGAGTTTTAGAGTTGTAGTTCGCCTACATCCAGAGAGCACTATGGACTCAAACAGTGATGGATCTGGACCAAACTTGGCACAAATATTGAATATGCCCAAATTTGAAGTTTGGGAAAAATAGACCTTGAAATTTGGGAGTTGTAGTTGCTAGGGATTTATAGTTCGCCTACAGTTAAAGAGCATTCTGAACCCCAACGACGATAGAATTGGGCCAAACTTCCCACACGAAATCCCAATGACCAACAGAGAATACTTTGTTTTCTGATGGTCTTTGGTAACCCCTCGCAACCCCCAGGCGTCCTGACCCCCAAGTTGAAAAACACTGGGTTACATACTCCCAGTAGACTTTCAGAACCTTTTAATTTGATGTCCCTCATCTTCCCTACTCCAGTCCTCCGAGGCCTGACCGAAACCCACTCGCCGTACTTGGAGGAGCTCTTAGCGGCCCTCTTCTCCATAGCTATGGAGGCCTCGTCCCGCTTTTCCTCCACCGGACCCATCTCCGTGGTGAGCTCCTTGCTGCTCCAGGACAAAGAGGAGACCACTGTGAAGATAGAAGCTGACAACGTCAGGTGAGCTGTGGAGGTGTCATGAATTACTTTTCAATGACTTTAAAGCATAGGTTCTTTTTATTGCAATTTCTCGTGTGAGAGGGTATATCAGATTACAGAGAAACATTCAGACAAAGAATGACATTGGACATACAGACATACAGATTCTATTCAAGTAAATTGAATTCACAATTACATTGGTTAACAAACAAACAAAGGGGAATTACATTTTCACTCAACATTCATCCTCAGGCATTCAAATATTACCATATCCTTTTCTCCCTCCTTGGAGAAGCACCTCTTAGGTCAGACCCTGCTTTCCTGCAGCCTGCCAAATGCATAGTTCCAAAACTTAATGCCATAACTTCAAAATGCATCCTTTACCTAAACACAATGCCAAGGACCAGATCTCTGTTTTCCATACAGCAAAACCTGACTCCCTGCACAAAATCTAAGACTCCAAATGTGCACTTCTTCCTCTTCCCTTGAGAAAGAAGCCCCAAAGTGACCAGAATCATGCTTTCCCATAGCATATCTGACACTCTCCAGAGGTACATTATCTCTCTCACAGGGAGAAGGGAGCAAGCTTGTTTTCTGCTTCCTTGGAGACTAGGACGCGGAACAATGGCTTCAAACTACAAGAGAGGAGATTCCATCTGAACATGAGGAAGAACTTCCTGACTGTGAGAGCCGTTCAGCAGTGGAACTCTCTGCCCCGGAGTGTGGTGGAGGCTCCTTCTTTGGAAGCTTTTAAGCAGAGGCTGGATGGCCATCTGTCAGGGGTGATTTGAATGCAATATTCCTGCTTCTTGGCAGAATGGGGTTGGACTGGATGGCCCAGGAGGTCTCTTCCAACTCTTTGATTCTATGATTCTATGATTCTCTCCTTCCCATGAAGCAGAGCATAGCAGGTCAACAGCGTCTCTGTCTGTCACAATGTGAGCATTATTAGACTGAGTCTTTTATAGGAATATTCTGTTGCTGTAGTCCCAAAGTTGTAAATTAATGATAGACGTCTTCCATCCTGGATCCATCTCAGTTTCCTGGCCAGTTGTTGATCTTCTTGATTGGTGTTGGTCTTATGTTGACTTCCTTCTTAACAATGTAAACATTTATGTTATCACTGTCCCAATTCTTATCAGAGTTTACTCTTCATTTCTCATTAGCAACTTTTAATTACAGTCCAGCTAGCAGGTAGTTAGTCATTGCAGGCTTTAATATTATACTGGTGTCTCCAAAATTATTGGCTCCATCCATACATCCTTCCATTCTTCCATTCATTCCCACACACAATATTAAATCCACATTTATCAAACCTGCAATAATACTTTCGTGACAGATTGGTCATTATTATTTTTCTCTTTCTCTCCGTGACTCAGTCAAGTGCCATTTCTAACTAAAACCCTGCTTTATTTGCACCTTTCAGTACTGAAACTGCCCACCTGGGACCTTCTTCAGGCTTGTTCATTGACTGGCTAGAGATGCTGGATCCAGAAGTAATCAGTAATTGCCCAGATCTCCAGCAAAGGCTCCTGTTCTCCTGGAAGAAGGTCAGGATCTGTTTCCAGACACAACTCTAGAGTGTTGTTACGACCCATAAAACCCATACGGCTGAGACCATACCTCTGCTTATAGGCCTGCCCAAACACTGAGAAGCTCAGAAGCCATTCTTCTGTTCCCACCACCTTTAAAAGGGTGTGCAAGACAAGACCTGTTTCTCATTCCATCGTAATATTTCCTTATTTTCTCCACAGGATAAGGGCTCGTCGGAGTCAGAGCTGCCCTCTTTCCGCCCGTACCTCTTGGCTCTCCTCACGCACCAGTCCAGCTGGACCACGCTTCACCACTGCATTAAGATCCTGCTCTGCAAAAACCGAGAGCACCGGTGAGCCTTCTCTGTGAGGCAGCCTTGACAAATTATGATATTTTTAAATCAAAGGATGATTACTAGGGCTCCCAGAGCTTAGATGGAGGAAATCAAGCATTCCTTTGGCTCTGAACACGAGGAAGAACTTCCTGACTGTGAGAGTTGTTCAGCAGTGGAACTCTCTGCCCCAGGTGGAGGTTCCTTCTTTGTAGGCTTTTAAACAGAGGCTGGATGGCCATCTGTAGAGGGTGCTTTGAATGCAATTTTCCTGCTTCTTGGCAGGGGCTTGGACTGGATGGCCCATGAGGTCTCTTCCAACTTTACGATTCTATGATTCTAATATTCTGCCTTTCCCTGTCTTCTGGCAGGCTTGATCCAACAGCCTCCTTGGATTTCCTGTGGGCCTGCTTTCATATCCCTCGGATCTGGCAAGGAAGGGACCAGCGGTTACCCCAGGTGATTTTTTTTCCGTGTCAGGAACAACTTGAGAAACTGCAAGTTGTTTCTAGTGTGAGAGAATTGGCCGTCTGCAAGGATGTTGCCCAGGGGATGCTTGGATGTTTTGATGTTTTACCGTCTTTGTGGGGGGCTTCTCTCATGTCTCCACATGGGGAGCTGGAGCTGACAGAGGGAGCTCATCCACACTCTCCTCCAGATTCACACCTGTGACCTGTCGGTCTTGCCAGCACACGGGTTTAACCCATTGCGCCACCGAGGGCTCCATCCCAGGTGATGCATCACTCTCTCTCATTGTGGAGTTCACATAGGAGACAGGTTTCAAGGGAAGGGCTTTTCCTGGTCTCTGGATGATTGGCTACTCCAAAGGGAAACTGAGACCTCCTTTGGTGTCATAAAGATGGAGAGTCTGAGGAGATTAAAGTATTGGATTGCTGTGAGTTTTCCCAGGCTGTCTGGCCAGGTTCCAGAAGCATTCTCTCCTGATGTTTCACCTGCATCTCTGGCAGGCATCCTCATATGTTGTGAAGTCTGTTGGAAACTAGGCAAGTGGGGCTTATATATCTGTGGAATGTCCAGGGTGGAAGAAAGAACTCTTGTTTGCTTGAGGCAAGTGTGAATGTTGCAATTGGCCACCTTGATTAGCACTGAATAGCCTTGCAGCTTCAAAGCCTGGCTACTTCCTGCCTGGGGAATCCTTGGTTAGATGTCCCTGATTGGAAATGAACAAAATCTGGCTACCATTATTTAAAAAACTCTAAAATCAGGACAGTAAATAAAGAGCAACACTCAAAATGCAAGGTGAATTCCAGACAAGAATCAATGATGGCCAGTTAACACATCCCAACAAAGGATTCCCCCAGGCCAGGCCCGTAGCCAGGATTTCGTTTCGGGGGGGGGGGGGGCTGAAGCCCCTCAAGCCCCCCCCCGGCTACATGCCTGCCCCAGGCAGCAACCAGCTAGACTTTGAAGCTGCAAGGCTATTCAGTGCTAATCAAGGTGGCCAATTGCAACATTCACACTTGCCTCAAGCAAACAAGAGTTCTTTCTCCCACCCTGGACATTCCACAGATATATAAACCTCACTTGCCTAGTTTCCAACAGACCTCATAACCTCTGGAACATAGCTATACAGCCTGGAAAACTCACAGCTACCCAGTGATTCCGGCCATAAAAGCTTTGGACGACATTGTCTTGCTAGGCCACACTTGCTATTGTGGAGGGGATGGATGATTCAGCTCTTCATCTTGGCTGTGCATGCCTCTGAATCCCTCTGCAGAAACGGCGAGATGAGTTTGTCCTGCGACTTGAGGCGCCAGAACTGATCAGTTTGGTGGAGCTGATCTTGGCAGAGTCAGAAACCCGAAGCCAGGCTCCCGAAGAGGCCTCCTGCTCGGTGACCCAGACCCGGCTTCCGCTGTTGCTCAGCTGCTGCCACGGGGAGGTCGAGAGCGTTAAGAAAGTGGCCGAATACCTGACAGCCTGCATCCAGCGGTTTGGAAGCAGGTGAGAATCCCCTCCTTCAAAAGAAACTGACCTCTGTCTTCCATTGCATCCTTTCTTGAGTTCCAAGTTCTACTAAATATACTGTATATAACTGAGTGTGAGCTGGGGTTTTCAGGCCTATTTTAGGCTGAAAAAGCCACCCTTGGCTTATACTTGAGTCAAAGTTATTTATCATTTTACTTTGTTATTATTATTCTTACATTTATCATTTTACTCTATTATTTCTTTCATTATTTTACTCAATAATTATTATTACATTTATATTATTTTACATTATTATTATTGTATTGTCGAAGGCTTTCATGGCCGGAATCACTGGGTTATTGTAGGTTTTTTCGGGCTATATGAACAAAATCTGGCTACCAGTATTAAAAAACTCTAAAATTACCACAGCACAACAACAGAGAGGAAACAAATAAGGACATCTAATCACCTCTCAACAAAAATTTGCTCCAGGCACCGTCAGGCCATTATATGCTGATCAAGGTGGTCAGTTGAAACATTCACACCTAGCTCCAGCAGACAAGAGTCCTTTGTCCCACCCTGGTCATTCCACAGATATATAAACCCTTTTCCCTAGTTCCAACAGACCTCACCACCTCTGAGGATGCTTGCTATAGATGCAGGCAAAACGTCAGGAGAGAATGCCTCTAGACCATGTCCATATAACCCAAAAAAAAACTACAACAACCCACTATTATTATTTTATTACATTTATAATTTTACTCTATTTATTATTATTTTACTCTATTTATTATTATTTTTAATAAATAGAGTAAAACGATAAATGTAATAAAATAAAAATAATAGTGTAAAATAATAAAATATAATAATAATACTAATTGTGTGAAATAATAACTGTAATAATAATATTTATTTATTTAACATATTTATATACTGCCCGTCTCGCCTCTGGGCTGAGAGGGGCGGTATATAAATACAGTAAATAAATAAATATAAATACAGTATAATATATAAATATAAATACAGTAAATAAATAAATACAGTAAATACAGTATATAAATACAGTAAATAAATAAATACAGTATATAAATACAGTAAATAAATAAATTATTGTTTCACTCTATTGGTACTGTATTATTACATTTGTTATTTAACTCTATTTATTTATTATTTATTTATTACTTGCATTTGTTAACCGCCACTCTCAGCCCGGAGGCGACTCGTGGCGGTGTACAAAACATAGAAAAGACAACAATTTACAGTGGAACAAGACCATCACACAACATATAAAAATCCGCTTCGTCTAGATTAGGGTCATAGTCAGTCTCATCGTCATAGTCCATTCCGGTGATCATTCCAAGGAAAACATATAGCACTAGCTGAAGGCCTTTTCGAAGAGCCAGGTCTTCAGGCCCTTACGGAAGGCCATGAGGGAAGGTGCCTGTCTGATTTCAGCAGGGAGGGAGTTCCATAGCCGGGGGGCCACCACCGAGAAGGCTCGCTCTCTCGTCCCCGCCAGGCGTGCCTGTGAGGCAGGCGGGACCGAGAGAAGGGCCTCCCCAGATGATCTTAAGGTCCTATTATTACTGTTATTATTACATTTCCATTATTTTACTCTATTATTATAATTTTATTGCATTTATTATTTTACTCTATTGCTTGCTATTGGAAGGATACATAAGCACATTTACATTGAAGAAGGTTTTTAATTTAGTTGGACAGTGTAATCTGAAGTTACAGTTTTATGTAAATATTCAAAAACATTTCACCTCCTGATGCCTCAATTAATGCAATTTGATTAGTATCTATTATTATTTTGAGATTTACCAGTCGCTGCTGCATTTCCCACCCTCGGCTTATACTCGAGTCAATACGTTTTCCCAGTTTTTTGTGGTAAAATTAGGTGCCTCGGCTTCTATTTGGGTTGGCTTATACTCAAGTATATACGGTACTTGAAGAGATATTTACATACTTGATTTACATTTGATTTGCACATGCCCAAAAGCAAATCTTCTCTATCAATGAAGATACAGCGAAGATACTTGAGTATATACAGTACTTGAAGAGATATATATACTTGATTTACATTTGATTTGCACATACCCAAAAGCATATCTTCTGTATCAGTGAAGACTAGCACTTTTATACAGAGGTGGGGACCATGAAGTCATAAACGTATTTGACACTGAACATGCCGTGTCTCACAATATTAAGGAAGGAGGTACAGGCCCGCCATGACAGTCTTGCTCCAGGTTGTAGAGACACTCACCTCTCCCTCCCTCTTTCCTTTTCGTTTCCAGCTCAATGGGGAAACATTGCCGAGACCTCCTCCTGCAAATCTACCTGCAGCTTCCGGAGCTCTTGGTCCCGGTGCCAGAGACCTTGTTATCCAGTGAAGGGGCCACAGACAGCAGCACTTGCAAAGTAAGAGATGCAGGAAAAGAAAGATTCAACCCTGCCTTTCTAGATCCACAGCAAAGCTATGTTTTAGGGTAGTTTTAACTAATAAAAAGGGTTATGGGCCCAGCACACTTCCTCTGCGCCACTCTGCTACCCTTTTTGTTAATGAAAACTACTGTAAAATATACATCCAAAAACATAAACGTGATACTTAAATTTGAGTATTAGCTCACAGCAAGCAAAGCATAATGTGCCATTGGTTGTGAATGTAAAGAATTCAGAGCTTATAATAATAATAATAAACCTTTATTTATACCCCGCTACCATCTCCCGGAGGACTCGGTGTGGCTTACAGGAGGCCGAGCCCAAATACATCAATAAAAACAACACAGCAATACAGACAATAAATAAACTCATAAACAAAGCAATAAACAATAACAGTAACACCACGACGCATTAAAACCTATGGCAGGGCCAAATGTAATGATTCAAATTTTAAAATACTGAGCATGACAAGTTGACATATAACTAGGATGGGTATTTGGAGAGAAATGGAGCGAGCAGACAATCCTAGATCATTAGTAAAGTGCGATTAGGGATATGTTGCTTAGGGTTCCTTATTCTGGGAAGGCACACTGGAACAACCACGTTTTCAGGCTCCTCTTAAAGACTACCAGAGTTGGGGCATGTCTTAGGCAGACAAAGATGCAGAGTCCAATATGAAAAATCACAAATAAAGTTGTTGTTGTTATTTGAAACACAGGAAGATGTGTCTGCAGCAGACAAGATTACTCTGCTGGCTGTTGCATTGGGTCACACGTCAGACACTTCCCAAGTGTCGAGGACAGTGTGATGTATCAACAAATAATGCGTGCAGATCCCAGTAAGGTGGCCTTCTGCAGCTGGCAGGTGGTAATTTTGTCAGCGCCAATTGTGTTTAAGTGCAGGCCAAGGTCTTTAGGCACTGCACCCAGTGTGCCGTTCACCACTGGACCACCTTGACTGTCTTTGCAGTTCGATCTTTAAATCCTCATATCGTGTCAGCTTTTCCAGTTGTTTCTCTGCAATCTTGATATTGCCTGGGATTGCAACATCAACAATCCATACTTTGTTTTTTAACACGTTCATGAGGTCAGGAGTATTGTGCTCCAAAACTCTTGTCAGTCTGAATTCAGAAGTCCCAGAGTAGTTTAATTGTTGTTGCTGTTGTTGTTGTTGTTGTTGTTGTTGTTGTATTGTCGAAGGCTTGCATGGACGGAATCACTGGGTTGTTGTAGTTTTTTCCAGGCTATATGGCCATGTTCTGGAGGCATTTTCTCCTGACGTTTCACCTGCATCTATGGCAAGACCTCACTACCTCTGAGGATGCTTACCATAGATGCAGGCGAAATGTCAGGAGAAAATGCCTCCAGAACATGGCCATATAGCCCGGAAAAACCTACAACAACCCAGTTGTTGTTGTTATAATTATTATAGAGGAGAGAAGAAAATTAGATACATTTCAATTTTCATACAGGAGACATGGGGGAACAGAAATGTTTAACCTATCCTAAGCTAAGTAAACTGTTCCTCATTGAGGACTTGAGACTTGGGCAGTGTGGTGTTGAATCTCAACAGGAGGACCCACACAAAACAGAGGATCACTTTGTGTAGCAAAGTTGAATGGTAACTCTTTCCACCCACAGATGTATTTTTTTTCTCCACAGCTGGACCGCTTGATCCACTGGTTCATCACTCTCCTGGCCGACTCCAATTATTCAAAGAGTGGCGAGAATCGGCTCTGGGATGCCAACATGGCGTGCCGGAAGTTAGCCGTAGCTCATCCTATCCTCCTGCTCAGGTTTCTGTCCAGCTCGCTTCATTTGGGGACTGTTTTGGCTTTAGAGTTTAGACCTCCAGAAGCAGGTGGACAGCACATACCCTTCGTTTCTGGTTTCCTTGGTGTTCCCACAGCTTGAGTATCTGTTGAGATTCTGGTACTCAACAACAGGCGTACCAACTTCCTCTTCTCCTTTCTCTAATGATAGGCAATTACCCATGGTGGCGGCCCTGCTCCACGGCCGGGTCCACCTCAATTTCCAGGAGTTTCGCCAGCAAAACCACCTGACCTTCTTTGTCCACGTCTTGGGCCTCTTGGAGCTGCTTCAGCCGCAGGTCTTCCAGAGCGAACACCAGGTGGCACTCTGGGATTGTCTCCTCTCCTTCATCGGCTTGCTTCAAGTAAGAGGTCCTGGGTTGTTGTGATGCTTCTTCTGATCTATGGCAACCCTAAAGTGAACCTATCCCAGGGTTTCCTTGGCAAGATATGTTCCAAAGAGGTTTTCCTCTGAAGCCAAGAGAGAGTGATTTGCTCAGTGGGTTTCATGGCTAAGTGGGGATTTATACCTTGGGTCTCCAGAATGTGTTTTGTTCTTGTGGAGAAAAAGGGGGACAGATTTGCCCTTGTGTGCTGCTTAGGGGAAAGAAGTGGGAGATAACAATGCCTGCTTCCATTTCCGCTATTATTCATTTAATTTATTATTTAAAACATTCTGCCCTTCTCACCCTGCAGGGGACTCAGGGCAGAGCACAACATATATATGGAAAACATTCAATGCTGGGACTTAAAACCATAAATATATTACAAGCATTAAAATCACTTTAAAATCCAGTTGCTTAAAAACCATCCCAGGATACCATTCTATTATTGCCTCATTGCACTGCCCCAAAGGCTTAGTCCCACAGCCAGGTTTTCACCATCTTTCTGAAGGACAGGAGGGAGGGGGCTGATCTAATATTGCCAGGAAGGGAGTTCCATAGCTGGGGGGCAATCACTGAGAAGGCCCTGTCTCTCGTCCCCACCAAATGTACCTGTGAATTGCGGGAACAAGAGCAGGACCTCCCCAGACGATCTTAGTCTTTGTGGTGATTCGTAAAGGGAGATGTGTTCAGACAGGTAAACTGGACCAGGACCGTTTAGGGCTTTATAGGCCAAAGCCAGCACTTTGAATTGTACCCGGTAGCAAACAGACAGCCAGTGGAGCTGACGTAACATAGGAGTCGTGTGCCCCTGTATGCCACCCCAGTTATTAACCTAGCTACCTCCCGTCGGACTATTTGAAGCTTCCGAACTGTCTTCAAAGGCAGCCCCACACAGAGCACTTTGCAGTAGTCTATCTTGGATGTAACGAGAGCATGTACCACTGTGGCTAAGTCTGACTTCCCAAGGTGTGGGCGCAACTGGCGCACAAGTTTTGGTTATGCGAAAGGTCCCCTAGCTACAGCTGCAACCTGAGGTTCCAGGCTCAGCAGTGAGTCCAGGAGGGCTCCCAAGCTGCGAACCTGCGCCTTCAAGGGGAGTATAACCAAATCCAGCACAGGCTGTAACCCTATACCCTGTTCAGCCTTGTGACTGACCAGGAGGACCTCTGTCTTGTCAGGATTCAACTTCAGTTTGTTTGCCCTCATCCAGACTGTCACAACAGCCAGGCACCGGTTCGCAACCTGGACAGCCTCCTTAGCATCTGGTGGAAAGGAGTAATAGAGTTGGATGTCATCTGCATACAGATGGCATTGAACTCCAAAACTCTGGATGATCTCACCCAATGGCTTCATGTAGATGTTAAACAACATGGGGGACAATACTGAGCCCTGCGGGACCCCACAGAACAATGGCTGCAGGGCCGAGCAAGTGTCCCCCAACAACACCCAACAACACTATTTAACTTCCCCATTACACCTTGCTGGCTCTCCTGTTTTCCTTCAGAGGTTTTAAGATTCAGTACCCACTATCCATTATGGGTTGGTTATGGGTTATTTGTTTACTGCCGAAATCCTACCTGCATTTGCTTTTGCTTGGCATCAGAGCTACCGGAAATCCTCTCGCCACCTGGCCACCTTCATTTCCAAGTTCGTCCAGTTCATCCACAAGTACATCACCTCCAACGCCCAGGCGGCCATCTCCTTCTTGCAGAAGCATTCGGATCCACTCCAGTAAGCGTGCTTTCTCCTTCTGTGGAGGAAAGGGGAACAGGTGGGATATCAATTAAAGACATCAATAAGCAAGCAAACAATGTCAGCTCCCGTCTCCACCCTTTCACTTCCCCACAGTGACCTTTCATCTGATAACAGTGACCTGGCGATGCTGAAGTCCCTCCTGGCTGGCCTGAGCTTGCCCAGCAAAAATGGCTCCTTGGACAGAGGCGGCGAGGACGAAAAAGAGGGTATGTTGGGAGTGTTGGCCCTCTTGTCGAGGCAGAAATGGATCACTACTGAAATGTTTCCCTCACCATTGATACATTCTCATTGGAAAACTGAAATTTTATTGAGCAGGAAGTTGGGTAGCTGCAGTAATATCTTCTGGTCATCTGCGGTAAACAGCAATATAGAGTAGGATAACAGCTTCCTGTCTCTACTTTGAGACAGGTCCCTAATGAAACCCTTCCTCTCTTTCTCTGGTCTTCAGATGAGGCTGGAGCCAGTTCTTTGCCTCTCGTCAACCTCTCCCTTTTCACCCCACTCACTCCAGCGGAAATGGCCCCATACATGAAGCGGCTCTCAAGGGGTCAGACTGTGGAAGGTAAGCAAAAATAGCTGCCATGCAAAAGGGCAGCTTCTCTTCTCTTCTCTTCTCTTCTCTTCTCTTCTCTTCTCTTCTCTTCTCTTCTCTTCTCTTCTCTTCTCTTCTCTTCCCTCCCCTTACCCTTACCCTTACCCTTACCCTTACCCTTACCCTTACCCTTACCCTTACCCTTCCTTTCCTTTCTCTTCCAACTGTTTATTTTTTTAAATACTATATTGTGTCCAATTCTGGGCACCACAATTCAAGAGAGATATTGACAAGCTGGAATGTGTCCAGAGGAGGGCGATTAAAATTATCAAGGGTCTGGAGAACAAGCCCTATGAGGAACAGCTTAAGGAGCTGGCCATTTTTAGCCTGAAGAAGAGAAGACTGAGAGGAGATATGATAGCCATGTATAAATATGTGAGAGGAAGTCATAGAGAGGAGGGAGCAAGCTTGTTTACTGCTTCCCTGGAGACTAGGACGTGGGACAATGGCTTCAAACTACAGGAAAGGAGATTCCATCGGAACATGAGGGAGAACTTCCTGACTGTGAGAGCCGTTCAGCAGTGGAACTCTCTGCCCCGGAGTGTGATGGACGCTCCTTCTTTGGAGGCTAGATGGCCATCTGTCAGGGGTGCTTTGAATGCAATATTCTTGCTTCTTGGCAGGGGGTTGGACTGGATGGCCCATGAGGTCTCTTCCAACTCTATGATTCCATTATTCTACTGCTCACGTTTAATTCCATTTTAATGTTTGTATATTTTGAAGTTTTAATTGTGTTGCATTGGTTGTATTGTTACCTGCTGTATGAAGAGAAAAACAGGATAATCATAATATAGGAGCCCTTGGTGGCGCAGTGGGTTAAACCCTTGTGCCGGCAGGACTGAAGACTGGCAGATCGCAGGTTCAAATCTGGGGAGAGTGCGGATGAGCTCTCTCTATCAGCTCTAGCTCCCCATGTGGGGTCATGAGAGAAGCCTCCCACAAGGATGGTAAAACATCATAAACATCCAGGCGTCCCTTGGGCAACGTCCTTGCAGATGGCCAATTCTCTCACACCAGAAGCAACTTGCAGTTTCTCAAGTCGCTCCTGACACGAAAAAAATATATTATAAAAATAGTTATATTTTATTCATTTCTCTTGTCAGAAGTGAGTTGAGGGTACAGTTCAAATGCATTTTAAACACAAAGTCTTTAAAAAAGAACTTGGTATTATGCTAAATGTCCTTTGACCCGTAGCTGGCCACTTGGAGTGCATCTGGTGTGGCTGTGAGAAGGTCCTCCATTGTACGTGTGGCAGGGCTCAGGCCGCATTGTAGTAGGGTGTCTGTGGTTTGCTTTTCTTCACACTCCACACATATCACACATGTCTTTATAGCCCCATTTTTTAAGGTTGGCTCTGCATCTCGTGGTGCCACAGTGCAGTCAGTTCTGCGCCTTCCAAGTCACCCACTCTTCTGTGTGCCCCAGGACAGAGTTTCTCATCCGGTCTCAGTGTTGGATTTTAGGCTGCCACTTTTGAACTCTTGCTTGCTGAGGTGTTCCTGCAAGTATCTCTGTAGGTCTTAGGAAGCTGTTTCTTGGTTTAAGGCATTGGCATGCTGGCTGATATCTGAACATCTCTGGATGGGCCAGAGATGTCACTGCCTTGGTCCTTTCCATTGCTGGCTGCTATTTCCTGGTGGATGTCAGGTGGACAAACACCAGCTAAGCAGTGTAATTTCTCCAGTGGTAGCTTGCAGCATGCAACCAATAATAATAATACTCCCTATTTATTTATCGTGTCAGGGGCAACCAGACAATTGTATTACATTTCTAACAGAACAAAACAAACAGACAAACAGACAAAAAACAAAGTTTGCAAGCTTGGTAGTTGATTAAATGTCCTTTGATCAGTATTTGGCCACTTGGAGTGCCTCTGGTGTTGCCGCAAGGAGGTCCTCCATTGTGCATGTAGCAGGGTTCAGGTTGCATTGCAGCAGGTGGTCAGTGGTTTGCTCTTCTCCACACTCGCATGTCGTGGATTCCACTTTGTAGCCCCATTTCTGAAGGTTGGCTCTGCATCTCGTGGTGCCAGAGCGCAGTCTGTTCAGCGCCTTCCAAGTCGCCCAGTCCTCTGTGTGCCCAGGAGGGAGTCTCTCATTTGGTATCAGCCATTGGTTGAGGTTCTGGGTTTGAGCTTGCCACTTTTGGACTCTCGCTTGCTGAGGTGTTCCAGCGAGTGTCTCTGTTGATCTTAGAAAACTATTTCTTGATTTAAATCGTTGACATGCTGGCTGATACCCAAACAGAGAATGGGCTGGAGATGTCTCTGCCTTGGTCCTTTCACTATTTGTTGCTACTTCCCGGTGGATGTCAGGTGGTGCAATACCGGCTAAGCAGAGTAGTTTCTCCAGTGGTGTAGGGCGCAGACACCCCGTGATAATGCGGCATGTCCCATTAAGTGCCACATCCACTGTTTTAGCGTGGTGAGCTGTGTTCCACACTGGGCATGCATACTCAGCAGCAGAGTAGCAAAGCACAAGGGCGGATGTCTTCACTGTGTCTGGTTGTGATCCCCAGGTTGTGCCAGTCAGCTCTCATATGATATTGTTTCTAGCACCCACTTTTTGCTTGATATTCAGGCAGTGATTCTTGTAGGTCAGAGCACGGTCCAGAGTGACTCCCAGGTATTTGGGTGTGCTGCAATGCTCCAGTGGGATTCCTTTCCAGGTCATCCTCACAGCTCGGGATGCTTGTCTGTTGTTAAGGTGAAAGGCACATATCTGTGTTTTAGATAATACTCCCTGATCCCACAGAAAGGAAGGTTTCACTTTGGGAAATTTAGAAATGCCATAATTTGCTCCATTCTGAAAAAGCACTGCTAAAACATTTTCATCATGCTGGCAACACGTTTTTGTGCAAGCAAATGCAGGCAGGTCTCTGATATCACAGATTCTGTATCCACTAATCCAACTATCCATGAATTCAAAAATATATATCTTACAAAATAGAATCACGCCAGTCTTGTTGTTTTCTCCTATTCTCCAGACATCTTGGAGGTGCTGAGCGACATTGACGAGATGGCCCGACGGAGGCCTGAAATCCTTGCGTTCTTTTCCGTAAGTCAGACAACCTCTTTTCTTTTTTTCTTTCTTCCTCCTGTTTTCCATCAGTTACTTTGTCTTCAAGTATATCATCAAAAAGGAAGTCAAGAGCCTTGTGGTCGCTTGCACGGGGTTGCAGAGTGATGAAAAGAGCACCAAGTCTCCTGAAGCCAAAAGCTCCTTCAGGAGGGAGATGTGATCCTTTGTGGTTCCTCTCCACTCCTTTACTCAGAGGACTCGGTTACAAATTTCTCTCTCAAATCCCATTTTGTGTCTCCCTCAGACTCACCTGCAAAAGCTGATGAGTTCACCTGAGGAAACCTGCCGCAATCTGGCCTTCAGCCTTGCTCTCCGCTCCATCCAGAACAACCCCAGGTGGGGAAGACCAAAATTTTGGGGGGAGGGGGGATCCAAGATCCTCTAGGACAGTGTTTCTCAAACAATTAATGATAATAATAATAATAATAACAATAATAATAATAATAATAAGGTAAAGGTATTCCCCTGACATGAAGTCCAGTCGTGTCCAACTCTGGGATGTGGTGCTCATCTCCATTTCTAAGCCGAAGAGCTGGTGTTGTCCGTAGACACCCAGCATTTTCTGATCTTCTTTCTTTATGGCGTCGTAAAACACCTCCCCCGCTTTTAGCGATACCTAATTTCTCTAATTACAGCTTAGGTAAACTATGAGCTAGGCTGACAGTTGGCAGCTCACGCCGACCTGGGGCTTTGAACTTGCAACCTTTGGGTTGATAGGTCTTATAATTGCTGGTGATTTACAAGCTGTGCTAAACCTCCGACTTTTTATTTTTATTTTATTTCGAGCACTTCTACCCCGCCCTTCTCAACCCCCTAGGGGGGGACTCAGGGCGGCTTACAACCGGCACAATTCGATGCCAACAATTCAACATAGTTAAATATATAACAGCAACAATTATAAATAGTTAAAAAACATTCAATTAATACAATAACAACTAATAAAGAAAAGCCAATCTGATGGCCAACGTTCACCAAGTTCTGTAATCCGGAAGTCCATTCAGCATTATCATAATCCTTTCCAAAGCTCTAGTCGTCATTGTCCTTGTCAGTCTACCAGATTACCGAAAGGCCTGGTCCTATATCCATGTTTTTAACTTCCTTCTGAAAGAGAGGAGGGATGACAATGATCTAATTTCTCTGGGGAGTGAATTCCACAGGTGGGGGGCCACCACCGAGAAGGCCCTGTCCCTCGTCCCCACCAACCTCACTTGTGATAAAGGTGGGGCCGAGAACAGGTCCTCCTCAGAAGTCCTAGGTTGAACTTGGTGGTTATGGTGAAACTACAATACGGTATGACTCCCTCCAACCTTGCATTCTCTCCCTCGCCTGCACATGCGCACCACTGTGCTTTGTGCTGAGCACACCTGCTCTCTCCCTCCCTGCTTAAGAGTCTGAAACAGCCCTCCCCTTGGCTGAGAGGCCAGCTGAGAGGCCAGCCAATCACAGCAGAGGTGGGAAGATTTACCATCTGTTTCCAAAAAGGAAGAGAAGGACAGGCTGAGAGATCTTCAGCCTTCTCTGCCAAATGTGTTTTCGAATGGTCTTTGGCGGCCCCTCTGAAACCCCCTTGTGACCCCCCCCCCCCCAGGTCCTGATCCCCAGGTTCATAAACGCCATAATCCCACTCTATTCTGCTTTGGTCATACATCACCTGAAACAATCCTGAGTTCAATGCTGGGTAAAGCAATTCCAGAAGCATATTGACTAGCTGGAAGGTGTTTGGAAAATATTCCAAGATTTGGAAACCAAGGCCCATATGAGGAATGGCTGAGGGAGCCTGGCATAGTACGTGTTTACACACAGCCTATTGTTTTCAGGGTTGTTGCATTCATGCCCTGCTTTTGGGTAAGAAAATGGGTTGATCTCGCAAGGCCCCTTTTGTCATACTCAATGAGACGCTTTCTCTTTTCCCTTTGGTTTTGCAAACATCCAGCATTGCAGCCGATTTCCTCCCGACGTACATGTACTGCCTCGGGAGCCGGGACTTCGAAGTGGTTCAGACAGCCCTGAGAAACCTGCCCGAATACACCCTCCTCTGTCAAGGTAAGAACAAGGGGGCCCTTGCCCAAAGCGTAGGGATGGGATCTGATGGGTCATCTAGTCCTTGCAGAGTTGTAAGGTGGCCTTCTCCAGATCTGAAGTCCTCCAGATAGATTAGGACTCCTATAATCTTTAGGGAGTTGTATTCCAGTATACCTAGAAGCCTCAAGGTTGGGGAGGGGTGGTGAATGAATGATTTAGACATCAGAAAAGGTCAAGAGCTGTATTGTTAATCCAGATTTGAATAAAGCCATTGAATTAGCAGGACTTTGTATACTCAAACTCATAGAATCCTAGAGTTGGAAGAGACCTTGTGGGCCATCCAGTCCAACCCACTGCCAAGAAGCAGGAAAATCGCATAAGCACCCCCAACAGATGGCTGCCAATCAGCTTCCGAGCATAATTCAAAGTGCTGGTTTTAACCTTTAAAGCCCTAAACGGTTCTGGCCCAGATTACCTGTCCGAACGTATCTCCTGCCACAAACCATCATGAAGCTTAAGATCGTCAGGAGAGGCCCTGCTCTCAATCCCACCACTTTGGCAAACGCGGTTGGTGGGGACGAGAGACAGGGCCTTCTCTACAGTGGTCCCCCGTCTGTGGAACTCTCTCCCTAAGGACATCAGGTTGGCCATCTCCCTCCTGTCCATTATTATTATTATTATTATTATTATTATTATTATTTACAGCTTTTATATTCCGCCCTTCTCACCCCGCAGGGGACTCAGGGCGGATTACAGTGTACACATATATGGCAAACATTCAATGCCAATTTTGACATACAACATATACAGACATACACAGAGGCTATTTAACTTTTTCTGGCCGCCAGGGGAGCTGTCACTTTAAGCGTCCATCTGCAACACTGATGAAGTACTTCCGCATTCCCCGCATGCTTTGCTGAAGTCTTTTTTATGGCCTCATAAATTAGTTAATTTAGCCTCCCCACACTTTAAGGTGGTACCTTATTTTCCTACTTGACAGATGCAACTGTCTTTCAGGTTGCAAAGGTTGACAACAGGCTACACAATTGGTTGGAAACCCACTCCAATCCGGGCTGGCTTTGAACTCATGACCTTTTGGTCAGAGTGATCTTAATGCAGCTGACACTCAGCCAGCTGCGCCACAATGCCGGTCTTCACTTCAATTTAGAAGTGAAGACTTGGCTCTGGGGCCAGGCGATCGATTAATTGGAAAGAAACGTAGGATATCTGTGACATTGGATTTACCCTGACTTGGATTTGGTTTTAATTGGCATGTTTAACTTATCGTTTAAGGAATTGGATAATGTGTTTTTATTTATTTTTAATGTTTTGAATGTAATTTTTGATTGTTTATATCAGAGGTCCTCAAACTAAGGCTCGAGGGCCGGATACAGCCCTCCAAAGTCATTTACCTGGCCCTTGCTCGGGGTCAACCTAAGTCTGAAACGACTTGAAAGCACACAACAACAACAACAACAATCCTATCTCGTCAGCCAAAAGCAGGCTCAACTTCCCATTGAAATACTAATAAGTTTATATTTGTTAAAATTATTCTTCATTTTAATTATTGTACTGTTTTTAAGTGGGTATTTTTGCACTACAAATAAGAGATGTGCAGTGTGCATAGGAATTCATTCGTGTTTTATTCAAATTATAATCCAGCCCTCCCACAGTTTGAGGGACTGTGACCTGGCCCTCTGTTTAAAAAGTTTGAGGACCCCTGGTTTATATGTTGATAGCATCATATGATGCTTGTGTGAGACCACCCTGAGTCCCCCTTCGGGGGAAGACGGGCGGGGTAGAAACGCATGAAATAAATAAAATAAATAATAAATCTGTTTAAAAGCCTCCAAAGAAGGAGCCTCCACCACACTGGGGCAGAGAGTTTCACTGCTGAACAGCTCTCACAGTGAGGAAGTTCTTCCTCATGTTCAGGTGGAATCTCCTTTCCTGTTGTTTGAAGCCATTGTTCCACGTCCTAGTCTCCAGGGAAGCAGAAAACAAGCCTGCTCCCTCCTCCCTGTGACTTCCCCTCACTTCTTGATCCATGACCCTCATCGTCTCTCTTCTCAGCCTTCTCTTCTGCAGGCTAAACATGCCCAGCTCTTTAAGCCGCTCCTCATAGGGCTTGTTTTCCAGACCCTTGATCCACCACACTCCAAGGTAGAGAGTTCCATTTCTGAACAGCTCTCATAGTCAGGAAGTTCTTCCTCATGTTCAGGTGGAATCTCCTTTCCTGTTTTTTGAAAATATTATTCCAGGTCCTAGTCTCCAGGGCAGCAGAAAACAAGCCTGCTCCCTCCTCCCTATGACTTCCCCTCACTTCTTGATCCATGGCCCTCATCGTGTCTCCTCTCAGCCTTCTCTTCTGCAGGGTAAACATGCCCAGCTCTTTAAGCTGCTCCTCATAGGGCTTGTTCTCCAGACCCTTCATCATTTGAGTCACCCTCTTCTGGACACATTCCAGCTTAGAGTCAACATCTCCCTTCAATTGTGGTGTCCAGAATTGGACACAGTGTGATCCCAGGTGTAGTTTGACTAAATCAGAATAGAGCATGGGTAGCATGACTTCCCTGGATCTAGACACTATGCTCCTATTGAGGCAGGACAAAATCCCATTGGCTTTTTTAGCTGCCGCATCACGCTATTGGCTCATGTCTACCTTCCTGTCCACGAGGACTTTTAAGATGTTTTTCACACGTACTGCTATCGAACCAAGCATCCTCCATTCTGTATGTTTGCATTGAACGGGGGATGCTTGGTTCAATAGCTGTAAGTATGAAAAAGATCTTGGAGTCCTCGTAAACTCCATTGATTTTACTTGGTTTGATTTAACTCCAGGTCTTTTTAGGCGGGCAAAGTGCAGGCTCCTAGCCAGAAATGCAGCCCACCAAACCATTTACAAACAACAACAATTCAGACTGATTTTCAGGTTATTTCCCTCCCAAAAAGGCTCATCCCAAATGTGCCGAATAATAGATGTCCCTGTGCTTCCATGGCTTTCCAAAATCCCCTAAAACACAAAGGAAGTTCAGAATTTCACACCAGATGGTGGCTTTTTTTTTTTTTGGTCGTGTCAGGAGTGACTTGAGAAACTGCAAGTCGCTTCTGGTGTGAGAGAATTGGCCATCTGCAAGGATGTTGCCCAGGGGACGCCTGGATGATTTGATGTTTTTATCATCCTTGTGGGAGGCTTCTCTCATGTCCCTGCTTGGGGAGCTGGAGCTGACAGAGGGAACTCATCCACCTCTCCCCGGATTCGAACCTACAACCTGTCGGTCTTCAGTCCTGCCGGCACAGGGGTTTAACCCACTGCGCCACTGGGGGCTCCTAGATGGTGGCTGAAAGTGACATGATGCCACCTGGATCCCAGGCCCTGCATAGTTTTAGAGCATACCAACGACGATTGAATATTCCAGAAGAGTTTGAGTGGGAGATGCATGGAATTCAATCAACCAAGATAAGGAATGCAACCCAGACAGGTTTGTATAGACAGAGACCTATATTTAACCTTTGCAGATGAGATGGTGCAACATGTGGAGCCTGTTGTTTCACCTGTTGCACCATGGTCTTAAAAAACAAAAAGGCCAAGCCCGAATGTGTCCGGAGGAGGGTGACTCAAAGGATCAAAGGTCTGGAGAACAAATCCTATGAGGAGCGGCTGAAAGAGCTGGGCATGTTTAGCCTGCAGAAGAGAAGACAGAGAGGAGACATGATGGACATGGATAAATATGTGAGGGGAAGTCACAGAGAGGAGGGAGCAAGCTTGTTTTCTGCTGCCCTGAAGACCAGGACGCGGAGGAATGGCTTCAAACTACAAGAAAGGAGATTCCACCTGAAAATTAGGAAGAACTTCCTGACTGTGAGAGCTGTTCAGCAGTGGAACTCTCTGCTCCGGAGTGTGGCAGAGGCTCCTTCTTTGGAGGCTTTTAAATAGAGGCTGGATGGCCATCTGTTGAGGGTGCTTTGAACGCTTTGAGTTCCCCCCAGGGGTGAGAAAGGCGGTATATAAATACTGTAAATAAATAAATAATAAAATAAATAAATTCTCCTGCTTCTTGGCAGAATGGGGTTGGACTGAATGGCCCACGAGGTCTCTTCCAATTTTATGACTCTATGATTCTCTTCTGCAGGCAAAACTTGCCTAGCTCTTTAAGCTGCTCCTCATAGGGCTTGTTCTCCAGACTTCCTCTGAGCACATTCCAGCATAGAGTCAACATCTCCCTTTAGTTGCGGTGCCCGGAATGGGACACAGAGTGATTCCAGGTGTGGTCACTGCAAAAGGCATTTCACTGCCCTGGCTCAATGGCAAGGGAACAAGGGAGTTGTAGTTTTGCAAGGTCTTGGGCCTCCTTCGCCCAAGAGGGGTGTGGCATCGGCAAACTACAACTCCCAGGATTCCAAATCGGGTCCCGAAGCCCTCTGCACATGCTCAGAGGCCCCCTTGCTCGGAAAGACTTCCCCCATAAGCTGGAGCTCTGCCTCCATAAAGAAACGTCAGCCATCTTTGAATGCGATTGTCCTGCTTCTTGGCAGAATGGGGTTGGACTGGATGGCCCATGAGGTCTCTTCCAACTCAATGATTCTATGATTCTAAGTTGAATGCATGGGTTTGATATAAGTGTGGCTTCATCAGTTGATTTCCAGCCATTCTCTCTAGTTTGTAACGATGTCCTGGATGCCAAATCTATTCCTCCTTTGGAAAGACACTCTGGTGGTTTGCTCCGCTGCTTCTCCCTCCTCTTGACTTCCCTCCCCATTATCGTCAACCTTCCTCAGCAAATCCAGCTTTTCTGGTTCACTGTGAAGCATTTGGCTCTAAAAACACGGGTGGCATTTGGGGCGGAAGTCCTTCAGCCGCGTTGCAGCTTCCCTTTCAAACACTCGGGGTCAAGCTGGAGGGACTCGGCCTCTGCGTCTAACAAATACTTGCCGAGGATCAAGCCGGTCGGACGCGCTTCGTGCGTGTTGTTCTAGTCAAATGTCAGTGGGCAACCTTTTCTTGGATATCTGGCAAATATTGGCAGAAATTCCCATTAGACTGAGACAGTTCTGAGCTAAGTAAGTCGCTGCGTGCCATTGTGCGGCCTGATACAGATTTCCAGGGAAAGTTTTGTAGTTTCCTTGGGTTTTGGAGAGGGAGAGAACCTAAAGCCCTGCACTCCAGAAACATCAACTAAGCAGCTTTAGAAGGGGGGATCAGACTTTTGCAGAGAATTGAGAAACAGGGTTGTTGTGAGTTTTCCAGGCTGTTTGGACATGTTCCAGAAGCATTCTCTCCTGACGTTTCACCCACATCTATGGCAGGCATCCTCAGAGGTTGAGGGGTCTGTTGGGGAGTCAGACTCTTGAATAGTAAAACAACAGAATTGGGACACAGGGCTGTTGTGAGTTTTCCAGGCTGTCTGGACATGTTCCAGAAGCATTCTCTCCTGACGTTTCACCCACATCTATGGTTGAGGGGTCTGTTGGAAACAAAGCAAGTGAGATTACTATATTTGTGGAATAATGTCCAGGGTGGGAGAAAGAACTCTTTGTCTGCTTGAGGCAAGTGTGAATGTTGCAGTTGGCCACCTTGATTAGCATTGAATGGCCTTGAAGCTTCAAAGTCTGGCTGCTTCCTGCCTGGGAAGGAAGGTATTAGCTGTCCTTGATTGAAAATGAAAAAGACTCCTATTTATGCAGGCCAAAATCCCATTAGCTTTTTAATTATTTATTTGCTTCATTTATATACCACTTTTCTCAGCCCTTGGGCGACTCAAAGCGGTTAACAATAGCAAAATTCAATGCTCAACATCATAAAAAGAGTTTAAAAAACAGTTAAAAACAATGATATAATAAACAATCAGTTAAATCTCATTAGCGTCTCATAGGTAGAATCAAGATCCAATCTCATAATCCGTTGTTCCATGTTCCTATACCCAATACACTAGTATTGTCATTCTAGTCCATGTCCTTTAAACTCTACAAACATCTACTGTCCGAAGGCCTGGTCCCAAAGCCATGATTTTAATTTCTTTCTGAAAGCCAGGAGGGAGGGAGCAGATCTTACCTCATTTGGGAGTGTGTTCCATAGGCGAGGGGCCACCGCCAAGAAGGCCCTGTCTCTCGTCCCCACCAGATGCATTTGCGCAATTGACGGGAGCGAGAGCAGGGCCTCCCCGGATGATCTTAGATTACGGGATGGGACGTAGCGGTAGATGCGTTCAGACAAGTAAGCTGGGCCAGAACTGTATGACATTGATCCAGCTGCTGCATGACATTGTTGTCTCTTGTTGAACTTGTTGTCCATGAGGACTCCTAGATCTTTTTCACACGTACTGCTATCGAGCCAGGCATGAGTTGTGTTGTTGTTGTTTATTCATTCAGTCGCTTCCAACCCTTCGTGACCTCATGGACCAGCCCATGCCAGAGCTCCCTGTTGGCCATCACCACCCCCAGCTCCTTCAGAGTCCTGCGTATCACTTCAAGGATACTATCTATACATCTTGCTCTTGGTCGGCCCCTCTTCCTTTTTCCTTCCATTTTCCCCAGCATCATTGTCTTCTCTAAGCTTTCCTGAGTTGTGTATTTATGCATAAAGGGGGCTAGACTTGTGCTTCCTTCAGCATATACCTGATGTCCACTTCTGGTTTTGAGAAATGGTCATTTTGATGACTAAAACCTGCAGCCCTGCCTTTTACTTGTGGGGCTTCCATGAGAGACACATTTGCTCCTTTTTCCTTTGGCCAAAAAGATGGGATTTGAGGAGACTCCAGGACATCACACACCCCTTTGTAGTGCCCCATTTCTCGCTTCATAGAATCACAGAATCCTTGAGTTGGAAGAGATCTCATGGGTCATCCAGTCCAACCTCATTCTGCCAAGAAGCAGGAAAATTGCATTCAAAGCATCCCCGACAGATGGCCATCCAGCCTCTGCTTAAAAGCCTCCAAAGAAGGAGCCTCCTCCACATTCTGGGGCAGAGGTTTCCACTGCTGAACAGCTCTCCTTACAGTGAGGAAGTTCTTCCTGATGTTCAGGTGGAATCTCCTTAGAATCATAGAATCAAAGAGTTGGAAGAGACCTCATGGGCCATCCAGTCCAACCCCCTGCCAATGTTGCAGGAATGTTGCATTCAAATCACCCCTGACAGATGGCCATCCAGCCTCTGTTTAAAAGCTTCCAAAAAAGGAGCCTCCACCACATTCTGGGGCAGAGAGCTCCACTCCTTACAGTCAGGAAGTTCTTTCTAATGTTCTGGTGGAATCTCCTTACTTTCCTGTAGTTGGAAGCCATTGTTCCATTGCGTCCTAGCCTCCAGGGCAACAGAAAACAAGCCTCCTCCCTCCTCCCTATGACTCCCTATACATGGCCTTCAACATCTCTCCTCCACAAACCCAATATTTCCCTTCCTTTTCCCTTCACACAGAACATGCGGCCGTGCTGCTGCAAAGGGCCTTCCTGGTTGGGATGTACGGACAGGTGGACACCAGCGCCCAGATTTCGGAAGCCCTGAAGATTCTTCATATGGAGGCCATGCTATAAACAGGACAAAGAGCTGCAAGGCTTCATGGGACCACAATGATTCTCACTCTGCGAGGTGGGAATCCAAGGATGCACGTTCCTTCCGGAGAAGGGGAACCTGTGCCAGGCATCTTCCCGCAGAAGGGAGAAGCAGGACACTTGGGATATTGTGATGTATCCCACACAAGGCTCTCAATTCAGATGGAAGGCCAAAGGTATGGAACTTGTGCTACTGAGAGGAAGAGAAGGGTAAGCACCTCTCTCATTCGAATGGAGAAAAAGACTTACAGATTGGACTTTTCTCAGGAGGGTGGTTTTAGCAGATCACTCTGCTGGGAGATTGGAGACCATGTAGCCTTCTCAGTAGTAATGAACTACTAATTATGTTTATTACTCTCTTTTTTTAAAAAAAATGAAAGAAAAGAATTAAACATCTTAAATTTCAGTTGTGATTCCTTGATTTAATGTTCTTAATTGATTTTGTTCAATGTGCTTTAGAAATTATTTATTTATTTATTTAGGGCTTTTATATCCCATCCTTTCTCAGGACGGCTAACAAAGCGGCACCCCATGGTGCTCACATCAAAACATAAATATACAATTAACAGCAATGTAATAATAACAACAATATAAAACAGTATAAACAGTATAAAACCGTATAAACAATATAAAAACAAATAGTCAGTGGTCATCGATTTAAATAATTATCCAAGGGCCGTCCATCAGTTCTAAATAAGTCAACACGTCAGTAAGTCAGCTTATCCTCCAAAGACCTGATCCCATAGCCAGGATTTTACTTGTTTCCGGAAGGTCAAGAGGGATGCAGCAGATCTAATTTCACTCAGGAGGGAGTTCCATAGCTGGGGGCCACCACAGAAAAGGCCCTGTCCCTTGTCCCCGCCAGACGCGATTGTGACAATGGGGGAACAATGAGCAGGGTCTCCTCAGATGATCTTAGGGCCCTAAGGACCCTTCCTCTCCCTCTTTCCATCTATATGAAACCATGTATGTTAGCCACCATTGCTTGGGACTGGAACTGCTTCCTACCTACTTCCATTGGAACTGCTTCCTACCTACTTTCTCCCTTCTTACCTTCACTTTCTCTTCTTTACCTCTTTTTTTCTCCCTCCCTCCTTTCTCTTTTCCTTTCTTTTCTTCCTTTCTTCCTTCCCCACATACTCATGTCACCTTTCATTTCATCAGAGAGGGCCACTTAACCTAGCAACCACCAATCAAGTGACATCAGAGGGGGCCTTTTCACCTAGCAACAGCCTTTATGGCTAACTATATAAATAAATAAATATGGATATGTATTTCTTTTTTTCTCTATTTCTTGTTGGACTTGTTGCAAGTCCCCATCTTAAGTCGCTGGCTCATTTTAGTTGCCTCATGCTGCATATATTTGCAGTTTTAAGTCCTAACACCTTTGACATTCATATTTCCACCTCATCAGACAACTAGCACAAAACTCCGGGAGTCCTAGCTTTTAAGGTTTATTCTTTTAAATAAAAAAAAACTCAGAATACAACACAATTACCGTATATACTCGAGTATAAGCAGAGTTTTTCAGCTGTTTTTTAAAGTCAAAGTTATTTATTACTTTACTCCATTATTATTATTATTATTATTATTATTATTATTATTATTATTAGGCATTCACCTCTAGAACATGGCCATATAGCCCAAAAAAACCTACAACAACCAGTGATTCCAGCCATGAAAGCCTTCGACAATGCATTATTATTATTATTACATTTATCATTTTACTCTATTTGTTATTTACTTTACTTACTTACTTACGCGATCCCTCATTGGCCGAGTAGAATAGTCTGCCAGGATCAGAATTCTTGTGAGTCCGTAGGTGACTGTGGAGCCCTATCCTTGATCTGCATCTTCTCCCGCAGTGAGGGCATTGGTTTCCCGGTCGGGGTTGGCTTGATGCGCTTTCCTCTTGGCGCGTTTCTCTCTTTCACCCTCCATTTGTGCCTCTTCAAATTCTGCAGCATTGCTAGTCACAGCTGACCTCCAGCTGGCCAGGGCTTCCCAGTTCTCAGTGTCTATGCCACAGTTTTTAAGGTTGGCTTTGAGCCCATCTTTAAATCTCTTTTCCTGTCCACCAACATTCCGTTTTCCATTCTTGAGTTTGGAGTAGAGCAACTGCTTTGGGAGATGGGCAACGTGGCCGGTCCAGCGGAGTTGATGGCAGAGGACCATCGCTTCAATGCTGGTGGTCTTTGCTTCTTCCAGCACGCAGACATTTGTCCGCTTGTCTTCCCAAGAGATTTGCAGGATTTTCCGGAGGCAGCGCTGATGGAATCGTTCCAGGAGTTGCATGTGACGTTTGTAGACAGTCTACATTTCGCAGGCATATAGCAGGGTTAGGAGGACAATAGCTTTATTTGTTTTTTTGTTGTTTGTTTTTTGTTATTATTATTATTATTATTATTTTACTATATTATTATATAGTGTTCCCTCACTTATTGCGGGGGTTCCATTTCAGGACCACTCGCAATAATTGAATATCTGCAAAGTAGGGACGCCATATTAATTTTAATATTTATACATTATTTTATATTTTTTATATCTTATTTGCTTACCTGTGCTTCCTTACCTGCCTCCTGGCCCATCCCAAGAGCACCTGCCTGACTCCCTGGCCTCTGCAGAGCCTCCGGAGCCATACAGGCAGCAGCAAGCCAGGAAGACAGGCCTTCCCCACCGCGCCTCAGGCCGCTGCACTTCCAAGGTCCCTGGCCTCCACTGGATGTAAATATTTAATATTTAATTTTTTATTAATATTTTCAAAAACCTGCGAAACAGCGAGTCCACTAAAAGCGAACTGCAAAGTAGTGAGGGAACACTATATTGTATTACATTTATTATTTTATTCTATTATTGTTATTATTACATTTACATTATTTTACTCTATTATTATTACATTTATTATTGTACTGTTTGTTATTATTATTACATTTATTATTTTACTCTATTTATTACTGTTATTATTACATTTACATTATTTTACTCTATTATTATTACATTTATTATTTTACTATATTATTGTTATTACATTTATTATTTTACTCTATTTATTACTGTTATTATTACATTTACATTATTTTACTCTATTATTATTACATTTATTATTTTATTCTATTATTGTTATTATTACATTTACATTATTTTACTCTATTGTTATTACATTTATTATTTTACTCTATTTATTATTCTTATTACCATTTTTACTCTATTATTATTATTATTACATTTATTATTTTACTCTATTATTACTGTTATCATTACATTTCCATTCTTTTACTCTATTTATTATTGTTATTATTCAATTACCATTCTTTTACTCTATTATTATTATTATTATTATTACATTTATTATTTTACTCTATTATTACTGTTATCATTACATTTCCATTCTTTTACTCTATTATTACTGTTATCATTACATTTCCATTCTTTTACTCTGTTTATTATTGTTATTATTCAATTACCATTCTTTTACTCTATTATTATTATTATTATTATTACATTTATTATTTTGCTCTCTTTATTATTATTGGAAGGATCCATAAGTACATTTACATTGAAGAAGGTTAGAATTATGGTTTTATCAGAGTTGGACATTCTTATCTTAAACTACAGTTTTATGTAAATATTCAAAAACATTTAACCTACTGATGTCTCAACTAATATAATTTTATTGGTATCTATTTTTACTTTGAAATTTATCAGTAGCAACATGAGTCAATACGTTTCCCCAGGTTTTTGCGGTAAAATTAGGTGCCACAGTTTCTGTTCGAGTCGGCTTATTCTCGAGTATATATGGTATATGTTCCAGATCTGCCGTATTTTGCCTTCCGTCTCTTCCGGCGTTATCTGGCCCAGCCTCACGGTGTCCTTTTCTCTTCCCATGATATTTGCACTTTGTAAGACACCCCGCTCCGCTCTCGGCCACTGCCCTCTGCCTTGTAACCCCGCTCGGCACTTTGCCTTTTGAATCCAGCTTTCTGTCCATCATTGTCATCCCAAGCTCTTGGAGTAAAGCCCCTTACAAATAAAAAATCATGTTTGCAATCAGAAGTTTTAAGCGGTTGTACCAATTGATAGGGAGGATGCAAAGAATCCTTTTGATAAAAGCAACCAACATGCCCTTTTAATGTTTCCTGCAACGAGAGTTTGGGGGCATGCACTTATTTCATAAGGTGTACATTCGGCATGAGAACCAGGTTTGAGTGTTGGACTAGGACTCATAGAATCACAGAATCATAGAATCAAAGTGTTGGAAGAGACCTCATGGGCCATCCAGTCCAACCCCCTGCCAAGAAGCAGGAATATTGCATTCAAATCACCCCTGACAGATGGCCATCCAGCCCCTGTTTAAAAGCTTCCAAAGAAGGAGCCGCCACCACACTCCGGGGCAGAGAGTTCCACTGCTGAACGGCTCTCACAGTCAGGAAGTTCTTCCTCATGTTCAGATGGAATCTCCTCTCTTGTAGTTTGAAGCCATTGTTCCGCGTCCTAGTCTCCAAGGAAGCAGAAAACAAGCTTGCCCCCTCCTCCCTGTGGCTTCCTCTCACATATTTCTACATGGCTATCATATCCTCTCAGCCTTCTCTTCTTCAGGCTAAACATGCCCAGCTCCTTAAGCCGCTCCTCATAGGGCTTGTTCTCCAGACCCTTGATCATTTTAGTCGCCCTCCTCTGGACACATTCCAGTTTGTCAATATCTCTCTTGAATTGTGGTGCCCAGAATTGGACACAATATTCCCGGTGTGGTCTAACCAAAGCAGAATAGAGGGGTAGCATTACTTCCCTAGATCAGTGGTTCTCAACCTGGGGTCCCCAGATGTTTTTGGACTACAACTCCCAGAAATCCCAGCCAGTTTACCAGCTGTTAGGATTTCTGGGAGTTGAAGGCCAAAAACATCTGGGGACCCCAGGTTGAGAACCACTGATCTAGACACTATGCTCCTATTGATGCAGGCCAAAATCCCATTGGCTTTTTTTACTGCCACATGACATTGTTGGGTCATGTTTAACTTGCTGTCCATGAGGACTCCAAGATCTTTTTCACACATACTGCTCTTGAGCCAGGTATTGTTCCCCATTCTGTATCTTTGCATTTTGTTTTTTCTGCCTAAGTGGAGTACCTTTCATTGTAGCAACCAAGGTTTGAATCCTTGCCTGGGAGAGGCAAATTTAGATTTAGAGTCAGCTGCATGAATGTCCCAGTTTGGCAGGAATCGTCTCAACTATTTCTCCACAATCCCACTTTTTCAGTTGCTTTAAAAACGTCCCAGTTTCTTTCTCCGCTTGTTGCATTCTTCCTTTTACCTGCACTTACTTCAGCGTCTGGAAATGTGAGTTCAAAGTGCAAAAGGAGTTTGTGCTGAGTTAATTAGCAGAGAGAGGAGGATGGTGGGAAGAATGGGA